CCTTTGTTTAAAGATCATGTAGCCATTTTTCTGCTCACCGTCGAAATTTCAAGTCTCAATGTAGTTGATTGTCAAAATCTGACGAGATTTAAACTTATATTTTGCGATTTAGCTTTAAGAAGATACGAAGCTGCCGGGTGGCTTAGAGAAATGATCGGAGTTTCCAGTGGCAGAGATTTTCCGGCGGAACCTTCGGAAGAAGAATTTCGGCTTGGATTGCGCAGTGGGATCGTACTTTGCAATGTTCTTAACAAAGTTAATCCCGGGAAAGTGTCAAAGGTAAAACTTTTTCACACTTGCACATCTTTAGTTTCTTTGGTTTGTTCTTGGTGTTTCACATTAAACCAAAATAGATCTGAAACTCTAAATCCTCATTAATTTTACATAAGGTGTCAAGTATCTGTTGATTTCAACCTTATGTGAGTCGTTAATTATGGAGATGGAGATGATGGATAGCAATCCATATGGAGAACTAACATCTCCTTACAGGTTGTTGAAGCGCCGGACGATGTAGCAGATGGAGCTGCTCTCTCTGCTTTCCAGTATTTCGAAAACATCAGGAACTTTTTAGTCGCAATAGAGGAAATGGGTTTGCCATCATTTGAAGCTTCAGATATGGAGAAGGTAGAATAACTGAAGTTTTTAAGAAGATGCAGACTGTAGCTTTTCCATAGTTGATTTGTTGTTAACATATACTTTTCAGGGAGGCAAGTCTATTAGGATTGTGCATTGCATTCTTGCCCTTAAGTCTTACAACGAGTGGAAACAGAAAGGTGAAGTTGGTCCTTGGAGGTATGGTTCGAACATGAAAAATAATTTCGGATCGAGGAAACCATTTCTGAGGAAAAATCCAGAGCCGTTCATGAGTTCCATGTCAAGAACCCAGTCAACTGATCAACCTTTGTGTGAGGTTGGGCAAGAAGTAAGTGAAAAATTTCTTCATAGTTGAAATGTTTGTTTCTATGTTATTCGTTGTGGTTGTTTGTTAAAGTATCTGTGTCTTACATTGCAGGGAGATTCTAGATCTATTAACGCGCTTGTTCGCTCGTTTATATCAGACAGAAAGCATGAAGATATTCCAAGTGTAAGAGTCAGATTATTGTAGTTGTCTTTGCTGGATGAAAGCTTTCTTTTTGGTATTGATCTGCTTAAGCTTCTTAGGAGATATTAAAAAGCTGATGTCTATCTCCAATCGTTGCCACAGGAATTGTTAGCAAGACTTCACACAATTTCACAAATTCTTATTGAGAAATCTGATTTCTTTTCTTACTTCAATCTGCTTAGGTTATAGAGTCTGTGCTGAACAAAGTTATGGAAGAAGTCCAGCAGCGCTTGACAATCCACAATGAAATGGTGAGGACGAGTCAAGTCAGTTATGATGTCATTTTCTTAATGATCTGTCCTATTGATGACATAAAACTGGCTTTCGATTTTTTATTCAGATGAAATCGAGTTCAAAGCCTATTCCAGAAGATGATTTATCCTGCGAGACAGTAGTACAGTCTCAGAAGTGTGAGATAAGAGAACATGAGGAAGAAGAAGAAAACAGTCCATCACAGGTCGTAGAAGAAAAGATCCAGAGGACAAATTCTGAACGCTGCGAAGAACAGGAGATTCTTTTGAATCAACACAAACACATCCAGGTAACTTCCATTGTGTTGCAAATTTATGGCGTTGGAGCAATCACAAGGTAAATGGAGTTTGAACTTTGTATTATTTTGCCTGCAGGAGTTGAAGCAAACCTTAAACACTACAAAAGCAGGAATGCAATTACTGCAGATGAAGTATCAAGAAGATTTCTTTCACCTAGGTGTCAACTCAGATCATATTCTTTCTATGTCCTTGTTCATGCCTCAATGTACAATCAGTGAAACTATAATGTGTCATTGTTTTGGGTTTTGTCACACAGGCAAGCACTTAAATGGTTTAGCTTCTGCGGCTACGGGATACAAAAGAGTTATGGAAGAGAACCGCAAATTGTACAACCTAGTGCAGGACCTAAAAGGTAACTTGACAGAAATATTTGATTTGTCTCAGTAATACTTGGAGGATCTTGAAGCACTAAGATAGTTCTTCTTAATCCATTTATCTGCGTAAAGACCTCACACTTGGTAATGTATAGGAAACATACGAGTGTACTGTCGGGTTAGGCCGTTCAACCCAGGGCAAGAAACTGGTTTGAGTTCTGTGGAACAGATAGAAGAGGGGACTATAACGATGAGATTGCCATCAAAGTATGGGAAAGAAGGACGAAAACCATTTATGTTCAACAAAGTCTTTGGTCCTTCTGCAACACAAGGTTATAGAGGCTTTGATTTTTATGTCACTGTAATGTTTATCTGAGTTTTGTGAATAACATTATTGAATGAATCCCTTGCTCTTCAGAGGAGGTGTTCTCAGACATGCGGCCTTTGGTACGGTCGGTTCTTGATGGCTACAATGTCTGCATCTTTGCTTACGGCCAAACCGGGTCCGGTAAAACGTTTACCATGGTAAGGACTGTGATCATCACAGATGATTAGACGATTGCTGATCCAATATACTATGATTTTTTGTTGAATCATTATGCAATACCAAATTTCTAATTTGCCTAACTACTCTAGACAGGGCCTAAGGAACTGACTGAAGAAAGCCTAGGTGTGAACTACAGGGCACTGGAAGATCTGTTTCTTCTATCAGATCAAAGAAAAGATACGACCAGCTACGAGATCTCGGTTCAGATGCTTGAAATTTACAACGAGCAAGTCAGAGATCTACTTGCCACAGATGGCCAAACAAAAAGATATCCTTTCGATTAATAAAAGTTTTATCATTGTTTTCATTTTCTTAAGAACTCTTGAGATAATTTCATTTTGTTTGATCCTTAACTCTTGATTACATTAGAAATCAGAAACAACTCTCAGAATGGAATTAATGTTCCGGAAGCAAGTTTAGTGCCTGTCTCATCAACCGATGACGTTATACAGCTGATGGATCTCGGACAAACGAACCGTGCGGTGAGCTCTACAGCCATGAATGACAGAAGTAGTCGATCTCACAGGTTTGTTTCTCTTTCTAATCTGTCATGATTACTTCGTTGCATAACTCGTTCTAACCCCAATTCTCCATTTCTTTTGCAGCTGTGTCACTGTTCATGTTCAAGGCAGAGACCTCACCTCTGGGGCTATCCTCCGTGGTTCTATGCATCTGGTTGATCTCGCTGGAAGCGAGAGAGTGGACAAGTCTGAGGTGACTGGAGACAGGCTGAAGGAGGCTCAACACATCAACAAGTCCCTCTCAGCTCTTGGGGATGTTATCTCTTCGCTTTCCCAGAAGACTTCTCATGTGCCTTACAGAAACAGCAAACTCACCCAGCTGCTGCAAGACTCCCTCGGTGAAATTTCTCAAAAACCCTCACAACTCTCGTTGCATTATACACTCGCACTCTAATCTTATACAAAGCATATTTGTACGTTATCAGGAGGATCAGCCAAGACGCTTACTCTTGGAGTCTTGTCCACTCTGAAGTTTGCTGAACGAGTGGGGAGTGTCGAGCTAGGCGCTGCTCGTGTGAACAAAGATAACTCAGAGGTCAAGGAGCTTAAAGAACAGGTTGTTAAACCATACACTATGACCAGACTTTGACTCATTCTTTCCATTAGTATCCTGTCACTGTTCTGATAGTGTTGTCGGTTTTTCCGTCAGATTGCGATTCTTAAATTGGCTCTAGCGAGGAAAGGAAATGGTAATGATGTACAGCCAAGCTCTATACCAGTCAATCGTGAGAGCATATCGAGAAGAAGATCACTTGAAACTCCTACCATTCGACCCAAACTTCCAACCAACCTGAGGCCCCAGGTTATGGATCTAAGTGGACCAGAGGTATGCTTTTGCCTTCTTTCAGGAGCAATCAAAGTTGCTGAGTCTAAAAAACTGCTGTCTTATATGTTTAATTATATGCAGGCTTATAGCGATTTAACAACTTCAAGAAGACACAGCTTAGATCTTCATGAGCTAATGCAATCTTCTTCTCCGTCTTGGCGGAGGCAAACGCTCAATGTAAAAGACGAGGATGCAGAGTTTAAGTCAGGGGAGTGGATCGATAAGCACGAAGAGTCAATTAACCCACAACTACGATCACTGTATGTAACTCACATTGCATTAACCAACATTTGTTTTATATGCATCTTCTTATTCTTGATGTCTATTATCTTTCAAACGACAGAAATTGTGGGAAACAAGATTTGGAGGTGCAGAGTATTACAGATAACGAATCTGATGAAGGCGCGACAAGTGATTGCTCTGATCTGATGTGGCGATTAAACGTTCAAGTGAATGTGCCCAGAGTTTATAATTTGCAAAGCGCAGCAAACCCCAAACCTAAGAAAATCCAGCCCAGGACTGCTAAACCCTTAGAAACCAGGTATTTATGAGTGTTTGCTACAAAATTTACTGATTTAGTCAGGGATTTTTTTTTTCTTGTGGCAGAAGTTTAATCCCGTCGCTGATCCCAGCACCAAGCGAGACCTCCGAACACTACCTTGAATTGCAGCGCAGCGACCAACTAGAGATCCAAGACGCAGACTGAGTTTAGGCAAGTGAACATGGTTTCAATAGTTTTGTAAAGAGTTAAAAAAACGGTTAAGGAGAAGATAAAGATTTGTTCTTGTATATTGTGAGAGTCTTCTGTCTCTTTTGTGTCGAGAAACAAAATCTCAATTTGTTGATTTGAGTTTACAAAGAATGATTTATTATACAAATCTTCTTTTATGGATTTTCAGTATTACAGAAATGCTTTCTATTTGACCAAAGCCGGAGCACCGTAGCGGAGCCTGAAGGAGAGATGAAATCTAAAACCTTAAGCCACACATAAAAATACCTTATGATATATTTTATTTATTTTGTATTGGTTTAAATAACTAACCCGGTCCACGTTGAAGTGTGGACAACCCACGTTTCGAAAATCACTCTGATTCCTATAAAAATCTCTCCACTACTCTCTCTTTTATATGATTCATCAAATGATCTCTGAGACGAGCAAGTATTTGGCGAGGATCGTGCCTATGTCCACATCGTGCAAGTTAAGCCTTTCCATGGATCAAGAGACGATCAAGACCAAAGTACCTAAAACATCAAAGAAAAGCACGACGAAGAGCAAGCCGAGTACAGATCACAAGAAGAAGCTGAAATTAGAAGAGAAATGGAAGAGGCATTTCATCAGAACCAGAATGGTTTTTCCGGTTAAGAAGATGACATCTGTGATTTCCGGTGTCTTCAGCCGCAAGAAACCACTTGCAGGTGAAAACAGCGATCACCAGGGAGATGATTCCGCGGAAGCTGGAGAGTCTTTGTCTGTTGGTAAAGCTAAACCCGAGCAAAACCTACTTCAGAAGAAGAAGAGCTTTTGGGAAAGCGCGAGAGTTCGACTCAAGATACTCATCTTAGGGCAAAGACTGAAGACGAGAAAACGAAAAAGAAGAAGAAGAAAAAGCTTGAGCGAGAGTACTGGAGAAGAGGAGCTGTGCAAGAAGAGAATACTAATGGGTGAAAGATGCAAACCAATTAACCGGTCAGGGATTTTGCAGTATGATTGTGATGGGATCCTCCTACCCGAGCCATGACAGTTGGTCTATTCATGTTAGTCTAGTTTCAATTTCTTGCTGGTTTACTCATTAGTCATAGTATTGTTGCTAATTCAATTTCACTCTGAGACTTGCAGATAGTTATACAAACTTTATTTCTTACCATAGTTACAAATTTCAATATCTTAAGAATCTCCAAACTAAGGTCTACATTTGAAGATCTACTAATACTGCCTAAAAACAATAATCAACAACAACACTAACTAACGAACCTGAAGGATCAATATGGAGAGCTTTACATAGCAAGCCATTAAGGTTTTGTTCATCTTTGCAACTGTTCTGGAGTTTGGTTGCTTGTAGTAGAAGGTGAAGTGTTGTTGATGGCTTCAGAGGGTGGAACCATCCCCCACTTGCCTTCAGCCTCGGTCGGTTCTATCACCTTAACCGACCCGTCATTCAAACCGACCGCAAACTGGTTTGGCTCTTGCGGGTGAGCTGCCACAACTAGAGGGGACAAGCCTTGGTTCCTGTGAAAGCAAAATATAGTAACAAGTTTGTAATTCTGATTCATGAAAGTACATAACAATTAAGCAGATTCAAGACGGAATCTTAAAAAAAACTACATTGGTTTAGGATTAAGAATCTGATGAAATGTTGGATAAGTTTACCCTTGGGGCAAGTAGGCGGATGGAGAGATACGACATCTTAATCTGAGAGTGTCTGCGTCAAACACTCCAATGTTACCATCGCGGAAAGCTGTGTAGATCAGCTGGCTGTTGCATGAGTACATAGCTGAAGATATCGGAGCAGACAACGAGTCTTGTGGAGTCCACTGAGACATTGAAACAATAAAACATTTAAGTCAATACAAAATTCAGAGTGGTTATAATGAATTCAGGTCTATATGATCTTGCATTTCCATTTTGTGTGTTTATGCATGTAGAGAGATGATCATCTCATACATACCTGTCGTATACATTCCATCTTGGAAGCATCAAATATCGCAAGTTGCGTCTCGTGGACTGCAAGGATACGGATCTGATCCACGTGAAACTGAACACGCGTGTCTCCATTGGCGGCTTTTCCTGCTGGCATTTGTATTGCAACCGATTTCCTCTTCTCCCATGTGTCAATGCTCCAAAAGCATATCTAAGAGAAGACAACAGGAAGAGTTTTAGCATCAAAAGGCACAAAACCACCAAGCCATTTTCCCCTGAAGTTGAGATATTTTACTACAGGACAACAACATGACGCAACATAACACACCTGTGCATCAGCACCAGATGAAACCAAGATGTTGAGAGTTGTAGAAAATGCTAATCCAGTGATGCGTTTCTGGTGACCCTTCAGCTTCGATTTGACCTGATGGAACACAAGATACAAGTGGAGTGAGCTCGTATTAAAATGTAAAACATATGTGAAAGCTATGAGACTACTTAAGTGGTATTGGTTGGTACTAGCGACTATTTACCTCATCGACTCGGACATTGTAGATGTGAATGGTGGAGTCCTCCATTCCAATAGCAATGATGTTGTTGTCCTGAGGATGGAACGCCAAAAATGTTGAAGCCGGTGGAGGTTGCATGAATGTTGTCATCACCTATAAGGCCAATAGGTTTCTTTAGATATCAAAAGAGTTTCTAGGATTAGTGTGAGAACATTTGCAGCTAGAGCATGAGGCTTTAACGGCCTTTTAAAGTTCATGTGTACTTGTAAGATAAATATACCTTAAAAGTCATCATGTTGAACAACGAGACTTTGCCTCCAGCAGCCGACATGACATAAGAGTCGTTCTTAGAGAGAGCTATGCATGGAGCAGCCTCTTCAAGGTTTACACCAGAAACATCGTTGGTCATGAGAAGACCACTGTTTGGTTGCCAATGCTGAGGAACAACAGTAGCAGTTGCCTGTATGACAAAACGGAACTTTAATATAACCGCAAACAACATGCATTGAGCTCTCTCTCTAACGCTGTTTTATGCTTACCTTTCCGCTAGGGTTCTGCTCATTGCGAATCCACTTCCAGAGTCTCTGGTTACCATTAGAACCTAGTGCCAAGATTCCACCGCCGGAATTTGTATACAAAAGTCGAACGACCTGCTTTGCCATGCAACAGAGAGAAACGTAAGCCTTTTAATTCTTTTTGAACTTTGGAAAAATAAAACTTCTTCCTGAGAAAGTTAATTGAGCAAACCTTTGTGGAAGAACCAGCGGTTTCGGGTAAAGTAGTCTGGCGGCACTGTGCAGGGTCCAAGATTTCAGCTAATTGCTTCTCTGTTGACTCATCGATTCTTGACTTTGAGGGATCAACTCCATTCTTGAGGAACAAGAAAAAAGGTTAGTAAATACTCTTAAAACATGACAAGAGAACTTGAAACAGACAACTGCTATAGCCAGAGAATGAGGAAAGTAGAAACAGAACGTTAAATGTGTGATTTACCAGCATTGTTGAGATTCTAACAGGAGAGCCTCGTTCAACTTTAGAGCTGACAGATGCAACGGGAGCACCAGGAACCTAACAGAATACCAAAATATGTAAACCGAGACAGCTTGCTACGACAATTGGATGTAAAGAAAGGAAAAAATATACTACAAAGTTGAGAAACGTTACAGCTTTGTTTACAGAAGAATCGACTGGAGTCCTCATAGAATCAAAAGCTGAAGATTCCATGGCTCTCAGAGATCGGAAACCAGCTGGGTTCGCCAGGATCTTAAATCCGTTATCTGCAGTAGTAACTGCTAGAAGATTGCCTTCCCTGTTAAATCTCAAACGAGGAAGAGCCTGAAGTTGAGAGACAAGTTAGCTTCCAAACCTGAATAGAAGACAAGCCAATGGGAAAAAGAATCTATGAGACTAACCGGAAGTCCACCCTCAGCATCAGTGCTAGTCAGAACATTGATGTTGTTCATATCCCAGAACTTGATTTGCCCATCTTCACCAACAGCAAGAAAGTGGTTCTTTGAGGTATCGAACTGAACCACACCTGGCAACTTCTTCAGAAACCCATGATAGGTCCTTTTTATTGATCCTTCACTTTCATTCCACTCAACTAGGAAAGAATCTCCATCTTTACTCGTTCCACAAGAAAACAATCTGAAGAAAGTGACAGTTACATAACTTCAGAAAGAGCTGAAACAGAGCAATGAGAAATGTATTAAAATATGGAAATCATCGTACCTAGTCCCATCAGCACTGTAAAGCATCGTAGTACACCATTTACCAGGAGCATCGTAGTCAACTCTGGAACCCATATTATCATAAAGCCATGCCTTTATCTTCCCATCTATAGCCGTAGAGAATATGAACTGAAATCCAAAAAGAAGGGATCCAATAAAATATGTCATCTACTTTTATTGTTCTTCAAACAGATGATAGTTGGCTTCATTCCTTGACAAACCTGAATGTTCTCTTTGTGGTGAGGGCAAATGGAATAAACAGGAGCATCGTGACCTTCAAAGGTAAAATGCTTCCGACCTGAAACGTCCCATACCTGTTCCACATCGATCAAGTTAGACAAGATGCAGAGATATGTCTAACAGAGAAACCATGTGATTCTATTTCTCACCTTGACTAGCTTATCATCTCCACAAGTAACTACACATCGTTGTTCGTGTGGATTAGCGAAAGCCAAGTCGTTCACAGCTCCAACATGGGCCTCAATCTGTGTGGACAAAGGTCTCTAATGTTAGGGGATATTATTACTTGGCATTGTTTCTCGTACGAGATACAACGTAAGCTCACCTCACTATGCTGGCGAAGATCATTAGGTCCAGCGAAAGTATACAAGTGAATAAGATGTTTCGTATACGCAACCCCTGCACAAGAAGAGACTTAGACCAGAGACCATTTAAAACCCTACAATGCATTATGAGAAACTTACCAATGAACTTTCCATCTGGACTCCATGCAACGCGAGTGACGGATATTGGTGTTTCTTTAGCTATCAAAGCCTGAATGAAGCATACAAATGACAAGTAAATGATCTTTCACTTCTCATAGCCATTTGGATGAAATCAAGACTGTAAAAACGTATTATCTGTAACGACAAACCTGAAACTGATGTGAGCAATTAGCCATGTCCCATATTTTGAATGGCCTTGACACCAGCTTCTTTCGAAAGGCGAGATCCCACAATGTGATTTCTCCAGACGCACATCCGACTGATGGAATTCAAATTGTCATTTCAAAAAGCCAAAGAACAAATAACAAAAATATAACTTCAAATTGAGTTTAAAATTTGCATATTACCAAGAAGTAACGTATTTTGCAGAGGGTGGAACTCCATGCTTGTCACAGTGGACCCTTGATGCAACGCCATAGCCATCTCTGTTGGCAAGTCTTCCAGCGACGGTGGAGCTTGGTGCCTAGGAGCAGGGTATGTCACCTGGAAAACGTTAAATGCTGAGAATTGTAAGAAAAGAAATGCAAGATTCATACGAACAGCTTTCCAAAGAAAAAAAAAAAGAATTCACATTACCTCCTCCAGAGGTGGGGCAGGACGGAGACGCTTCATTAGTTCATGATCAGGATTCTGATAATCTATTATACCTGGAGTTGGTGGTGGTGTTCTTGGTCGCTTCAAGATTGACACTATTCGAAAGAAAAGTAATTAGTCTTGGAGTTACTGACAAGTCCAGAAACTAGAAAGCTAGAAGACCATCACAAACTAACCTTGATTCTGAGGTAGAGGCATCAAAGCAGGTGTGACAACGGCAGGTTGGACAGCCGAAGCACCAGAGCCAGTAGCCATCCAACTAGCTAAAGCACCAGGATTAGCAGCAGCAGCAACAGCAGCACCAGGAGGAGGAAAGGGCTACATTTAATACAGATTCCTCAAATGTTTAACATTTCTTAGATTCAAAAACATGAAAAAAGCAGTAAAACACTGAGGTTGCTTACACCATGAGCTCCAAGCGACGGAAAAGCTGCTGGCTTTGTCAAAGTTGTCACAGGCTGATTGACTGCTGAAGGTGCCAGAGGACCATTCTGAAGTGTGCAACTGTGGTCGGTGAATAGAGTTTTGATATCTGGGTTTGGCCTTGGATTCTTGCACAGCTGGTGCTGCCAATTAAGGCTGCAAATATAACATATGCACAATGAATCACGCAAGCCTACTCAGCAACATATACTATGCTCGTGAGAAGACAAAAACACACCTTTGATTAATCAGAGTCCGCAGTCTCGAAGATCTCAAAGTTGGGAACATCAACTTATCACGAAAAAGAGGATTGGCTTCGATTAGCTTCTTTATCTCTGTTAACATTATGCCCCGAGCAGTTTTAGTGTCTCCGTACTTGGAAAGCTGCTCATTTTCCCTGCGTTTAATACAGAATCGGATTCCTTAACATCATTCATGTCAAATTCAATCTGAAATGTCAACTAGTAGACAGGGCTCCGTATCTCGTACCTGAAGTTGTGCAGAGTTAAAAGCTGAGTGATTTCTTTGAAAAGCTCCTCGTTGAAAGTGGAGAAGACTCTCAAGTCCTGCACCAATATCTCAACTGCTTTCGCCTTATCTTGCCTGTACAAGAGAGCCAGAGACGTTAAAATAAGACTACAAAGAGTAGAAACAGAGAAGACAAAAAGGTTATATCTTTATACCGATCAAGAGCTTCGAGATACTTCTGCTTCCTGATTTCAAAGAAAATCTTCATTGAGTATCTGTTGTCATCAACTTTCGTAAACCCTGACAAGTACTTCTCAACCTCATCCCATTCTCCAGCAAGAACTTGCTCATCAAAATACTTTACATTGAAGAAGAATCCTGACTCTTTCTCAAGCCTATAAGACACAAAACACCAAATCAGCAAAAGCAATTAGATTCGTCAATAAACAGAGGACAATCAAACATCAAAACCAAAATCAGGTAATTAGCCAGATTGTTCTCTCTGTTTTGGTAAATTCGATTAATTCAGACAAAAAAAGAATCGCCCTTCTCTGTTTCAAAACACAAATGATGGTTTAAACTCCAGAGCCTCCACGTTCGTCACAACAACAACAAAATTTCAAATTTTTATTTAAGAAAACTGCACTTTTTTATACTAATCAGTCTAAAGCAACAATTTTTTTTCAGAGTAATACACTCAGAGACGAAACCAGACAACTTTTGTAATTTTCAATTAAACTTTATTTTCTTCTTCTTATTAATATACACGAATAGACTAACCTGTGAACAGAGTCCTTGAATTTCTCTTCTTCTAGGAATTGCAGTATGAGAAACACCAACTCTCGGCTTAACGAAGACATTTCTCCCAAGCTCAGATTCTCAAATCTGACGTCAATCAAGAGAAAACACCCAAAAACACACGATTACGTACGAATCCGAGCTCGGACGAGCTATACAAGGAAGACGAAACTGATCCCAGCGGAAATCACGACTCAGGTGTCGATTATTTCTAGGGTTTTGAAAGAGCTGGTTCTGGAGAAAATGGAGAGGAGAATAAATAGAGGAGGAGATTGGGGAAGAGAGAGATAGAGAAGCTTGACCTCGCTATCTTGGACGCGTTCTTATTGCAGGAGAGAAAGGTCTTACCGACTTATCAGATATAAGCGGAGCAGGCATCGGTGATAAGCAGATCGGCTTATCAGATACGCGGATCGGACTATCTATTGAATGGAGTGATAAGTGGGATTGGAGATTGAGTGGCGGATTCGAAAACAAATTCAAATAGTGTGAATATTCCGTGCACACGTCCAGTCTGGTCCCCACATTTCTCTATCGTGTGATGTCACTCTCAGCTTTCGATGCGCTCTTGTTTTGGCTTTTTCCATTTAACTCCTTTTTCCTTTTTCTCTTTCTCGCGAGATATTGACATCTCCTTTTCGCGAGTTTAAACTTTAAACTCTGAGAACGTGTCCAGTTACACGGTGGACAATTCAACATCTCACAAAGTCACATCAAAATCACATCTACTTATTTTAAAAGCATGCATGACATCTCACGGCAAGCCTCAAATTTTTTTTTTGTAGTTTTCTCTCTATCCTAAAATGATAACGAAACATTTTTATATTCTTTTTTGCTAAAATACGAAATGTTATCTTCGATATGTGGTTTTGAATTCAAACTAGAGAACAATATAAATTAGTTGACTACATATTTTTTATTTGTAAACATAATTTTGCTTTTGATATATCTTGACTTTTGAATCGCGAGTTCGTACAAGAACTTGGTTAATCGACCTGAAGAAGAGTTAAACATAGCAAAAAGAGCAGAGAACAAGTGTAGTTGTTGTTCTCTCTCTCCATGGAACCATTACTCGTATTTCACCAAACAATGGGATCCTTGGTGACTCTCAACAGTCCATCACTTGAATGGTCTGAGAAGAGATTACCATTATACATTTACTTGGGACACAAGAATATGGTGGCCTGAGAAGTTGCAACAACATCCGCGGACTCAAAAACCCACTTCTTCATTTTGATCGGTTTGCAATGTGGAATCAGATTCAGACACCATATTTTTTAAAAATCTGAGAAGATCCATTGATGTTCTCTTCTTATAATTAGGTCTTGCATTGTAGTAGAACCTTGCATTGCAGATTGCTTGGAAGGGCTTTCTCTTGTGTATGAGATGCATCAATCAGAGCAAGCAAGCAAACAAACATGTGCTAAATTAATGAGTTACAAATTTACAATCATTTTTGATAATTTTTCCTATTGTGTGTTTTAAAAAGGTAATCAGAATAATGTATTTAACACAACAAGACAGAATGATAAAAAAAAAAAAAACGTCCAAAGGCAAGAAAGAAAGAGAAGGATAGGTAATAGTCGGTAGTTGAACTTAGTCATGGGTCTTCCGCTTTCCTTTTGCTGATAGTTCTTCCCAAGGCAATAATAATGGTAAACCATCAGATGATGAGGATGAGGATGGGATGTTTTCACCAGGGACTGCCAAGAAAGCAATGCAACCTCGTCGAATGATACACCTAAGGCAACCCTGGACGCCCAAGCATAAGCGTCTGTCTGCTTCCAAGAGTTTGGAGATTAGCAGCAAATTTGGCCGGGTGCGATGACTGTGGTCGTCGGCGGCGGTATTGTCCACTGACCAAAAATGAAAGTCCATTGACATCTGAGCAAATCTTTCAGATTCGTCTGCTGGAGCTATGCGTATTTTGATTTGGGCATCCTCAGCTTCATCAGCTTTAAAGTCCTCCTCCACCTTGACAACGTAGGCGTAGATTGAGACGGCACCAGTAGAAGAAGCAACACGAGAACGAACAGCTGATAGAATATTCTCACAAAACGAACGGAGATCGAGACCGTGAGGGAGTGGGTACTCCTCCACGTCCCAGAAGACACATGTACCAACATCTGCCGGCATGGCGAAGCTAGTGGTATGGGCATCTGGAGTCGGAGGCTCTATAAACCAGCGAGGCTCGCTCTGCCGTTCTTCTTCATCTTCAGGATGCCTCTGGCCTTGTGGCAAACGAGCGTCTGGCTTTCTGTCAAATAGGTTTGGACAAAGCCACACTGGGATTCTCTCATTCGAATCGTTCTGCTCCGAGCATAAAGTGATTCCAAAACTAGCTTTTGCTTTCTCGACATCAACCTCAGGCAGTGCAAGCGCAACACCGTGGCCTCTTCTCTTCAAAGAAGCAAGAACCCTACAGATCATCTCCGAGTACTGCGTCAATTTCATGAGGATCACAGTTTGGTCTGGTGAATGCCTAGGCACAGGGAATAAAGCCATTTCAACAACGTTCGCTAACATCAAATTAACTCTTCTATCATCACTCCCCTCTGGAGTGTTAAGAATGTGGAATCCCGTAGACAAACGATACATTTTAAGCGCCTTATCCGAGATTTTCCCTACCTCACCATAAGCATTAATATCTAGACCAAGATACCCCCTATTTGCAAGGGATCGAGACACAGACCAAATATTGTAATCATGATCCTCCTCAGGTGGGGGCCAACTGTCGGCGTGCCAGAAGACGTTTGTATTATACCCTGGGAGGAGGTTTCACAAAACAAAACGGACAACGCAAATAAACAATCAACCATTAGAATTTACATCCGCGATCAGATCAGGTTAGAGAGAGAGAGAGAGAGAGATCTTACCTCTGAGATATCTTCGTCCCGGCATGTATCCGACGGAGGGAGGCATCGAGAGGCGAGAGGAAAACACAGAATACAGAGAAATTGTCAATTAGGGCTACGAGAATATTTATATTTATGACTTATGAGTTGGGCTTTAATTCAGTTAAGGGTTTAAATATCTTGTCCCGCTCAAAACCATCCACGTTTTCACCTAAAACAAAAAATTGATTATGATTACAATAGTAGTCATGTGAACGTACATATGATGATAATTAGAATAGTAGACTTAGCAGTGATGATCATTAATTCATTATTGTCATGACGATGGCATACATTTGGGCAGACAAAAATGGGAAACTAAAATGATACAAAGGATTGCAAAACGTGTTGATGACGACAACATGTGTGATTCTTCTCTCCAACAAGTTTTCTTTTCTCTTTGATTGATTGTCTTAAATTGAATATGTGTTCGTCGACTTTGTGAGACTTGAACAAAACTGAACACTAAACAAATCACATCTACTTATTTTAAAAACACGCATGACATCTCACGGCAAGCCTCAATTTTTTTGGTAGTTCTCTCTCTATCCTAATATGATAACGAAACATTTTTTCAATTTGTATTGCTACAATACGAAATGTTATCTTCGATATGTGGTTTTAAATTCAAACTAGAGAACAATACAAATTAGTTGACTACATATTTTTGATTTGTATTGCTTTTGATATATCTTGACTTTTGAATCGCGAGTTCGTACAAGAACTTGGTTTTTCGACCTAAAGAAGAGTTAAACAGAGCAAAAAAAGCAGTGAACAAGTGTAGTTGTTGTTCTCTCTCCATGGAATCATTACTCGTATTTCACCAACCAATGGGATTGTTGGTGACTCTCAAGTCCATCACTTGAATGGTCTGAGAAGAGATTACCATTATGCATTTACCTGGGACACAAGAATGTGGTGGCCTGAGAAGTTGCAACAACATTCATATGCGGACACAAAAACCCACGGAAATAGGGTTTGCAAGCAAGGGATTCATGCTTGCACAACAAGCTAAGTGAAGTATTCGGAGGGATGCGAATGATCAGTTTGTGTCACGCGGTAGATAGACTATGTTGGTTAAGCGTAAACTTGAAGCATCTCGATGTTGAGTGTCGTATGAAGCATCTAGAGGTGATTTCCCTAAGCCTTTTATATCTGTGAGCCATCATTGGTATACTTAAAGAGTCCGTGGGCTTTTGATGGTTGATTGCAAGAAGATTTGAGTGATGATTTGATTTTGATTTTGTTGATATTCTATGATGGTGATGATGCTGTTGAATGTTGAGAGAAGGGAAGGAGGAGATGGAAATGTGGGAAGTTGGATGGGTTTCTCTCTTCAGAAACGTGTCCGACGGAGGGAGTCATCGAGAGGCGAGAGGAAAACACAGAATCTAGAGAAAAGGTCAATTAGGGCTACGAGGGTATTTATATTTATGAGTTGGGCTTTAATTCACTTCAGGGTTTAAATATCTTGTCCCGCTCAAAACCATCCACGGTTTGACCTACAGCAGAAAAAATAGTAGTGATGTGAACATATGATGATGATTACAATAGTAGTGATGATCATTAATTCATTATTGTCATGACGATGGCATACATTTGGGCAGACAAATTTGGGAAACAAAAATGATACAAAGGATTGCTAAACGTGTTGATGACGTGTGATTCTTCTCTCGAACAAATTTTCTTTTCTGTTTGATTGATCGTCTTAAATTGAATATGTTTTTGTCGACTTTGTGAGACTTGAACAAAACTGAACACTAAACAAGATAGTATATTATTTGGAACTCACATCAAATCACATCTACTTATTTTAAAAACACGCATGACATCTCACGACATTGGTATACTTAAGAGTCTGTGGGGTTTTGATGGGTTGATTGCAAGAAGTTTTGAGTGATGATTTAATTTTGAAATTGTTGAAATTCTATGATGGTGATGATGTTGCTCAGAAGCTTTGTCCATTTTTCGACTCATTGTTCTTGCCCTTTGACCAAGGTAATTACCAAATCTTGTCGGTACCAACAAGAATCAGATGGTTTCTGGTTTATTGTCGTTTTATTCCCCAATTTTCCTACTCTTTATTACCTAATTCAGAAGATATTTTACTTCTCTACACGGTTTCCTTCTCTCTTTCTTTTCGTTTATAAGTGTGAGCTCTCATTACATCCAATTTTGTTGGAGACACATTTAATCAACTGTCGTAGCCGGAGATAGATTTAGGTAGAGCTCGGATTCGACTCATCCCTCATGTAAGTTTGTTTTTTCAATAATCTGTCATTGATTCGCTTTGTTCCTACATCTCTCTTTGTTTTTGTCTGTGTATCGTGTAAACCAAGGACCCAAACCCAAACGGAGTCTCACTTTCAGTTTTGTTGAATGTGAATACGGTTTATTGAACCATGTTCTGGAAAACATAACCATAACTTTCACTGTTGAGTTGTATAGTTATGGGCTTTATGCCCAACTTAATGGGTTATTTTCTCCCTATATCGTGCAACGTTACGTTCGAGTGTTTCTTTTCCCTATATATACTCTAGATTTAAGCCAATCAAAATTCACCCAATGACACAAATTAAGAAGGTTTACCTCAACAGTTGTCAAAGTAAAGATAAACAGTCACTCAAACAGTTGTTTTTCCGTGAAACTTTTTATTCACGAATCCTCTACGTCGTTTTTCTTTCTCCTCACAAAATCCCAAGTACAATGATAAGTTTCGGTTAAAACAATACCCAAAAGTATATCCATCTTTTATGCCATCTTTTATGTTACTTTACGCTAATTTTTGTTTATGTCATTAGTAAATAATATAGCTAGTATTTTCCTAATCATCTAAATTAGTCTAAAATATTCTCTTATAACTAGTAGAAAAGGGTTTAAAAAGGGGAAAAAGTTGCACGTAAATATTTCGTTTCGAAACAAAAGGGCTTTGTGCTCTGTTGAGAATGAGAGGTGGAACAAGAGACTACGGTGAAACACATAAACCCTTTATCCGATGCACCGCCCCCACATGTGAATGTTGGTCGCCACGTGTTGACCATAGACCGGATTATCAAATTCACGTATGGGCCCCGCGAGAACCGAATTCATCATGTGGGTCTCGACTCTCGACTAGGTTCGGTCGGTTCGGTTCGGTTGCCCAAATCTCCGGGTGGTGTTAGTGATCTCCGAGCAAAGTCTCTTGTGGATGTTAGTGATCCTATTGCACGTGTTCGTGCACATATGACTCAATACCACGTAGATCTAATGGGAATACAACGTTCTAGTTCCGCAAAAATTGGAAAGATGCCAAGATCTGTTGTCTATTTTTAGTATTATACTGTTTTCAAATTCACTACTAGAAGATTACTAAACAAAACAATATCCATATTGGTTTAAAATATTCAGACATCCAACCTGTCTTTGTTTCTACCGTAAACTTCCCTAATTTTTTTCTCGTCAACGAAAGAAATAGTAATTGAAAACAAAGAGAAAGATTTTACGTGCATGATTGTTGCCGACATAACGGGGATTCATCCAACGAAATACAGAAAATCAATGTTTGTTGTTTTCTTATGCGAGATGGGTCCCACTACAAAAGACTACATTCACAAGAGGTCACACACAGTCCCCATAATTGGGTCCTACTTACTGTTCCTTCGAGAAATGTGAACCCCGAAGGTTCATCTCCAGTTTCGTCACGGCGTTTAATAATTGCGAGCTATCCACGTTACGGTTTTCATTTATTCCCTATAAAAAAACATCTTCCATCAAACCGGACTATAGTCACGTAATAATAAGTTCTAACGAATCGAACCAGACCAATCAGCCCTTTTCCTTGATCTGTCTATAGTATAATTTGCAAGTTATAATAGCGTTCTTGTTCTTCAAGATATTTGTGCGTGCTTTTTCCCCCTACGGGAGATATTTGTAATGACTAGTTATATTGCATTTGTTTGAAAATTGAAATAATGCCAAAGAGCATCTCAGTTCGATCTCTATCTATTTATTATATATATATGCATGCACCTTTTCTAAAGGATTTCTTTTATAGTTTCAATGATTTAAGTACAAGCATGGACCATTTCACATGTTGCAATATTATATAGTTGTCTATAGTGTACATTATATTAGTTTATTCATCCATACTTTTGAGTTTTGACTCCTTATGTAAAACGTGTATGGCTACGATCTACGTATTTTATGAGTATTTTGCATGCTCAAATTGGTTTTTGTTCACATCGACATGTACAATCTCATGTCCTAGTATAAACCAAAGGACTTTATTTGTTTCTGCGTATTTTTAGTTTTTTGGGGTTGATATCTATTAATATACACTTTGTAGTTTTTGTACGCAAATAGATTTTGAGTTTGAGTTTTGATCCATCATCGGTCTTAGTTACAAGGAAAAACAAAATTAAATACCTAGGGAACATTTTTGTAGGTTTTATGGAATTACATGCGTCTGTTAATGATGGAACAGTAATCAATGTGTAAGTAAAGGCAAATAACAATCAGTGCACTGCCTTTTACTGGACTTTATTAAAAGTTAGAAAGCATTATTGTCAAGTCATTTCTATCAGTTTCATTTTCATGCTTTTTTTTTTTTTTTTTTTTTGTTAAAGGGTTTGCTCATTTTCATGCTTTACTATCTACCCATCTTGTTTGGTCGGTAGTCAAAATCCGTAGCCAATAAGTATAATCTATCAGTAATTTACAAAATTAATTCCGATGAATTGATTCCGCATGAATAGGGAAAAACCCTGTTTAATACACAAACTTAATTTAATTTGGAAGAAAAATACACTAACTTTCTTTGATCCCATAACAATACACAAACTAATTTTTTGATTCATTTTAATATCCCAACTTTCAAATTTCGAAACTTTGCAACCACGATTAACGGCTGCGTTAACTCAGTAAACAGAAGTTAAGTGACGACGTCTAACATTAAAAAACGTGGGTTTAATTGAATTAAAAAGACAAATATGCCCATCTCACTTCTTCTTCTTCAAAGTATCTCATTCCCAAATCGATTTGGGGAAAATACATAAACACTAAGTAATTCAAGCTTCTTCTTCAAAGTAATTCAAGCTTCTTCTTCTCATCTTCAGATCTCTTCAACAAATTCCAATTTTCCAGTGATGACTCAATAGCTGTTCCACTCATCGTTTTGGAATATTTGCTCTAAGGTTCGTAAGTTCTTCCTTTAGGGACCCGATTTCATCTCTAGCTTCAATTAAACTAACCTTCTGCCAGCCATGAGGATTTTCTTTGTCTGCCCAACTGGAGAAGCCATGAACATCACACCTGAAAAATCTTCTCCCAGGATTTTCGTTTGTCCATGATTTCGACATCATGGTGGCTTTGTTGCAGTGACAGAAAGGACCAGGATTACAGTTGAGGCTATGTGTGTATGAGCTCGCGTCTGAATATTGGCTCTGTTCCATCCTCCAGATTTTCTGATTTTTATGACTGTCAAGGGAGAGCAAGAGATTGATTAAAATGAAATTAGGGTTTCTGTATTTTCCCCAAATCGATTTGGGAATGAGCTACTTTGAAGAAGAAGAAGTGAGATGGGCATATTTGTCTTTTTTTATTCAACTAAACCCACGTTTTTTAATGTTAAACATCGTCACTTAACTTCTATTTAGCGTTTAAACGGAGACGCTAATCATGGTTGCAAAGTTTCGAAATTTGAAAGTTGGGATATTAAAATGAATAAAAAAAAATAGTTTGTGTATTGTTATGGGATCAAAAAAAGTTGATGTATTTTTCTTCCAAATTAAATTAAGTTTGTGTATTAAACAGGGATTTTCCCGCATGAATAAAATGAAAGCTACATAATATTTTACCTAAAACAAGAAATGAAAGCTAGTAGCTAAATTAATTTGGATATGGACCTCAATTTTTTTCAGTAACAAAGTTAACTGAGAATTTTTTAATCGTGCGTATATAATACATCAACTATATGGTCCGCGTATTTAAGTATTCACACAACAGTATATGTATATTTTACTTTAAATCGATGCCGTTGACATGCGGGGATATAGTTACCACGATAATCACATGACGCAATGCCAAATAAAAACTAGCAATATCAATGATAACTAATTTTAATATACAATATAATCAATTAATCATAATATAAGTATATGATTGCTTTGGATTCCCCAACTATCGAATTTAATTTTTTTTTTTTTTTATAACCGTGGGTGATTCTAAAGGCTTTCTAGGCCCAAGACTAATCCCACAAGACCCACGGCAGTCCACGTTTTCTTACTATTTAAGACAGTCCGGGTGGCCGGGGACTCGAACTCGTGATGGCGGGCACCTCAGCTGAGGCTCCATTACCACCAGACCACGAGGACCCGGTTAATTTGATTTTATTTAGTACTCGCTTGTCCATTTTTTTTAAATAACTCTCGCTTACCTAATTTTATGCCAATCAATTCGATTCTAGTACTCGTACATTGTTTTCGCTATATCATATAATCACTAAATAATTTTACTCTGTTTTTTTTATCTGCTTTATTTGACCTTTGATGCAACGATTGGGACACGTTCATCCTACAAACCCATTTCACCATGCACGCAAATTTTGTTTGTTAATCAAAATTGTTTTATCTTTTCAGTTTTGTTTTCTGACTATGATTATTATAAGAACTTGATGTAAATATCATATTTAAACACCATTTTAAATGATTTACGTTCTTGTCAAAAAAAAATTATTTGCGTTCTTTAACAACAACAAAATGTTATGGTTGTTGACAAGATAATTTTTTCATTTATTAAGAAAATATATTGTAGCTGTCGCTGCCTTCTTATTTTACAATTTGTTCTGAATCAACTAACTTTTTATTTTTAAAACTCGATCAATAAATATCGTGGAGACTTTATAATTGAAAAAATGTAATTATTGAATTTATGATTTTATATCATCCACAAAAGACCAACTAGGATGTCGTCCATTTCTTTGTCCTTCTCCTGCCACAAGATAAATGACAGAGAGAGAACCCACCGTGCCAGAAAAACTAAACTTTCTTAGATAAACAATTTCAAATCCTTTCCTTAATTGCTCCATTTAATCTGTTTCGTTCTCTTTTGAGCATTACATAGATTTCTGATATTTTCTTTTTTGACCAAAAAGGCTATACTTCTGATATTTTCTCCCTCTCCTTTAGCTTCTTCTCCGTTGGGTGCTACGTCAGCTTTCCGAGCTTACGTCATCTCCCCCGGCGTTTCTGAGCTTCATTCCCCACGTGTGATTTCAGAGGTATCTCTCTCTCTATATATCTCTTTATACATCTAAGAATCTGATTGGTCTGTGATAAATCGAGAAATTAAGATCCATTACTGGATTCTGCTCCTTTTTTTCTTTTCTCAGTAAAACATTTATTTTTCCTAGCTCTTTCCACATGTGAGTTCTAAGAAACTGAAGTTTTTAAGATTTTGGAGTAAGTTTGGTTTCCCTTTATCACTTTGGGGGAAATGAAGATTTGGAAAATATCTTATTTTTTTTTGTTACAAACTGGAAAAAGCTTAATTAACGTATTTTTGAAGCAAATCTATGGGGATTGTTGTGTTTGCTTCTTTTAGCCTTTTAGGCCCTCTTATTAAATATTAAAATCACACGGTGCTGAGAAAAGTTCTGAGACTGTGATGGATTATATACATTATCTTCTCTTGTTAGTTTTCCGGGAAAAGCAAAAGAGAGAATCTTGGAATCTTGCAACTTGTTTGCCATTTCCTTATTAAGAAATATCTCCAAATGTTGTGTTTCTTTAAACAGAAACTTGATTTCCCTTCTAGTCAAAAGACTCCAAATCACATTTGGAACTTTTATCTCAATAGATAACCACTGATAATCTCAGAAACTTGTATCAGTGGAATTCCATGTCAGACTGATGAATATTCTACTAAAAAAAGTTCTATTTCTGTCTTTTAAATCCTTTAGATTCTAAGCACTATGACTCATCTTCTTCCTTTTAAGTTTTAACCTCTGCTGAGAACTTTTTTCTATTTTAACATTATATAATCTCCCTCTAGTTCTTAAACTATCCAAGTATCTAAAGATTTCTGGTATTCTTTTTTTTTCACAGATTCAGAATCATCTTAAGCTTGGCGAGAAAGTTACTCGTTGTTGCTTGACATTTTTCATCTTTTTGTGGAGACTAAAATATGGGACATTTTTCGTCGATGTTCAATGGGTTAGTTCGATCTTTCTCGATCAAGAGAGTTAAAAATAATAACGGAAACAACGACGCAAAGGAAGCTGCTGATGAGATGGCGAGAGAAGCCAAGAAGAAGGAGCTGATTCTGAAATCTTGTGGCTACGTTTACGCAGAAGGATCTAACAACTCGGCCTCTGTTTTCTCCAAACGCGGCGAAAAAGGAGTTAACCAAGACTGCGCAATCGTTTGGGAGGTACATTCATTCTTACGTTACTAATGTTTTTCGCCTCTTTTTGGCGTTTTCTTTCTGCGTTTGCGTTTGTTTGACTGCTTGACTTTTGGTAAACAGGGATTTGGGTGCCAAGAAGACATGATATTCTGCGGGATATTCGATGGACACGGTCCATGGGGTCACTATGTATCCAAACAAGTAAGAAACTCAATGCCTTCCTCGCTTCTATGCCACTGGCAAAAGACTCTTGCTGAAGCCACACTACTAGACCCCGAGCTCGACTTTGAAGGGTCTGATAAAAGTCTCTCAAGATTCGACATATGGAAACAGTCTTATCTCAAGACATGTGCATCGGTTGATCAAGAGCTTGAACATCACCGCAAGATCGATTCTTACAACAGCGGCTCAACAGCTCTAACCATAGTCAGACAGGTAAAACATAAAACAATATTGGTTTCCTAATTATTACAGTATATAATTTTTTTTTAGACTTTATTACATATGTTCACTGATCAATGGTTTCTTGTTGTAATATGTAGGGTGAAGTTATATATGTATCAAATGTAGGTGATTCAAGAGCGGTACTAGCCACGGTTTCAGATGAGGGAAGCTTAGTTGCTGTTCAGCTCACCCTAGATTTCAAACCAAACCTGCCTCGTTAGTTCTCTCAACCCCTCTTTAAAATCCATTAGCATTTTCACGAGTGAAATTTTTACCGTACTAGATCATGAAATTTAGGATTCTGTTGGTCCTAGTAATTAGAGTAGCAAACAAAACTATGAATTTTATTCTAGTAAACTCTTGAATCTTTTTTTTTATAATTAAACTTCTTGAATCTTGAATCTTGTGTTTGTTTTCTTATAAACAAAACAGAGGAGAAGGAGCGGATAATCGAATGCAACGGTCGGGTTTTCTGCCTCAAAGATGAGCCTGGTGTACACCGTGTGTGGCAACCCGACGCAGAAACGCCGGGGCTCGCAATGTCTCGAGCGTTCGGAGACTATTGTATCAAAGAGTACGGTTTGGTTTCAGTCCCTGAAGTCACTCAAAGACATATCTCTCCCAAAGACCACTTCATCATCTTGGCTAGCGATGGGGTAATTATTTATAAACCTTACATACAAACAAACATATACTCATTCACACTCTCTTAAATTAGTCAAAAGTTAAAAAAAGGCTAATGTAGAAAAAGAAAAACAACATTTGAAAGTAAATGAAACTAGAATATTTCATCTGAACCAATTGTACACTCGGTTATTTGCAAAAGTTATTAACCAACTTTTTTTCTTTAATATAAAAGATATGGGATGTGATCTCTAACCAAGAGGCTATAGAGGTCGTCTCATCTACGGCTGAGCGGCCTAAGGCGGCTAAGCGGCTAGTGGAGCAAGCAGTTAGGGCTTGGAAGAAGAAGAGACGAGGATACGCCATGGACGATATGTCTGCGGTCTGCCTTTTCCTCCATTCCTCTTCTTCATCTTCATCTCTATCAGAACACGTTCATCATGTCACGACTTATAAGTAAAAATTGCGTTGTAAATAGATCAGCGATAGGATTGCGTTTGTGACATTCGTTTTAAAATTTTAAATGCGGTCTTTTTGTCGCAGCCATCATGAGTTGATTAATACGTCTCAATGTCTCATACGAACAAAATTCCTTTCAACACATAACATCTTGATAAAACGGGACACATTCAAGTACTGTAATGTTGGGTGTATCCTTTTCATTAAATGGGCTTGGCCCAATATGGGTGTTCATTTTCTTTTCTTTTTTCCTTGTGAGGACAAGATCCTTAAATAGCAAATGATGGACGATGACTCTAACCTTAACACATGATATGGTGATGAAAAAATGGTAAATAGAGAACATATGCGGCAGATTCGATACCAAGTTGGAATAGTAGAATAAAATCAACATATATATGCACATGTATACTGTATGGTAACTTTTCGGAAATTTTATATGGACCATAACATTTGAGATGACACGTGAGCATAGATTCGTATTCTTTGTTTGGGAAGACAATGAACTCATCTTTGCATTTGATGTCATCATATGAACAAAATCAACATATTCGATGTAGTCTAACAACAAAATGTGATCATCACAAGTTTCCCTATATAAAATCCACACCACTCTTCTCCTTGTTTTAAATCAATCAATGTTATATCATTGGAAAGGAAGCACATCGTCATATCACCGCGTTATATTTCACTATCTTCTTTATATACATCGTAACTATTTTAAAGTATATCAATCTTGAGATATCGCGAGCAACATTTAAAAAAATTTCTTCTTGATGGGTATGAATGTATTTAAATCTGCATATGCTCATTATTGGCTCTCTCTCTTTTTTTTGCTCAATCGGGTGGTTTGGTATAAATCACGAACTAATGTTATATGATCGAAACAAATATATTTTCTTCAACAATTTTTTTTTAAAATATTTTATGTGAGTTGTATTCAAAAGAGAAGATAAGAGGATATAAATCTGGTCCATCGGTCCTCCCCAAGCAAATGGTCAACAAAATGAAGTCAACGAAGGAGAAGAACGTGAGAAGCGAGAATCTTGCAACTTGTAGATCAAGGTAAGTCTTTCACCTTTGTCGTTATCTTTTTTTTCTAGGCTTATGTCGGGTAGATCTTATTCTGGTCAGGTATATCACACCCAACAATCTACATTTAAAATTGCTTTCTTTTTCTTTCTTTTTCCTTCTTAACATACCATCATCCTTCAACATTGGGTTTTATCTGAAAAAGTTTTTAAAAGCTATTAGTAACTAATGAGTGGTGATCTATGTCTTTTATATATTATTCTAGGTTCAATCAAACTTTTAATTTAAAATATCTTAAGTTTTTATTTATTTAAAAAGAACACCACAAATTCAAAAATTTATAAAAAAGCACATGTACAGAAGAATTCCTAAATCATTTAGCAAATGTTTGTAGAAACCTTTACTAAATCACACGCGTGTGCTATTTTTAGAATTTTCAAGAGGCAAAACAGAGAAAAAAAAAGTATTTTCACATGACATTTCATGTTTTTAGTATATTTGTATCTCGAAAAGCAAATTAAATCATCGAAAGATCAAAAGTTTAATGATTGAAACACATTTTTAAACAACTCTTAGTGTTTTAGTGGTTGAAATGTTGTCTTCTAAAATGAGCGTGATATCAAATATTGTTCTTTCACCTGTTGCTTAAATCAAATAAAAGACAAGAAAGTCTCAACAAATCGCATATTACTTCCCGGGTGTAAATCATGTCATTCGTTTGATCCTTATATTTGAGATTTGATAACAAACTATTACTTATTGAAAAGTCTCAACCATTCATCTTGTATGATCGAGTGACATTATAAACGAAGATATATTGATCGAAATTCTAAGATTCAAAATTTAATCGGCTCACAACTATTATTATAAATGTATAATCAAACAATTAGCTACATAATAATATATAGAAGCTATGAGAAAACGAATGGGGACTATCTTATTTTTCAAGACTAAGTGTGTATTGACAGGTGGTGGAACAAATATGAGTTTATACACTAATTAAAAAAACAAACAAACTCATATTAGTTCTACCTCCTGCTGAAGCACACATTAATCTGAATAAGATTTCTTAGCTTCACATGTACACGTATATGTGTATATAGGTATATCAAGAACTTATATGCCTATTAGCCTATATACAATATTTGTTTTTTAATGATAAATGTTAACAACATAAACACGTTTCTACGACTATCCTCTATGGCTCTATCAGTGTACTATGTACTCATAAGTTGGCCATACATTACTAATGTCGTTAACGTATTGTATCAACAGATAAAAACAACTGTACTCAGCTTAAAAAAAAAATTGATATCAGAAAAAGACTTATCCTGTCCAATGAATTTAGTTATGCTAACGCATTTTCTAAAAGTATAATTATTCGATGGTCCAATGAGAAATTTCGGATTAGAGTTTCTTCACGTACGCATGTCCTTGTCCAAAAATATGTCAAGATCCGTACACAAAGTACATATGTTTTCAGAAGAAAGACATTTAGTTTAGATCCGGTACAGTATTAATTACTTTTGTTCGAACTTATCGATAAGATATTTATACAAATAATGAAAAGCAGATAATTCTGACATAACCTGCGAAAGTTCCAACGTGAACACCGTCATGGGATGTGCTGATTCGTGACGTTGGAAACTTGCAATAAACTCAGATTATTAGATCTATAATAATGCTTAATTGCTTATTGTTTGATTAACTTAACGATTGCACGTCATGTTTAAAAATAGTAGCACTATTGGAGGTCCCACTGACCTCTTCTTTAAACGGTCCAGATCGTATCTGCTTATCTGCCACGACAATCTCGCGTATTATCCACGTCAGACTAACGAATATGCTTTCTTCATATAAATTTTAAAATATTTCGATTTTTTAATAAATAGTTTGGGTCAAACAGATAGGTACGGTCGATGCACGTTACGTGGGACCTGCAAAGGGACAGACCTAACTTCGGTACAGTTTGAGTACGAAATCACCTGCTTCTGTTCCTACGATGGATCCATCACAAGCCGCTAAGATATAGACACGTGGTTTACTGACAGCCGTAAAGAGAATCTCTGACTCCAAGAACCAACACTTCATCAACCGTACAAAATTAAAACCAGGGGTGTTTCCGTCATTTCGTTTCTTTCTTCCTCTTCCTCGTTTTTTTTAATTCTCCTTTATATTGACCCCGAAAATAGAAGCACACAAATTGAAACTAGAGAGGTTCGGTTTTGGTTTTTCCACCGGAAAACTCCGAAGGTGTGGACTAATCGGAGTGATGAAACCGAAACTGAGAACCCGTTACCAAATTCGGATCCTCGAAAAACCGGTTCACCACTCTCTACTCTACCTCCGAGCTGTGTTCCTCTTCATTCCGACTTAAACAAAAAATCTTCTGAGATTTAAGTTTTCACCGAGAAAAAATCCGTACTTTTCTGATTCCAAACCCAACCAAAACCGCGGAAACACATTCGTTTTGTTTTGTTTTTTGGTCTGTTGCAAATGTCGCCGTCTCCATCCATTTTATCCGTTTTGTCGGAAGATCTTCTGGTTCGGGTTTACGGGTTTCTGGATCCGCCGTGTCGTAAAACGTGGCGTCTCATCAGCAAAGACTTCCTCCGAGTCGACTCGCTGAGTCGGACCTCGATCCAGCTCCTCCGAGTCGAGTTCTTACCAGCGCTTCTCATCAAGTACCCGAATCTCTCCTCCCTCGACCTCTCCGTCTGCCCCAAGCTCGACGACGACGTCGTTTCGCGTCTGGCGCTAGACGGCACCGTTTCAACGTCGCGCCTGAGGTCACTGAACCTGAGCCGAGCCACCGGAATCCGAGCCAGAGGACTGGACGCGCTTGCACGTTCGTGCCACGCTCTCGAGCGCGTCGACGTGTCTCACTGCTGGGGATTCGGCGACAGGGAAGCGGCGGCGCTGTCTGCTGCGGCGGGGCTGAAGGAGCTGAGGATGGACAAGTGCTTGAGCTTAAGCGACGTCGGATTAGCGTGGATCGTCGTCGGATGCAGCAAACTTAACAAGATTAGCTTGAAATGGTGTATGGAGGTCTCTGATCTTGGAATCGATCTTCTCTCTAAGAAATGCAAGGACTTGAAATCTCTCGATGTCTCGTATCTTAAGGTTCGTCTCAAAGTTTCTCTCTTCCTCTGTTTTCGTCATTCGATTCTTAGTGAAATGACATAAATTTGAAAAATTTATGAGGAATTGATTCCTGGAATGTGTTAAAAGTTTCTATCTTTGTGTATATCAATGTGAGATTGCATCATCTGAAAAAAAAACAAAAAACAAAAACATGGTTTTGGTTTCAATTCAGATCACTAATGATTCAATCCGCTCCATAGCTTTGCTGCCAAAGCTCGAGGTTTTAGATATGGTAAGTTGCTCTTTGATAGATGATGCTGGATTACACTGTCTTGAGAATGGTTCTCCTTCACTAAAGGTACTGCTTTTGACTTCACAGTCACACATAAAGCTTTGATCATTTGAATATTCGATTTAAATAAGAACTATATACAGGAGATTGATGTCACAAGGTGTGAGCGTGTGAGTCTTTCCAGCTTGATCTCCATAGTCAGAGGCCATCCTAATATTCAACACCTTAAAGCCAGTCACTGTGTATCCGTAAGTTTGCGATAGAGGCCTTAAATTAGTCTAATTGCTCTGTATTTTGACTCTTTAATCTTTGTGATTTCACAGGAAATCTCTGTGACCTTCTTACATCACTTAAAGGCATTGAAGCATCTCAAGACTCTAAAGATCAACGGAGCTCGTGTCTCTGATTCCTCTCTTTTAGCATTAAGCTCTAGCTGTAGATCCTTGACAGAAATCGGAGTGAGCAGATGTGTAGATGTGACGGATATTGGGATGATTGGTCTTGCACGCAACTGCTTAAACCTGAAAACGTTAAACCTTGCCTGCTGTGGATTTGTGACGGATGTAGCCATCTCTGCTGTTGCTCAGTCTTGCAGGAATCTGGAGACCCTAAAGTTAGAGTCTTGCCATTTGATAACCGAGAAAGGTCTTCAATCGCTTGGATGTTACTCCAAGCTTCTTCAAGAACTTGATCTTACTGACTGTTGTGGCGTAAATGACAAAGGTAAAGAAAAGATAAATGTGAAATCAAATTCCGGTTTTTGTTTTACATCTTACGTTAGAATTTTTTTACCACAGGGTTAGAGTATATCTCAAAATGTTCGAAACTTCAAAGATTGAAACTTGGGCTCTGCGCAAATATCACAGACAAAGGGATTTTTCATATCGGTTCCAAATGTTCGAAACTTCTAGAACTTGATCTATACCGGTAAATATTTGATCTAAATTTTGCCATGAAAAGTTGCAATTTCTTGATGGAAGACATTTGACCCAATTCTTGTTTTTTTGGTGCAGCTGTGGTGGTTTTGGAGATGACGGTTTAGCAGCTATATCACGAGGCTGCAAGAGCTTGAACCGGCTCATTCTATCGTACTGCAGTGAGCTAACGGACACCGGCGTTGAGCAAATCCGGCAGCTAGAACATCTTACTCACCTTGAACTCCGAGGGATAAAGAAGATAACCGGTGCCGGTTTAGCTGCAATTGCGTGCGGCTGCAAGAAATTGGGTTACTTGGACCTCAAGCTCTGTGAGAATATTGATGACTCTGGCTTCTGGGCGCTCGCTTACTTCTCAAGAAACCTAAGACAGGTAAAAACAAAATCAGCATTGGTAGGCTAAACCGATTGGTTTAGTACAGATTTAATACTTTGTGTTGTGTGTTTGGTTTGGCAGATAAACTTGTGCAATTGCTCGGTGTCGGATACGGCTCTATGCATGCTGATGAGCAATCTGAGTCGTGTTCAAGACGTTGACTTAGTTCACCTGAGCCGTGTGACTGTAGAAGGGTTTGAGTTTGCTCTACGAGCTTGTTGCAACAGGCTCAAGAAGCTCAAGCTTCTCGCACCTCTCAGATTCTTGCTCTCATCGGAATTGCTCGAGACGCTTCATGCTCGTGGTTGTCGTATCAGATGGGACTGAAGACAAGTATAGTCGTATAGACGACGTCGTTTCTCGCGTTGGCAGACTGTTTGTAGGTTTTTGGGGGTTCATAAACTCGACGTTAGAATTAATCAAACTTTAGTAGCGGTTATTTACTTATTTATAATAAATATCAGTTTAAAACAGGTTAATATATATAAGAGCACCATAATTTTTTTTGTTATCAATTGCATGAGAAACGAGAGAAAAATGATGTTTTATTTAGAGAAAATCAATGGCGGTCGTATAGTGTAAGGGTTGAACAATTTCATAGCTTAAAGAAAGAAACGATGGAAGTACATATTTTTTCTTAATAAAAAGGGAAATCAGAATAACACAATAGCAGATCATGCCTGTTGACAGCATAAACAACCAAACGAGCAAAAGTTGTCATACTTATTTCACAGACATACTCAATGACAATATATAATATGAACGTATCCGGTGAATATGAACATACTCAATAACTTACACATTCAACAGTTTTTTTCCATCGAAGGAGTATTTTTATCGTGTTTTATAAGGTTGTATCTACAAAGCAGGATGTTTCTAAAATTTTAAATATAATGTACTTAGATTTATGGTATAAATGACTCTATTTATTTTTCTCTTTTTAGTTGACAGACAAAACTTATCTTTTTACAAGAGTGCATTTATTTTTCTTTTTTAGTTGACAGAACTTATCTTTTATACTAAGATATTTTGCCAAATTTTATATTTTCACATTCTAGTATGCAATGACAGCTAAACTACTATTTTGAACAATGCACTGGAGACAGAAGTCACAAGATATTGGAAATATTCTTCTAATAAAAAATTATAAAAAAAGAAATGTATCAAGCTATGAAATTGTATAAATGTTATGGAAATATATATAACAAACTAATTTCTCATAAATATACATATATAATAATATTTTATTAAAAAATATAATAACTCATGACAAAGTATTTAACAATATCTGTTTAGACCATTTAAATATTATATAACCACAATTATATGATAACCAATATACACCAAACTAATTTGTAATCTAAAAATTATGAATAGCATAAACTTTTAGTATTGATCAAGATTAATTTTTAATAGATCTCTTCTATTTTAAAATTATGGCAATTAGGAGATATAAAACTATCATAATAACATCTCTTTTGTTAGATATAATGATCTTATACTCTGATTATTATTATGTATACTAATTATACTCACATTTACCAATATTATACAGAAATATGTAGTATATGATGATATTGAACATTTGGACAATCTTATATGCTAGGTTAATAATTGTGAGGAAAATATATCTTGTAACATAGTATTAATAGCTTTTCAAAAATGATACAGACTACAAATGCATACATATACTTTATTATATAGCTTAGTAAAGTATGGAATTTTTTTCTATATGATGTGTGATGTGTAATGTAATAGAATAGCAAATTTTTATTATTATAAATAATGTTACAAAAGAAGCAAATAACATGAAATAAAAATAAAGAGGTAATAGTATTATTATGAAGGAAAAAAAATAGAATTACATCTAGAGAGACAAATCAAGGCCCCAATCCTTAGAATTATCGATGATGAAACTATGTTCTCTGAAGTTTGGAATACGATCTACTACCGAATAATGTTCACGACTTCCAATGGTTGAAATGAGATCTCTTGTGTAAATCTCCGGAATACGACCATTGCCACAAACAAAATTTAGTGATAAATCATGTAAAAACGAGGATGAAGGAGATGAGAATGGAGACTCAGCACCCATGGTCAAACAACCATATTCAGAACTATAACCAATATTCCTAAATGGCTTGACATTAGAAAAATCAGAGAAACGACCACTAGTACTAAAGTTATCGAATGTGAAGTTATTTAAAGTTCGACCAGCTTCTGGAAATCTAGAATTGTTTGAGTACCGATCAAAGTAAAATGGGCTAGGATGCTCCGGCTCCATCTCTTTCCTGAGAATAAATTTGTGGCTTTGCATTGAGGAAACTCTTTTCTGCTTTTAAACTAAAGGCTGTAAGACAAAAAAATTCCAGACAACTCAACCCACTTTGCTTATATAGGAGGGTTTTTTTTTGCACATTTAATGACAGAAAAACTATGTCCTATTTATTAGTCCGAAGAAGTTAACGCACTCATTAAGCTTATCAAAGTATTTAAGGTACAATATTTCTGGGGTTCAACAAACACATTAATGTCGTGAAAGTAGAAAGAGTTATTTTCAAATTATAAGGAAACAGATAAGGCTCATTATTTAACTTTGTTCCTTAAATGATATTTTATGTGCTTATATTGTTCTAATATAGTTAGGTAAATTAAGTCATTAGCAAATTAACACTCAATTATTGAATAGTACATGTTAAAAACAAGTCATAAAAATTAATAATGATTCATGCATGTAATTTTATGTCATTAGAGATAGGACAAAATGATTTGTTCTTGGATATCATTTGTTTTTCGTGAAAAATAAAATTATTCAGATATGTTTTTAATAATTTGGTAGAAGGTTTATCTTTCCTACTAATAAAAGTGAAAAACTGTAGGCTGGCTACATTAAATGGAGTAAGGTTTTTTCCTCAAAAAAATGCTACAAAATTTTCCCAAAGGAAAAATATATCCAATTAAATTAAGTTTTTTATTTGGAGAGACTGAGTATTATGACAAAATTTACCAAACAAAAACACTAATATGTTCATTTTGATAATTAAGTGATTGTATGCATGTAACTGTTTAAAAAAAAATGATATGTATAGAGCTTATAATATAGATAAACTTATTTAAATAGTGGGTTTTTTCGGCTTTCGGCAAATATTTTATATTATTTTAACTGAAAAATTACATAGTCACAATATGAAACATTTCTTAACCAATTTGGTGGAGAAATACTATTAGAATACAGAAAGCTATTTTTTATATATAACATAAGGTAAATCCTAAATATATGGAGGCTCAAACTAATTTTTAAGGAATGTGCAGTTCACGGATAGACCTTCTACCGTATAATTAAATGGATCAAAAATAAGAATTTATATCCATGTCCCCAAATGAAATAAAACAAACTATTAGGTAAACTATGACAAAATATGAACAACTTCACTATAAACGCTCAACATAAAAAACCGAGAGTCTAGGAACGAACTCTTGTTGTCCAGAAGTTTATGTCTTTGCATGTGTTTTTTAGATTAATGTCTTTGTTTGAACACTGAAGAATGTTGATCATTATGAAAAAGTACGCTAATTGCAACATTTTTATGACAACAATATAATTATATGACAAAGTCTTATCTCTATTTGAAATGTTTCATTTTATCACAAAATTATTATTTTACTGGTAAATTTAGTGAATAAAAAAACTAGAAATGTGTACTTTATTATTGGCCAAATGCGCATGATTTTCTTTTTTTCAATATGTTTTTATGGGCCAGATCTCACACACAAAATCTATCACCAACAATTATATTTTTAAAATTAATAAAATATTGATTTATTTTCAGTACTTAGATATTTCATATTTTAAAAATGACAAATCCGTAAAAAAAAAAAAGAATGATCCAAAAGAAGTGACTGATCCGAGCCAATTGATTATTATTAGTTGTTGTCGTTAGCGACTGTTTTGTTGATAACAATCATAATTTTAATTGTATCGTTCATAGATTCATCGACTTATAATTGTTGTTGTTAATCTCTATGATATGTTGCTGATTCTACTGGTCATTGGTCGTTATAACAGATAAAGGAATAACGTGCGGTTATTGGCTACGTCCAGGAATGACTACCAAAAAAATATGATGTAAACATTATTTCTATATAATTAAGGTTTTTTCCATATTAATATAATATTATATCCAAAAATTGATGTTTAAAATAAAATAAAAATAGACGATATATATAGTAGACATATTTTTGAAAATTTGAGTCAACACGATCTCTTCAAATTACTTTTAAAAATATTTGAAACGCTTCATCTGATGTTCTTTTCATAAGGACGATATTTACCTATAGCGACATAGTGTCTTAGTGCAACACTTCAAGGTGATTTATAATCAGTTATTCTCTTTCGTTTTACTTGCTCTAAATCACAACACTTTGAAAATTGCACTCATGAGATATATACATTGCAACGATAAAAGAAACAAGAAAATCAGGAATTAACGGAAAAATCAACTCAAACACAATTACATCCGAATAGAAGAAGAGATGCTACAAGGAAAGGAACATTTAAAATGAAATACATTAATTGAAATAAAAATAAAAAAGGAGAGAAAAACGACAATCATCATATAGAGAGAGATGTGGTAAAAAAGGGGAGGTCTCTAAGTGCTATGATACCTCAAATAATGAAAACTAAATTAATAACGCATAGGACTAAACGATACTCAAAGGGACAGAGATAAATCAATCCCCCAGGTTTTAGATTTTCCTTCTTCTGGCTGATCATCATCATCATCAATCTCCACAATGATGTTCTTTCCGACCTTTGAGATGAAATTCTCCTCGCCCAAAGCTTTCACTTGCGAGAACAAATTGCTAGAAAGGTTGGTGGTTTGAGCAAGAGGAAAAGAATGAACATTCCTAGGGATCACCGGGTGATTGTTGTTGTAGGGAGGCATGTGCTGACCAAGCCTCCTTGAAGAAGAACCATAGGTACATGTGTTCCCGGTGAAGAACCGAGTAGGAGTCAAACGAGGAACCACGGTCACGTTATCCGGGATACCTCTATTGAGCCCATTATTGAAGGATGGGTACATGGTGTTGCTAATCTTGTGTTTAAAAGGATCAAGAGTGATCCCAAGATGATTATCATTTGATAAAGCATCTTGTGAATACCCACCTAAGAGCAGGTGAGGCTTGTCTAGGTAGGGATTCAAAAAGGAGTATCCGGGGAAGTCTGCTTCCATCTCCTTCCGCTTCTTGTCCCACTCCCTCTCTTGCTTGTGTGCGTTCTGGTGACCGCCTAGGGCTTGAGAGGTTGAGAACCCCTTTTTGCAAAAGTGACAAGTGTAGATCTTGTTCGATTTTGCCGGGTAATACCTCATGATCTCTCTTCCCGTTCGGATAGGACCAGATCTGGAACCAAGGTTCTCAGTCCTCCTTTCAGACATAACCTCCTCACGAGACCCTAGACTCAGATTGGTGTTCTCCGCTGCCTTCTCCTTGGACTCTTCCATGGGCACAACAAGGCTTATGAGTTCTTCTGGTTTGGGTGTGGAAGAGCTTGAAGAAGAGAGAGTTTGGTTCTCCATAACAAATATTTTTTCTTTCCTTTGTTCGGATTGACAAGTGATATTTGGTCTCTATCTGCTAGATTCGAGAAATGAGGCCGCTATTTATTGAGAAGATAGTCTTGATGTTTGTTAACAACTATTATGGTATTAAATCTCCGAGGGTAAAATTAGAACTACGTACTCTGAATTCGTATCTCCAAAGTTGGGGTTGTTTCGTTTAGTTATGTTGATTTTACTCTTTTTGTCTTACAAAAGAATAAAACTACTAAGCGTCGCAAAAATTCGTTAAAACAACTGTTACAAACATTCATATTTTACTGTCTTTTCTATGAAACTGCGCCTCATTTTTGGATAAAGATATCTTAATTAACATATTAAAATACATTAAACAATTAAGGAGCCAGCTAGTCAAAGTAGCATCTTTCACTGTTATGGAAGGATGATGTTATTCTTCACTAGTTTTATAGAAAATATTTAAACACGGCAAATACAAAGAAACTGCAGTGTAATATATGGAAAATATAACGTGGAAGATGTTTCATAAAGACTGTTCTTAGCCTGACTACAGTTGTGTCTTCGTGGGATTTCTTTAATTAGCTTTTCAGTCATAATCAACTTTTACTTTCTATGTTCTGACTGGGAGAAAAATACCCCAAAAGGAAACAAAATGACAAAGGTGGTGCATGAACTATAAAGTTTAACAGCTTTATTCCAAATAAATGTATTCTCGGATATGCATCCAAGAATAAAAAGCTTGAATACCTTTAGTGGCATTTTAATTTCTTAAATGAGACTACAAATTATTGGTAAAAAATATCTAAATACATTCATGAATACTAGTGTTTCAAACAGTAATATAAAATTATTATTTTTTGTGGGGAATACCAACTTTGCATTTTTTCCAAATTACACAATTTACACGCCTGTAAATAATCAATCTATTTTTTTTTTGATAAAGGTAAATAATCAATCTAGGATGATATTTCCAGCGAAACTTATATAAAAAGATGAAAACCCAAAGCGGAATAAAAATTTCATGCAGGAAATTTGCCTCTGTTAAGATTAGGAAGAGATTTTCTTAAACAATTTGACAGATTCCATTATTGCTAATGAAAAGAAAGCTTACTTTTATTCCTAAAATGTGTTATATGTGCTTGCAATTTTATTATTCTACAATTTAACTCATATATAATGTATACTTTTTACTACAAGTACTTGTTGAGGTTTGTCTTTAAAAACATGTTCACTTTCGAGGGTTAACACACGATTTTTTTTTTTGGTTAAACATGATTTATTATTTATTGACAAAAACAAAACGGTTCAATTAGGTGTAGCCAATCAAAGAACGAATAAAACATGGATGTCATCGTCGTCCCTACTAACCTATGTGACCCCGTCAGAATCGTAAATCTATTTTAATTTCTATTACACCTCAAAATAAGATTATTAATTTTCCATGTTTAGTAACTCAGAAGGAAGAATAAGGGGAGCAAAAAAATAAAACCACAAACCTATATTTGTCTGTCCCTCTCGCTCTGAAGCCGAACGGCTTTCCCGCCAAACCTCATAAAACAAAGCAACCAAACTACAAAACCCTTTTATCTGTCGGAAACAAAACTCCCATTGTAAATATTTTAAAAACTATGCAAAATTCACACTCCTAAGGAGGCTACGTAAGCTTCGAAACAGGAGTCTATCCAAAAAAATAAAAAGCTCTTTTTAAATAAATAAAAAGCAACAAAAGGGAGCTTCTCACTTTATACCCAAAAAAAAAAACCAAAAAAAAAAATAGAAAAAAAAACAAAAAAATATGCCATACGGAACATATAACGATGATTCAAAGAGGAAGAGGAGGTATGTAATTATCTCCGTCTCCTCTGTTCTTCTGGTCTCAATGGTTGTCGCCGTTACCATCGGCGTTAGCGTCAATAATAGCGATAACGGAAGTACCGAAGAAATCAAGGCTTCTGTTAAAGCCATAAAAGACGTTTGCGCGCCAACGGATTACAAGAAGACTTGCGAGGATACACTGAGGAAGGATGCGAAAGACACATCGGACCCGTTGGAGCTTGTGAAGACAGCGTTTAACGTGACGATGAAGCAAATAACTGACGTGATGAAGAAGTCACAGACTATGATTGAGCTTCAAAAGGATCCTAGGGCAAAGATGGCCTTGGATCAATGCAAGGAGCTAATGGATTACGCGATCGGTGAGCTTAGCAACTCCTTTGAGGAACTGGGGAAGTTCGAGCTTTATAAGGTTGACGAGGCGTTGATCAAACTAAAAGTTTGGCTCAGCGCCACGATTACACATGAGCAAACTTGTATTGATGGGTTTCAAGGGACAGAAGGTGAAGCAGGCGAGACGATGAAGAAAGCATTGAAAACCGCCATGCAGCTAACGCATAACGGTCTTGCAATGGTCGACGAAATGTCCAACTACTTGGGGCAGATACAGTTTCCGGAGATGACTAGTCGCCGGCTGCTGTCGCAAGAGTTCCCTTCGTGGGTGGATGGTCGGGCTCGTAGGCTCATGACCGCTTCATTGTCTGAGGTCAAACCAGATATGGTGGTGGCTCAGGACGGAAGTGGCCAGTACAAGACAATCAGCGAGGCATTGGAAAATGTTCCGAAGAAGCAAAACGCGACTTTTGTGGTTCACATTAAGGCCGGAATCTATAAAGAATTTGTTCAAGTGAACAGGACCATGCCAGATCTTGTTTTCATCGGCGATGGCACTGACAAAACCGTCATTACCGGTAGCAAAAGTTTCAAGGACGGTATTACAACCTACCGTACAGCCACCGTTGGTAATGATTTTTATGATATCTCTTACCATTTCCTTTTTTTTTTCTTTCTTTATTACGAATTTGTATTTGAACGAGTCTTGATTATTGTTATTGTAGCAATCGTTGGAGACCGCTTCATTGCCAAGAACATGGCGTTCGAGAACACAGCCGGGGCGATAAAGCATCAAGCGGTTGGGATTAGGGTTTTATCAGATATGTCGATATTCCACAATTGCAGATTCGATGGTTACCAAGACACTCTCTACGCACATTCCCACCGTCAGTTTTACCGTGATTGTACCATCTCTGGCACCATCGATTTCCTCTTTGGAGACGCAGCTGCGGTTTTCCAAAACTGCACTTTCTTGGTGCGTAAGCCACTCGACAACCAGGCATGCCCCATCACCGCCCATGGACGTAAAGATCCGAGAGAATCCACCGGATTCGTGCTCCAAGGCTGTACAATTGCTGGCGAACCGGATTACTTGGCAGTCAAGGAAACTAGCAAAGCGTATCTTGGAAGGCCATGGAAAGAGTTTTCAAAAACTATCATCATGAACAGTTACATCCCTGATTTTGTTTCGCCGGAAGGATGGCAGCCGTGGAACGGCAATTTCGGCCTTGACACGCTCTTCTACTCGGAGGTGAGGAACACTGGACCGGGTGCACCAGTCGCGAACCGGGTTACTTGGAAGGGAATCAAGAAGTTGACTGAAGAAGAAATCATTGGATTCACTCCAGCTCAATACATTCAAGGTGACGAATGGATTCCCGGTAAAGGTGTTCCATACACCCCCGGTCTTTTCGGCGTCAACGGCACTGACGAGGCTTCCTCCAATTCCACATTTACCGGACCACCAGGGTCGGCAAATTCTACCGGTCCTGGTTCTAACACAACAGGGTCACCTTCTGCTTCTCCAGCCGCTGCTCCAGCTCCAGGAGCATCTAACACAACAGGTTCCGGTTCTAACACAACAGGGTCACCTTCAGTTTCTCCATCAGCTTCACCTTCAGCTCCTCTCTCAGCTTCGAGTTTAACTTCTTCTTCAGATTCACCTTCGGCTTCTCCAGAAACTACAACTTCACCTTCGTCTTCTCCTTCAACTGCAACTTCACCTTCAGCTTCACCTTCGTCTTCTCCTTCAACCACAACTTCACCTACAGCTTCACCTTCGGCTTCTCCAGAAACTACAGCTTCACCTTCAACTTCACCTGCAGCTGCTCCAGAAAGCTCGGTGTAGATGGATGCGTCTAACCAGAGATCGTGATTCGTGTGTATATATTTGCTTTCTACTTGAAAAGCTTAAAACGAAGTTCTAGAAAGAAAATTATTTTGTCAACATTGTATATTGTAAATTCATCTTAAAATTTTCGGGTATATTGATTCATTAAAATTAATTAGTACATATCTTTTATTGCTTCTATAAATGAGAAGATTTCATACGACGCTATATGAAATTATGAATCATATACATAAATAAACATAGGAATACATAGAGTTGGTGATTTCAAATTGAGAAAATTATTGAAGTTATACAGAGTTCTAAAATAAAAATTGTAGGCCTTAAAGTGTTTGGGCCGAGACTGCTATTCTGCTATCCAGGCCTTAAAGCAGGGATTCTCCCAATTGCATAAAACTCCTCAACCTTTTAATATTTGTAAAGGGTACCATAAAGGTTTCTTTTGTTACAATTAAACCCTCTAATTATTCCGAATTCTGTATGTGAATCTTTCTTAACAGATATTTGAGCAAAACCCTTAAGATCTAATTTTTCTGTTCGATTTTCCTCTAAACAATGGCGGCTTCATCGTCTTCTTCCTCCTCCGACGTGTCCTCTGACTCTTCAGACTCTCATCGCCGCCGCAAGGATCGCCGTCGCCACCGTCGAAGCGAGCGAGACAAGGATTCGCTCAAGGTACGGAAGAAGAGCAGCTCCGGCTCTAAACGACGCCGTAGACGCCAGAACCCTTCCGATTCCTCTGATTCTTCCTACTCCGATTCCTCCAGGTAATGCTATCAACTATCTCTCGCCGAGAAATACTATTGGAAGCTCTAATTTCTTAATTCGTGGTGAAAAGACTTTGATTGTATTTCTGGATCGGAGCACTTGGTTTCATTGTTCATTGATGTTAGGTTGTTGGTTTAGTATCATAGATAATATAAACCTCTCTAACTTATAGCGATTATCTGCGATGACTTTTTGGCAGAGATGAGAGCTCAGATAGTGAGCACGAGAGGTCACGAAAGCACAAGAAGCACGAGAAGCCAAAGAAGGTTACTTGTTTTCTCAATTCACAATCATCTGATATCTCTCTTATGGTTTTCAGCTTAAAAGCAATCCTTTGTGTTTGTAGGCAAAGGACAAGGAGCGAAGCAAGAGTCATCGTCATAAACGGCATAAGAACAGAGACAGAAAGGTGGGTCATTTGTTCTCTTAATGTTGTTATATGAATCGTTATTTTGCCTCGGATTAAGTATTCATCAAGATGGCAAGTTACTGATAATACTTCTTTTGCCTTTCTCTGTGGCCTCTTCGAACTTGGAGCTGGGGTTGGTGACATGCTAAACCGGGTACATTGTTGATTTCCTTGTTTCTGTTTTTCTTCGGTTTGTATTTTTCTTTCTTTTTTGGTCCTGGCAATGTGAGTCTTGTATAGAAAGGGGAAGGAGAAGGAAGTAGCGGGCCTGTTAAACTATCAAAGGTACTACTAAAGCTATATACCCTCATATGATCTAAACACTTTACATGATGTCCATGCTTTTGCTTACCGTGACTACTCTCTTTTGTAACTCAGTTTTTGAGCCGGAGCAAGGACGATGGTGAGCGTAGAAGTGCTGTCTCCGGGAAAAAGGTCAGTTGAAACTCTCTCTCTCTCTCGGTTTCTTGATTTGGTTATTGCTCACGTTCTTATTCTGTGTTTTGGCTACAGATTCTGCTGAAGGTTGACAAGTCGAAAGAGGACAAAGCTGCAGAGAGCAAGAGAAATGAGTTGCTCAAGTTCTTGAATGCAAGTTTCGACTAGGTTTTTGTTTCTTTTTCTTTTGTATCCATGATGGAATCGAAACAACAAAATTGTAAGACGGGTCTTTGATCAGATTTTTGGTTGCGTATCTGTCTGCCGATTAAGATTATCTGTTTTTTTTTTATCCAAAGAACCAATCTGTTGTGGAATTGAGTTGATATTATAGCATGTTGAATTTGTTTCGTGATCTCTATTCATTCTCTTGTTTGGTTGCCTTTTCGCACTTTGTTCTTCTTGGAACCCGAGAAATGGTTACCAAGATTTTATCGCTGCGTATATCAGACCAGTTCCAACTTCCAATATGGAACTTTTGAGCTTTCTCCGGTTCCCATGGAGTTATGCTCCAATGTTGTTGGAGTACACAGTTTTGCTGTTCTTATTTGACAATCTTCATTATGTACATACTCTTGAACAGTTTGTTTCCTTCCACGTCCAATGGCTTTTCTTCTAACCGGCTGGACCAATAGGTCAAGTCTCTTCTAATATACGATCGGTTCTGAGTTGAATAAACAAATTTGCCAAGTAGAATCTAGTATGCAAAATGAAACTTAGTGAATCACAGTGGTAATGTAGAATCTTGCTACTTCTAGACAATATCGATAAGGTTTTAGTAGTGATAAGTTGACAAGTTTTAAGCAAAACACTGAATTGTCGATTAGAACAGAGACAGAAAACTTGAAACAATGTCTGCAATAAGCAAAGAGGAACAACCATAGAGTTTTCTACCAAAACTTCGATTCTGAAACAGATGATAACGAAACAACAATCCTCCGGAAACAGCATAAACATCTTAGACCTTGAATCCACGACTCTTTCGCTTTCCTCTAGCTTTCTCGAACTTCCTTCCCTTACCCCTAACATAGGGCTTAGAGTGACTGTGTGGCACACCAGGAGCTGGTCCAAAGTGCTTCACCGCTTCACGCGAGTTCTTTGGTCCTCTAAGAAGAACCTGTCATTCAAACACATCAACATAGACTCAGTCACATGTTAACTTCAAACCATTTTGCATTCAGACAAACACGATTCATTACAAATTACTCACCGTGTTCTGGCCCAAAGGAGCTCTGAGAGCAAGCTGGTCAAAGGTTAAGCACTCTCCACCAGCTTTCTCAATCCTAGCTCTAGCCCTCTCTGTAAACCTCAAGGCAGTCACTTTCATGCTAGGAATCTCTTGAATTCTCAAATCATCAGTTATAGTTCCGACCAACACAGCAATCTTCTCCTCCTGCAACAAATGTAATCGTAACATTTCAGTACTCATAACATCGCAACATTTCAGAGCTAACCAAAATTTAACCAAGCAATAAAATGATAGTGAGTGTGTCATTTATTCTCATTTACTTAACATATGATAATGGAATTCGAAGAAATGAGATTCAATAACACTATGTATGACCAAGCGCAGATGAATATATTATAGAGGAAGAGAGAGAGGGTTTCAAAAGAATCAAACCTTGCCCGTCATGAAACTGGCGAGCTTAGAGAGAGAAAGAGGAGCTTTGTTGACTTTGCTCATGAAAAGCCTCTTCAATATCACAGCATTGAACTTGCTTCCGGACCTCCTTACCAAAAACCGGTAAAGCTGCAAAAGATTATCAAATAAAAAAGATCAAATCTCAATAAAACTAAAATTTACCGGAACAAACAGAGAAACATAAGGATGATAGGATCTCTCCATGTTTATACCTTGACGAGAAGCTTGAGGTAGATATCGTCGGACTTTGGGGCTGTCCTTTTGGTCTTCTTACTCTTACCTCCGGCGATGAGATCGATACCCTACAACGACGAGAAAAACCAATGAATCAATTTTTTACATAAACATCTCCAAATTAAACCTCAAAAGACATAAATACATAAATTTCACAGTAAGCTATCTTCCAAATACAACAACCTAATGAAAAAATGCAGACACCACACTCGAAATCTACAAAACTAGATTCCACTATCGAAACGCAGAAACCTAAGGAACAATCATCCTCTAATTCAACCAGATCAAGCTATTAGACGAGAAACAGGAATCTCAGAAACAAAAATTGAGCTGCGGAGATTAGGAAGTACCATGGCTTTGCGCTGTCGAGGGACTGCTACCGAAGGAAGACGAAAATGAAGTTAAGAGTTGATGAATTTATATGACTATTGATCGCTTGCATTTTAGGTTTCATAACTTCATCTTCGTTTTGGGCCCAAACTATAAAGCCCATTAGTACATTTCGTAGTAAATTTCGGATCAATTTAACACTTTCGATAAATCAGGGTTGGTTACTGAAATGCTTACAAAGTTTTGGATTCGTTTTTAATTTTCCCGTATTATAATCTTTCTTTTGGATTATCCTCTACCAAATTGATCGACTTTCCTCCTCTGAATTTTAAGACAAATAGATTTGATTATTCTTTTTTTTTTCTGGGTTCTCTTTGTTTGACCCTCTTCATTTCTTGTTTCCTACATTATCTCGGGAAAATTCAATCTCTCCATTTCTCCGATCGGGTCTTCATTTGATCGGTACCCAAACACGACCCGTTATTCCTCGCCTGTTCCGGCGCAAACCCTTTGTATCAATTTTGGATTCTGGTTGAGAAAAATCGGGATCTGAGAGGAAGAAGAAGACGACGATGATGACGAGTATGGAAGGGATGGTGGAGAAAGGAGTGTTGGATGATATCATAAGGAGATTGTTGGAAGGTAAAGGAGGCAAACAGGTTCAGCTTTCGGAGAGCGAGATTCGTCAACTCTGCTTTAACGCCCGCCAAATCTTCCTCTCCCAGCCCAATCTCCTCGAGCTCCATGCCCCAATCCGCATCTGCGGTAATCTCTCTCTCATGATCGATTGATTTGATGATTGAAATGCCAAATCGCAAATGAAATTGATCGAATTGTGTAATTAACGTTTTTATTTGGGGGGATCTCTCTCAGGTGATATCCATGGCCAGTATCAAGATCTTCTGAGGCTATTCGAATACGGAGGCTATCCTCCGTCGGCGAACTTTCTCTTCCTCGGCGATTACGTTGACAGAGGCAAGCAAAGTCTCGAGACCATATGTTTGCTTCTCGCTTACAAGATTCGTTACCCGTCGAAGATATTCCTTTTGAGAGGGAACCACGAGGACGCTAAGATCAATCGGATATACGGATTCTACGACGAATGCAAACGGAGATTCAACGTGCGTCTTTGGAAGATATTCACCGATTGCTTCAACTGTTTGCCCGTAGCCGCACTCATCGACGATAAGATCTTATGCATGCACGGCGGCTTGTCGCCGGAATTGGATAATCTGAATCAGATTCGAGAGATTGAAAGGCCTACGGAGATTCCAGATGCTGGTCTTCTCTGTGACCTGCTTTGGTCAGATCCTGATCAGAAGATTGAAGGCTGGGCTGATAGTGATCGAGGTATCTCCTGCGTTTTTGGAGCTGATAAAGTCGCTGAGTTCTTGGATAAGAATGATCTTGACCTCATTTGCCGTGGCCATCAGGTATAAAGATTCAAAATTGGAACCTGTGAATTAGCTTTTGTTCTAAAGGTAGAGACTTTATGAGATCTTTCTCACTGTATTTGACATGTGTGTTGGTTTTGTGTTGTTGCAGGTAGTGGAAGATGGGTACGAGTTTTTCGCAAAAAGGAGATTAGTGACGATATTCTCAGCTCCAAACTATGGTGGAGAGTTTGACAACGCTGGTGCATTATTGAGCGTGGACGAGTCTCTTGTTTGCTCCTTCGAGATTATGAAACCTGCCCTAGCTTCTAGCAGCGGTCAACCTCTCAAGAAGGTTCGTTTCTGCCAATGAAAAATATAGATTTCAAGCCTATTTTTTAACACAATTCTTCAGCTAGAACGAACTGAAACTTGAAACTTGCTGAAAAAGATGAATGAATAAGACTTCTGCAACAGAACCTTAGGTTTCAATGTGAGATCTTAGCAAGGCGATGAAGAGTTATGTTCTTTTTCGCATGTTTGTGCACACTTTAACGTCTATTTTTCGCTATGTTTCTCTTTATCAGGTACCGAAAATGGGGAAGTCTTGAAACTCGAGTCTTCTCTCTCAAGATAACGGTTTCACAGCTCAAGCTAGGCTCAAGATTCAGACTTACATTATAACTGTGTTTGTGTCTTCCGTTATGGGTTGAATGCAATGAAGAACCCAAAGGGTCCTTAGTCATCACACAACTTCTGTAAAAAAAAAAAGTGAGAACATAAACACACGTCGTTTTCTGTGTATAGATGCAGAATGATCTGTTTCAGTTTCTGCTTCTGGAGATTTCTTTTAACCCTTTTAGCTTTAAGTTAGTGTGCCTTCTCTTAGATTTTGTTTTCTTGCTTATTTTCTTTGTTCTTGTGCTACAAACCCTTTGGAATATCATCAAGATACCACGTTTCTTCAATTTTTTTGATCTAATGTTCTCATCAGTATAACAGGCAAACAATACTTCTCCCAATTGGCAAAATTTCACTTGAGACAAGCTTTTACACAGTAAATGTTCGACCTTTATAACAGTTAATTGATGGCTTTTGCAAACATATCCTTCCATAAGCTTACTCAGCTTGTTCATTGGTGAAAAGAAATCAACTTTGAACTATTCTTCTATTTATAGCTGCACTGTATGAATTCCCATTCGCGTTCCCTCCCAATCTATGAGCGGTCCTCTGGATCGCAGCTAGCCGCTGCTTCTGATTACGGTCACTCCATTGCCTGTAGCATCAAAAGCAAGCGTTAGTAACGGTAAGCTGTTACTTGTAATCATATACAATCAGAGAGCGGAGAGAAAGAGGGAAACCTGATCAAGAACATTCCCGCCACAAGAAACGACACTCCCAAAGAAATCTTCTGACTCGTTTTCATGCCGCGAACCCATTGCAGAAGGTCTTTAAAATATGACAAAGTCTCAGTCTTTAAAGGCGTCTTCTTCCGGGAGTCTCTTGACCATGATTCCACCACTGATTCTAGGCTTGCTTTACTTCCGTAACACGGCTTTTCTCTGGAATCCTCATTTGCTTGAACAGCAAAACCAGCTGCTTCACAGAACGCTGTGCCATTGGACTCCCAATTTGAGGCCTTTACGCAGATGATATCGTTGTTTACTCCACAAGGACCAATCACCTAACCGCACAATGAAACTCTCAGATTCCAAAAATCTACAGAAAGGCAAAGTCTTTGCATTTGGTTATCACAATCTTCTTCTAAACACCAAGTGGTACCTGTGTAAGTGGATTACTGGCGAAGTATGCGTCTTTGCAAGCATCAAAGACTCTGTCACAAAACGAGGCGCAAATGCGAGGAGGACCCGGTTGGATTCCAACATTCGGGTTACAGATGGAACACTCCAATAACTCGAACAAATGCAGACAGTCTTCACTAGCTTCTCCATAAGTAGCCAAGTTTCTGACAGCAACGAAAGCAGGGTTTGTCTGAGCAGGAGAACAACAAGTCCTTTTGCGGAACACTCTGCACAGAGTAAGATCCTTGGATCCTCTGCTAACAGATTTAGGAGGCTTTCCTTCTGATTCATATGGCGCAAACCGGCCTCCTTTAGATATGCATACTCCTTTCGATTCCGGTTTCAATGCACCTGAAAACATATTGTTCTACAGTTATTCTAAACCGAATTCAATTCCAACAACAACAAAACGAACTTTTCTCACTTTTAATTGAACAAATTTGATAATTGTTGCAAAACACTGAAGAACAAGCTGAGGAACAAACGCAATGCTCAAATTTCTAATCAATTTGATTTTGCATCAGACGACTCAAGACGAGAAATCCGAAACAAACAACGAAATTCGAAAAAGATTGAAACTTTGAGTGTTAAAATCCGATATCTCTGATACCCACTTTCTGAAAAATCAGATCAAATGGAAATGTCAAAAAGAAGAGCCCTGAAGATTCGATACTAACCGGAAGAAAAGGAGATCAGGAGATGAAGAAACAGGATCGGACTCTGAATCAGAAACACCCTCTTCGTTAAACATCTTCCCATCTTCGTCGACTGATCTAAGCTCGAAGCAAAAGATAAAGCCCGAGTAATCGTGACTAAAAAGTTCAACAAGTCTCGCCCGTGAGGAACACAAACAAATACGGGTCGACCCGATTGTATAGAGTATAGACTACGTCTAATTTGGTTTCACAAGAGAATCTCCCTCTTTATTGATTTAGCCTCTCTCTTGACTTTTTGTTTGTTTGTTTTGGTCGTCACTCTGAAAAGATTCAGCCTTTATATTAAGCACTCTTGTGGAGTAAACACATTGCTTAAAAAGAATGACATTGGTGGTATGATCTTATCTTATTTCAATAGTCAAAGCTTATAACTTTCAGTCTCTTCTGAACATTTTTCTCCATAACCATGAAGAAGCAGAAACATGGATTAAGCAAGGCTTTCATTGTGGCACACCAATCTGTCCGATTAAACGGAAAAAAGTAACCTTTGTAACGACAATGTTCCCAACTAACAAGAAGAATTTGATTTGGCGATTATTTCAAAGCAATTTGACGCCAGCTTCTCTGACGGAATCGATGACAGCCTTGACTTTACCATGATACCTCTGCTCGTTCTTCATCAGAACAGTGACAGCTGGGATCTCTTTCATCAAGAGTCTTTCCCCAAGGAGTTTGCCAATCTTCGCAGCAGCAGCCACGTCACGTGTCACCTCCATTGTTCCCCTCAATGCCTTCTCCTGTGAGCTCGCCGAGCAAGCCACTGTGGCCGTCGGTGTGTGTACGACTTGTGCGTGAACAAACTTGTTGGTGAAGTGCATCTTCAGGACGTATGGTTTCAGGTAGTCGAAGAGTCGCGGTGCTCTCACTGGCGGTGGAATCACCATCCTTCTCTCTCTCTCTATAAACATCAACATACACAGATACAGAAATGTCACAGCAAGCTACAGAATTAGATTCCACTATCGAAACGCAGAGACCAAAGGAACATTCATTGCTTGTTCAATCATAACATAGATTTAAAATTGAAAAATGGAAACCAAAAACACAGATTTGGTGCTTCCGTAAACTGATTTATAAGATTATTTGACATTTGATGAGATCGAGACCAAGTCAAACACATTCCAAAACGAAAATGTATAAATGAAATGAATCAACTAATCTAAACTAAAAAAGTACAGAGATTCAATTCGAGAATCTCAAAATTGAAGCTCGATAGTCAATAGCCTACTCCTATATAATATAATCCACCGTAGGAATTGAAAATGGACTTCCAGTGTATCAAAAATTCAACCCAGATTTAGCGGCGTACCTGGAAAATTGAATCCGGCGAAGGAGAGATTGAACAAAACGCCGACGAGGACGACGGCTAAAGATTTATGCTTTCTGTTAAGTTAGCAAACTTAAATTCAATTTCGTTGGCCCAATAGTTAAACATGGCCCATCAAATTCGAAGACTGATCGAATAAACCAAATATACCGGTTTATCATAAATTTCGGTTCTGTTCGGTGATGTTTTTTTAAGCACAGACCGAACCCAGAAACAAAAGTATTCGGTTTATTTCGAGCAAGATTTTTGTCCGAACAAAAAAACCGACAAAACCGAATTAACCGATTAAACAGGTTTCCAAGGCCTAAGCTAATCATCTTGTAATGGCAAATGTTTGTATTACGTACGTGTGCCACTGTGCCAGCATTAAGTAGTCACACAAGATGTTTCCAGAAGACAATAACATTTGTTATGTATAATCAGATCAATTTAATTAGAGTCTGAATCAAATAACACTAAGTCAGTTAACCTAATGATATCGGTTTGGTTTACTTTGATCTGGTCAGTCGATCATGTACAAATTTGTGTGTACTTTGATCGATCATTGTCGAATACTTTATGTTTTTTATTCAAGTATATGATAATTTAATTTGCTACATGTGCATGCCAATGTTTTGTATATAAACAAAAATTCATTTTAATGACAGGATAAGAAAATTCTAGTGTTTTGTTTCAGTCTCCATAAGCACTTTCTATTTTTGTTTTTATGTTTATATTTATTGAACTGTTACTGAGCAAAGAGACTGAAGTAGGAGTTAATGGCAGTGAGTGAAAGAGAGAAAGTCCCCCGCTTTCTAAGGCAACACAACAAACTTTCTTCTTTTTACCCAACACACATTTACACGCTTGCATACATTTTTATAATAATGACGTAATCAAATAATTGTTTTTTTATTTTATATCACAGAACTTCGTTAACTCTGTTTCTAAAATGAAAACAAGATTTTGTATGTCAGAGTTAACAACAGTCTTGAAACTTGAATATTCCGATAGGCGATATATCCATAAAATAAAGTAAATTAAATAGTTATACACTTATTCGAGAGAATATAAAAATGCTGTTTAATCGCAGTTAAAATTATTTTCACGTAAATTCATTTGGTTCAACAATCTATCTACAACTTTTATCCAGTCTTCCTTTATAGCAAAAATAAATTTTAAGAAAAATCGTTATCGGTGACCTATTGTTTTAGAAACGACTTAATATGGTCCTATGTATTGTATATATCGATCCATTACAATACCACATGTTGTATGCAAATTCAATATGCATAATCACTGCGTACCTTGACCCAAAAACTAACATCAATGTTTACTTCAAAGTTCAAATCGTTCTTATTTCAAATCCACTGTCGATATATATAGATTAAATATAGTAAATATACGCATGAAATAGACAGATAAATATGAACATGGAATGTTTATATGCACATTCTTTTCTCTCCGTGGACGACTGCATATTCGGGGAGGGGGAGAGACACGTGTTGGAGTAGTAGAACACGTGCGAAAATATGATCAACACATACAATCGATCTCATTTGTGTTCGCACGTGCCCTGCTTCTCCAGCAAGTGTTACTCACCCATTACATTTCTCTTGTACAGTTAGACATCAACTCCATGCATGGCCACATACATGTAGAAAGAGAGAGAGAGAGAGAGAGAGGGAGAGAGAGAGAGAGGTGTTGAGATTTGTATGTGTAGAGGAAGAGAGATAAGAATAAAATATACAGCTTGGAGTGAGGAGGCAGGAACTTCTGCTTGCTCGTCTACGTACATATATAGTGGGCTTCGAGTGTTCGATAAAATGAAGCAAAAGTTTTTCTAAAATAAATCCAGAAAATTCAAAAGTATTATCTAAAAATAAATGGGAGTTGAATTAAAGTGATTGAGTCTTGAAGTGGGAATTCTTTAAATGCGGATAAGAAGTAAAATGGCAATCATATCACCAAGTCTTTCCATTACTTTAAATGATTTACTTTTTTTTTTTCAAATTATATACAACACGCATGTGTGTTTAGATTCGTAATTCGTAAAACGAGACCTCGTAGTTAATGACTTGTTTTCGTCTGCAGAGACGTAATTATAAAATTGGTTATGCATAAATAAACAGAATTGACCTTTGACCACGACAGGGAGTATCAGATAAATGAATTTACAGTTGGACAATAGTATTTCAATTGGGTAGCTTGTAAGAATAGTAATAGTATTTGAAAGCATTTTAAAAAATGAAACAGTTTTATTACGCAATGTATGTAGTAGAGACAGACAGTAAAGATAGGTGACGAGTTTGGGTCAGTTTATGTCTACTTCCTGCCGCCGAATCCAAGTTCAAGTCTCACTATTTTATCCCAATTTTAACTTCATTGTGACGTCACCACATGTATATACATATGTCCTAAAAGAGAGAAAACATAGATATTATAAACACCACATTATTACGTACTAGTATAACTAAACTACGAGTTCAAATATTAAAATAGTCGTTGGTGTTTTATGCATGCTTGCCATCGTTGGTGTTTTATGCATAATTGGATATTCAAATGTAGTCTTTCCAATATATCTACGCTCTGATTTCTTCTAGGGGTAATGTGAACGTTTCTAATTGATTGATCCTAAAAGTTCTTTATAAAAGTTCGGTCTGGTTATTTCTCATGTACAAATTGGTATAAAATTTACTTATTTTTGTATTGATTTACCATTTAATATTTTAACCACGTTACTTATTTCGTATATATATACCCACTAATTATTTACATCGGTCACATTGCTTATTCCGTCAGAAATATACATGGGTTCCAACACTACAAAAAAAAATGTTGAATTATTAACTTTTTTTGTTTGTTTTGTATGGGTGTCAATGTGAAGATGATGTGCAATAAGTTAATTGATGGCTATATCAATACACACTCTCATGGAGTTGGTTCGAAAATGTAGTGATAAGGTACACACGTGAAGCTGCTTTCGCTAGTAACTAATCGAAAGCTGTTTACATCTTTCTAGATTTACACCAAATATGTGAGATTTGATGATGAAGCGTTCGACTAATCTAGGGAACAAGCAAATCATTTGGCAAGGTGTTTCATGCAATTCTATTAGGCTTTTACTGATATACTATAAAACATTCGTACCAGAACTCAAGTGACCAAGTAGCTTAGCTTATGCAAAGTGTTTTCCACACGATAAAATAATCTTTATATTTTGGGTTAAATTATAATCTTAAATTTAAATATATTGTTGACTTGCACAAATACGAAACCACATAATTTGATTTTTAAGTAAGAAAGAAATGAAACAAAAAGTTATTTTGATAAAGAAAAGAAGAAGAAGAATGGTGAAGAGATATGAAAGATGATGATGAAGTGATGGAGACAGTAACACAGAGAGGAATGGGTTGCGTGTTCCTCGCGAGTTTCTTCCCTTTCTCTCTCTCTCTCTCTCTCTCTCTCTCTCTCTCTCTCTCTCTCTCTCTCTCTTCTCATTTCCTTTTAATTTTACCCTCAGAGAAAACATAAAGATCCCACCACCATAGTCCATAGATAGAGAGACAGCGACTTTGGTGTATTGCAGAGTTCCAATGCAATTCTTCTCTCTTTTAATCATTTATCATTCTCCTCTTTGGCCCATTATTAACAAAACCAAAACAAAACTTTATGCTCTATGTATCTTATAAGTTACGTATAACATTAATAATTTTGTAGCCTATATTCAGTGAATAAGTGGGATGGAATGCTTTAGTGCTGTAAATCTATAGCTTACAAAATTTTGTTTATTAAAGTTCTCTTGGGTCGAGATGGGAAACAATTCACCTATTAGGACCATTGTTGAAAAAAATGCTTGGAGTTTCACCTATTTGATTTTTTTTTTTAATATACAAGTGTTAATTCAAAATAACTATATAGCTGTCTTCGTCTACCGCTAAGGGAAGCACTACGCAGTGCAAATTCTAGGGTTATAAGTTGAAGAAAATCATATCTACATTGGTCAATTCAATACTAATTGTTACGTGTTATAAAGTAAGATAGATTGCATCAATGATACGCGAAAAAGAAATACAAAAGATATTTATATAACTAAAAGATTTCATTTTTACAAAAGAAAAAAAAAAGGAAAAAGTGAATGTTTCTGCAGTTCACTGTCACTTACATCTGACGAAGTGGAAGTGAATCGTTCCCCCATGTTTTATGGGTTTGGGTTTTCCCTTCTGACGTCGTTGCTTTTAACACACACACACACTCTCTCTCTATCTCATCTCAATAATTTAATTCCTTTTCTATAACTTACACAACTACACTTCTCAACCTATAAACTGAAATAATTACAAATTATAAAGTCCTGGTTAGTATGATCAGCAAATTACATATGCATCGCATCATAAAATGTGGTGAGAAATAGTTGTACGGTAAAAGAAGCCGGTTTACTTAATAGTCCAATTGGCAAGTCTCGGTGGCAAGTTAAGTAGCACTTTAAACTAAAACATTTATAAATATACTATTTAACATGTTTCTCATATCATGAAACTTTACCTCTCTGTACAGAGAAAGCTTCTTCGTCTACAAGAGAAGAATCAGCAATGTTATAGTTATACAAGTGTTCATCTATCTTTGTAGGATCAAAACCACTCACTAGATTACTGGCTACGTTTTTAATCCTTTTTTGTGAACTCTGATTAAATATGTGCCACGCGCTTGAAATGACAAGTGAGATTCACGTTTTCAATCTAAAGTCAAGGCCCAAAACAATTCTACGGCCCATATCATTCTTCAGGACAAGTCTTTTTTTCTGTTCTACTTCTGATGGAAATCCAAATAAAGGCCAGATCAAAAGTTAAAACAAATCAGAATCTAACCCAAAAAATGCGAAACTGTTAAGCTCTGTTTTTTCCAGGTGAGAAATTAATCAAACCGTAGACTAATAGTTGTATATCTTTTCTTCTCAAATTATCAATATAATCTTTCATCAACTAAGCAAATTTCATCGAATCATTTGCAATCTCTAACCGGTTTAACGAGAATACTGTCGGGAAAAACAGACTCCATAGAAACTCAAGTGCGCAACAACAAAATAAAAGAGTATTTCTTCGATCAGAACTAGATAATATCTAACAAAAACAGAGGATAGTTGTATAATCAAAATCAAACCAACAGGATGAACGGTACACAGAATATAGTAGGTAACTGAGACCAAGCTTAATCTTCTTCCTCAGCTTCGTTCTCGGCAATGTTGAAGTACCTAAGCTCATAGAGGTTACGGTCCTTGTTGGCTGCAATCACTCTGAGCCAATCCCTCACATTGTGCTTCTTCAAGTACTTCTTCGTCAAATACTTTAGATACCTGAACACACACAAACAAAACAATCACTTACAAATTTCGCTTAACAGCTCAAAATCAAACCAACAATGTCCTATAGTACTCAACTCTTACAAGAACAATTCGAGATTCTATGACTAAATTCTACAAAGATGCTAACATACGACAGACTCAAACATGATGAACAAAATCAATAAGCAAAATCGGGCTTTTATATATACCTCTTGGAGAAATTGGCATCAGCAGTGACGGTGATCTTGCTTTTCTCACGAGTGATGGAGACGGAATCACCGAGGGCTCCTGCTTTGCCACCAACCTTGATCCTCTCTTGAAGAAACTTCTCTAACGAAGCAATCTCCATGATCTTGTCATCCACAGGCTTCGAGCAATCAATGGTGAAGGAGACTCCCTTCTTCTTCCCCTTTGGAGCAGCTGCACTTCCTCGACTCATTTTCAGCTCTCTTCTCTGCAAAATCAAAACCAAATTAATTTTTGTAACATTAGTAATCCAATCCTCTATAATGCGGTCTGTTTCTCAAACTTAGAATCGACAATTCTCAATGATGCACAATAGTATTCTATCTAAGTTCTTCAATTACATTTCTAGCAAAACGAAAACTAAAAAAAAAGTGGGGAAGATAAACTAAAATTAAAATCGTTCCTTTTCGTTTAAAACTCTCACCTAACAAAAATTCAATTGTATGAAGATAATGATTGTTCACTCAAGACCAAAGAGGGGCAATAACCTGTAAATCGTCGAAGATGGAACTGTAAGAAGCGACGAGCGGCGTCTTCCGATCTTGAAAGGCAGAAGAAGAAAATGCGTTTAGGGTTTTTATTAGGCTTTTAAAGGTGCTCTTGTAATTCAGGCTTTTAAATAACAGAAGCAACCCCGAATTATTTGTTAAATCGGATATAACCCCAAAACTTTCATAAATTCCGATATTTTATTTGCTGCTTAAACTCTTAGCTATAAAGCCCAAGTTTGAATTGTCAATAAGGATACTCTAATGGGCTGAACGCCTTTCAAGTCCCATTATTTGAGAAAACGAGCTGAATCGGTTTACTTTTGGACACACAGAGTTCCCACCATGAATTATCGTTACCACCAAAATTTTAGTCCGTAATTAAATTTTAATCCTGTAATTATGATTAAATTAATAAAAATATTTAACTGAAGATGGTAGGGTCCGCGCGAACGCAGGACCCCTCTGCCACAAATAATGACGCAGGCTCTCCCACTTGGGGAGACCTTAAGCTAAGCACCACTCCTTAAAGTGCAATGGAGGTCACTAGCCTAGGCCACTCGTCTTCTTGATCACGAGTTGACCCCGTCCAGGTAAGTGATTTGGTCGGTCAAATCACTTGTCTTTTTATACTATGCTTCCCCGCTCAGGTTTCTCATATGTAAGCGATGTGGGACATTTTACACCCACACACTTTGCTGTTTGATGCTTATGATTTCGAACAACGTGCTGGTCTCTTTAAAGTTTGAAACGGCAAGTTGTTTTTGTGTGTTAAACACATGGCCACATGGGTTTAGACATTATAGTTGTGGAATGTCTTAAAAGATTAAAGGTTCTTCAGAAGAGAATAAAGAATGAACCTAACGTATTACGTTTTAACTCAATCAACCGTCAAACTCTTTTCTGACAATGAATACAATCGGAATTTGGGATTAGAAATATATTCAGGACAATCTGCAAATCCGTATTACCGAATATAAGTAAAAACTTTATTCATATAAATCATTCATATAAATCATGTACGTATGTATCTCTCACATTTTCGAATCCCGTATTATGCAGACAATCTGCGACTCGAAGGGATTTATATAAACCCTGAATTAATCCATTTGAAAGTACCAAAATAACGATTTTTAAGAAACATTGAAGTTTTCATCAGCCTGCAACAATATGCCTAAAATAACAGGATAAGGCATCAGCCATCATAAGAGCTTCAGTCTTTATTCAAATTTTCAGGCTTCAGAAATTTGGGGTATCGATCGGCGGCTCCAGTTTTGTGATCATAGTACTCCACTGCGGCTGCTCCAGCTAGAGCGGCTAACGTCAGCGCCTGTGCGTGCAACCTGACAATATAATCCAATCCAGAAAAATTGTGAGAGATCTAATTGTGTGAAGAAGAACTGAAGATCATCATCATCGTCATGCGAAGTAAAGGTCAAAACGATCAATGTTGGAGACAATTAATGTGGTCAGAATTATTTGTAACAGGTTAAGAAATGAAGAAGCAACGAGAACAAGCCATGATGCCATCTCAAGATTAGTATCTTTATGAGAATACATAACTAATTTACTTTGATGCAGGTTTCTTGACCATTAAAGGAGATGCAAATCAGATTCTTCAATGGAATAATCTAGCTTTGATATCTTCTACCATCTAACAAAGCCGATAACACAAAATTTAAAAGAAAAATTAAGGAAAATTTTGGATTAGAGTATTTACCTGGCGTGGATGATTCTGACACTGGTTTTCATACCAGGTTTCGACCAGTTGTAGGCGATTGATCCAGAGATACCACTAAGCCATAAACAACCTATCAAGAGTCGAATTAAGTAAGATAGAAATATACCAGAATAAACACAGACGAGTTACCGAAATGAAACACACAAAAAAATCAAATATGCAGCATCCTTAATCTCGCATTTTACGAAACCATAAGCACCAGGAATGTTAGGTACATGAGGAAATTCGATTTTGGAAATGAAAAACCTAAAGTGATCAAAATGAGAACCCAGATTCAAAAATTCGGATTATTCAGGTAAATACGACATAACCCAGATCTATGATAACGTTGAACCAACACGAATTATCACGAAACTCGATTCATGCATTCTTATTACGCCAAAACGACTCAGGAGAAAATTGGTTCGAGGATGATGAACAGACGGAATAAAAAGGAGAGGTGATTACCAACGGTACGAAGCTTGTGCTCTACGATCCATTCCCTGACTTCTGCAAGTTTTGTCTTTGATTCCGCCATTGCTGAAAATAAAAATCGGGAAAAAAAATAAGGCAAAAATAAGACTTGGAGAGGAAAAAGTGCGTTTGGCTGTGGTTTTAAAGCGACCAAGCCGGCAGGCAGGACCCAAAAATTCTGAGGTCGAGAAAGCCAATTTGCTAACTTACGCGCTGAATACGTGGTTTTTAATTTATTCGGTATGGGCCTGGGCCATACACTACGAGAATAAAAGCCACTCTTCTGTTCTGTTGAATCTGTGGCATTCAAGATGTAATTTCTCAGGGTATGCAGATTTTGAATAGCCACTCTTCTGTTCTGTTGTTCCTATAAACTGGCTAGTATCATGTTTGTTGCGACTGATAAACCAAACTGCTTCCATAGTTATTGAAATTAAGAAGACATTTTAAGTTGAGGGAAAGAAAAAGATAAACATTCAAGTTACTACTAATAAGATCCACTGAACCTTAATAGTATCGCATATAAAAAAACAGTACAAGTCTCCTCTTTTCCTGGATTTGGAGCCTTCCTTCTCTACCCAAATGTTGAAATGAGGAAGTTTTTGTAAATGCTCATAAACTTGGCCACAAACGCTGCAATTAACACCAATGAAGATGTAAGGAAATAGAATTTGGCCAAAATGCAATGACTAAAGAGTTTTGTTTATTATGATACCTTCAATGTGAAATATGGCTTTCTGACCTAATCGCATTCGATGTTCCTGTAAGAAGGGACAAAAGACATCAAAAACAAAGGAACAGAGCACAGATGTAGAGTTAATGGGTTGGAGAAATCAACTTCTCAAAGGTAAGACGTAAGAGCGGTATGCAAATGATCTTACATAATATGCAGCCCAGTGGCAGACTTCGAGCTTTAGCTCCGAGTCCAGTCTCTTCAGCAATTCATGAAGAAGTTTCTGGAAAAGCATAAACTATGGGTAAAAGGGAGGGACGCAAAAAATAATACATGATATAAAAGCGAATTAGGTTCTGTTTAAAACCTTCAGAATAACTTCTGGTGGAATGCAATTAATTAGCAATTCGTACATCTTTCCTCGCACCTGAAACAAGCTGAAGAAAGAAGAACACAAGAGATGATTAATAGATGTTTTAAAGCTTATGAAATGTTAGAAGTAGTTAATGTACTTAAAGAGTGTAACCTTTTAGGGCTCTGTTCCTTCATGATGTCAGTTGCTATCTCAGCAACATACTCTTCCCAGTCCATGGGAGAAATCACTTGGTTAGCTGTGAAAGGATAGCTACAAAGAAAATTAAAAGTTATTTTCTAAGACATGAAACAACGAAAGAATCAAACTCATAATCTACATAGATACCGTTTAAGATACTTACTTTTGGACACGACAAGTCTCAAGTGACAAAATAGCTCTTCTAAGACTGCGATTTGATTTTTCCGCAATACGAGCAGCAAAACCTGGGGGCATTTGCAGACTTTCTTTCTTCGCAATGAACTCCAACACTTTCACTATCTGGAAACAGAGAACTACGTTTATGTAAACAATCATACTTGATTTTGCAAGAAAGTTTACACAGGCCTATTGAAGCAAAAACTGAATCTTATGTTATCTTTCTGATAGCAACTATTTCTAAAAACAATACTAGCATCTCACCAGCACAAGATTTGGTTGGTGAATTATTCAAACGAATGTTTTAAAAAATCAGCGAGGAGAGAGCAGCTTCTGTACCTCTTCCTGCGAAGGTGCATTTATGCGAACGTTAAGACAACGAGACTTGATGGCTTCTGTAACCTTCGAAGAGCTGTTACAGCACAAGATGAGACGGCAAGATGAGCTATATTTCTCCATTGTTCTCCTCAGAGAATGCTGTGCTTCTCGTGAGAGCTTGTCAACTTCATTTAGTACCAATACTGCCAAAACCAAAATACACCACACACAAAATCATGAGTTTAGTCACAACCAAATACTTTGAATATATGAGACATCATAAACCATCAATATGTGAAAAGAAGTTATACTAATTTGGCAGACATGGAGGTAACAATTCGCTTAGAAACGATGTTAGAGACGGGACATAAGTTGATAAAAAAAAAATGTATAATGAAGCAACTCAGTTAAAAACAAGAAGCCATTAATCTAGAAATATGAGGAAACAATAAAAAATCATAAACCATAGATGTAGACCAAGTCATCGACAGCAGCATATAGATTGAAGATGACAAGCAATGCCCTTATAAAACCCTCACTCTTCGTAGAGGCTTTAAAGAACTATTACCAGCACTCGACATTCAAAACATATTCGCTAATGATATTGTTGGGTAAGTAATAGCAAGGCGGAACACTTATTCTTACCCTTATATCCCTTCTTTCCTTTCGTGTCAATTGGTCTGTTCTTGGCCATTTCTTTGATGATCTCCTGGACGATATATCTGTCCTGGAAGCCTGCATCACTTGGAGTAAGTTCCACATGATTCGTGCTTGATAATGTAGTCAGCTCAAGATCAATAGTTCTACTCCCAGCCTGCATATTTTTAAAAGTTTATATAGCGAAAAGATAGAAACTTGAATAAAAAGCAGCAAATGATTAAAGGTAAAACATATTGATAGACCATCTACAAAGGACCCCAGGTTTCATATACTAGAGATCTAAGACATCAAAAGTACAAGATTGCCATGTTTTAAAGAAGAATCGGTCAGAAGGACCACCAAAAGAAGCTGAATCAAACATAATTCACATCTCTACATTCACAAGACGGAAGTGAATATAAAGCAGCGAGAACATTAGAAACAAAAGCAGTGAAATGTTGATGAATGACAATTTATGGTGATACCGAAACATGATTTACTGATCCAGCAACAACACAAGACGCGTATATGGATATCAAGCAGCGAGAACCTTATAAGCAAAAGCAAAGAAAAACGAAAAACACTCACATCAACTTTCCACGCCCTGTTCTCCACTTTCACCTGCAGTCAAGCAAATTAAGCAATTTCTCAGTGTGCAATATGGAAAAAAATGTAGCAATCAGAAGACGAACATCAATTTAATGAGAAAAATAAAAGTTAGTGAACCCACAAAACAAATTAAAAATGTAGAAATCATAAAGTTTTCAGTTTCAGTAACGAAACTCGTGAGAGTAACTTCGCAAATTAAAAAAACACATCTCAACATGCCAATACAGAGAATTTACTATGCTCAACAGCATAAGGGTTCAAAGTCTTCATCTTTAAGTACTGAGAAGAACATTATGATTTTTAATTCCTGTTTTACCACGAAAAGAAAAAACAATGTGGAAAATAGAGTACCTTCTCTGCACTGGCACCATAAATCTGCTTGAGAAGCGCCATGATTAGGGTTTTCTTACCCGAGCCTGACGGCCCATAGAAGAGCAAATGAGGACAATCTTGCTCGGTAACCTAATCGGAGAATCGAACAATTAGCTCCCAAATCATCGGGAAACCCCCAGAACATAACAAAATCGCCCTAGGGCTCGAGGAAAAAGGCATACCAATTTCCTGAGATTCTGGGCGATATCCTCATGAACGATGACCTTGTCCAGCGATTTCGGCCTGTACTTGTCAACCCACAACATCTTGCTCACCACCGGAGGGATTTGGGAAAGACAGTGAAAGTGGCGGGAAAATAGTGAATCGTCTTCCTCTTCCGTCTCTGTGAAAAAAAAGAGGCTTATTTGCTCTTTCTTCTTCGCTTACACCCTCCCACGTCACTTCTGAATTGTTTATTTTCAGGTCAAAATTAATGCCTCCCAAAACGAACCCTCTCTTTCTTTTAGAGTATTAGGCTTCGAGTGGTTTTATCTGCGCTCAGTCACAGAACAGACCATATGGAACGGACCATATTGCGGTGATAGTAACATATCGGACATTGATAGCTTATTATGAATTTGATTAATTTATCTAACTGTTACAACTTTGCATAGAGTAAGTTTATTTTAAAGTTTCCAGTAGATCTTGAATCTGTGAAACACACCAGTGACCAAGCCCCAGAAGAGAATCTCCGCGAAAATGACATAGAGAAGGACACCAACTCTTTTTGAATGCCAAACTCGGATAAAAACATGCTCCCGAATCCAATTTATCTATAACATGTACCATAACAATACTGTAAGTAAAACTTCAATTGGGCCATTAACGATTAAGGCATTTAAGATTTGCTAATTGGTTATTTACCAGTGTATTGCGAGGGTCGCGATAGTACCAACCGTTGAAGAAAGCAGCCAAAATGCCTTCAGCTCCCATCACGTAAACAAGCATTGCGTTCATGCCTATCCATTTTAGAGGCAGAAACATGACCTTCCACTCCAATATATCCACCTGCAAATATCATAAAAAAATAAACCTGTCTTCTGCAAAAAATTTGTCAAGAATTCTTAGTTGTCAATGTGAAGGAACAAGAATCACCAGCGAATACAAGGAAGAGAAGACGAGCGCGGCTGCACTGGAGGTCACACATATGTAGCTGAAACTGTAGAGTTGTTTGTTCAAAGGCATCACTGCAAGAATTATGAGTTTGTAATATGTGTTTAAGAGAAGAGAAAGTTTTTAGTTGGATCATAAATAAAACAAGGTGTTTCTCACAGTGGGTGAAATGGAGAATGAGTCCGAGAGTGAGGAGAGCGAGACCAGTGGAGATCCAATGTTTCAACCGAGCTGAATGACCCTGAAAATGTTGTTGGTAATGTTGTAATGATGATATCGAGAAGACGAAAACAGTGATAGTTCGTAGGAGCGCCAGGCTTATGTTTTCATACCTTCAAGTGTAAGATGATGTGTCCAAAATGTACTCCGATGACAGTAGAAAGAATAGCAGATATGGAGCTGAATCAGACAAGTTTCAGAGTGTTATATAAACTTCTGAAGAAGAGGATGATGATGCTCGGTTAGTGACAAGTTCCAAACCTTAAGAGTCCTTCAGGCTCAAACGGAGCATGGCACCATGACGGTGCATCTTGGCGTAATGATCCCTCATAAGGGGAAACACTGGTGCAAGCCTAAAAAACTCAAAAGAACACATTAGGATTGAGTCCATTGACATAAAACATGATCGACCCTTTCTTTTATGACAGCTTGGGTAGTGTACCTTGGATCGTCTCCACGCAGGATGGTGATACATATGATTGATCCCTAAAACCTGTCTGTCAACATATCCAACAGCGTTGCAAGGAGGGTTTAGCTTTCCTCTCACTCCACATTGTACCTAGTAAGGATCCGTATAAAAATCTGATCACATACGTGGACACAACATTTCATAATGGTCATTACATTGCAAGATCAAAAGACTTACAGATTGGATTTTCCCATAGAGAGTGCTATCTTTATCAACGACAATGAATTCCCAGTCAGGAACAAACGTTCCATAGAGTGCGGCCAGATATATCACGAGAACTGATGCACCCACAATCCTGTGAACGTACTAGCAAACAAGATTAATCCGAAACTGTAGATCCAATTCTCATGACTTTCTTCTTTCTGACAAGTCTTTACCAATGCCAATAATATGACTTGAATATTGAGAACCTTCCAGTTGACAGATTCTCATCATGTGAGTCCTTTGTGAAGATTTCGACCAATGCTACTACCAAATAGGATAAAGCTATTCTCTACATGGAAACATAAAACATATTTCTGAAGTCAAACATGAGCAGGCAATATGAATCTTGAGCCAGAGACAACACCTGGAGAATCCCACAAAACCTCAGCATAGTCACATCAACGCCATAGGTTAATTGGTCAGGAGCATGAGAGAAACCCCCTACGCAGCATAAGAAATCTCAGTAGTCCACTATCCATCACGAAGTCGAATTCAAATGATATGTTTTGAGGTTACAGGGCAAAGAAAATTACTACCCTGCAATACAAGACCCCAGAAGAGGAGCTTGCAGGTCCTAAAACCCACCTTCTTACAAGCTTCAAATTTGTTCGAGATCCTCTAAAATTCAAAAAAAAAAAAAGAGAGAAAACAAAGGATTATGAGAGCTATCAAGTTCGAACTTGAAATGGGATTATATGGGTTGCGAGAAAACCTTGAAGGCAAGCGCGATGGAGACGCCGACGATGAACAAGAAGAAAGGCATGACGAAATCCGCCAGATTGCAACCTTCCCAAGGAGCGTGTGCAATCGCTGGCCAATCTCCTCCGGCGTCATCCACGAGGATCATCAACTGCTCCACTCACAAGTCACAAGTCGAATTTTTCAGTTCAAGCTCAGATACCCAACTTCGAAATTCACAGAAGCAGAGAGAGAGATAGAAGAAAGATACAGCGACAGTGAGGCCGCGGAAGATGTCGAGAGAAGCAAGCCGTCTCTTTGCGGGGAGGCTTTGAGTGGAAGCGGTTTCTCCGGATACGAGTAAGTGTTCATCGTGACTCCTCCTCTCCTCCACTTTGATTTCCGCCATCACTTTCCGAGTTTCTTCTACTTCGAAAGGAACGAACAGTTTAGCTGTGGAGCGTGTGTAACACCATTTTGTTATGCTGATGCTAAGATTATCAAAGGATTTAAAATTACAGGTCCTGAAGCATATCATTATCATAACCCTTTTTCTCTAATACAAGTTATTTGACTGTATAATTTTAAAAACAGGGTTATGATATATATATATTTTTTAAAACAGAGACATACCAAAATCCTATTGTCAAGAATGTTAAACATCGTTTGGTGAGGATTTTAGCGAGTGTCGTTGATCAGCATAGCATTAGATTATAATGTTGACGACATTTTAAATGAACGCTTTTAAAAACGTGACACCATTCAGATTATCAAAGGATTTAAAATCACAGGTCCTGAATGTATTTTTCATCTTTTACCTCCATGAATTTTTTTATGGACCTTCATATCATTTATCATAACCCTTAATAAAATCACAGGTCCTGTATAGTGTGTCCGTCTAACTTACAGAAATTGATGTAATATCGGTATGTCTTTACAAACAAATTCTTGGACTAAAATTGACACTTTCGTTATCATTAGATGAATGGAATTGAGAGGAATAAATCAGCAATTCAGTAGTATCAATTATTTAAACACCACAAAATTTATGTCTTTTGACGGGAGCGCAAGTAAAACAGCAACACAGCTTCGTATATTTCAGCCTTTAAAAGAATGAAGAAACATTAAGATCAAAGGGAGAATCGAAAAACACTGCCCTTGTCCATAACGAATATAATTAGCAACCTTCCACGTTTCTTCTCTGGTCTTAAGGCAAAGAAACATTACATATATAAAAAGAAGAAACGATCACATTATAAAAGCATTTCAAATCCTCTCCTTATTATGTGACATTGGTCTCCTCTACAATCACACTAGTGCATCAGCAGCAAGAGAAGCTACCAAACAAAAGTTGCATCAACCACGCCCACGACCTGCTCCTGTTTTTACACAACATACGAGAGTTTAGCTTAAAATTCCAGACAAAACTACCAAAAAAGTTCATAAAAAATTTGGTGTATTTCTAGTATAATCAGAATGTTGTGACAGCTTTAGTGCTGTAATTTACCTCTGTTGCCACTCATCTTGGCCATTGAAGCTCCTCGGCCTCGGCCTCTGGCTCCTCCATCATCCATACCACGTCCTCTTCCACGTCCAACTCCTGGTGGTTTTCTATCTGCACTCCACAAGAAAGATCATACCAGTTGAATATACAACACCTCAAAAGTTCAAAGCAAATAATAGCTGAAAGGCAAGATAAAGAAGTGAGAAAACTATACCTGTGCGAGTCTTCTCCTCCTGCACTTTGTCAATTACCTGAAGAGAGAAGCAAACAATGTAAGTCAGCTCAATCTAGGTAGAAGTATCTTTCAGAAGGTGTAAGAACAGAGACAGCTAATGACAGTCACTTCCAGATATCGTAAATGCTTTAAGAGTATTTTGAGCATAGCAGGACAAAAAAGAGGAGATGCAATAGAGAATATTTCAAGATATGGAGTTGATGGCTTCAGAAACACAACACAAGTGAGTCAATATTCTGGTCAGGCAACAACCATTCTCTGTGATATCGTCTGAGACGCGCTACAACAAGAGGCATGCCTCTTGGAGCACATATCTGATTTGGCTAAGCATCATCATTCCAGAGAAAAAGGGGACCAAAAAGAAAGAAAGAAAAAGACCTATATCAAACAATTAGCATATAAACACAAAAGAGTACATTACCTCGTCTGGAACTCGAAGGTACTTGATCGTGTTACCGCGGATATAACATTCCGGCATTCTCCAAAACCTGTCTCCATCCTGCAGCAATATATGTTAGTGTCAACCACACAGAAATTTTAATCACGGAATACATAAAGGTGGAAAAATTGTATCAATAATCGAAAGCAAAAGCTAACCTTTGATGTACAGATGACTTCACGCAGATGGATGTTCATCCACGTATCACAATTCACCAAATGCCCATTGTAGGTCTCTCCATTCTTGAGCTCCACAAGCTGCCAAAACGATTCAACCATCAAACGATATGCAAAGCACACAACTTTCATCAATGCAAAAACACCCTTAACGCAACATATCCAAAAAAATTAAACGCAGCTAATCAAATTTTGGATCCATATATTACAAAATTTACAATCAAAGGTCGAAGAGTCCACTTACCATAGGGTGCCCTTGAGCAGTTTTGAGCAGCGAAAGAGGAAGCTACAAAATCAAAACAAAAGCTAATGTCAAAATTTCGAAATTATACTGATCATAAGACATAACTAGAAAAGAACAAAAGAAAAAAAAAACTAGATCCATTTAAGTCCAACGAGTAACTTACCATCTTCTCAAATCAGAGGAATTATAAATCCGTAAAGAACCTGAAAACAAAATAAAGGAGTATATAACATTAAACCCTCCATTAGATGCGGAAGGAGCAATAGAGAGAACAGAACAAAACCCTAGCAATTATATGGCCACTTAAAAAAACTGAAACAAGGGTTGCAATATACTAAGAAGATTGACTTACTCTTGCACAAGAAATTAACGATTGTGAGAGAAGAGAGCGATGAGCAGAAAGAAATAGATCGAAGACGACGGAAGCTGCGAAATTTCGAAATCGGCTTCCCTTTACTACTTTTTGGCTTTCCTCTTGACTTCTGGCAGCGGGACGTATTTGTAATTTAACCGGTGGTCATTTAGGTCAATCTGAACTTTTAAGTGTTTTACACTTGTAACCTTAGACTTTACGATATTTTATTTTCCCACTTTGGTTCTAATTGATATAATTATCTATGTAGTAAACTATCAACGAAGTCCGATGTCGTCCAGCGGTTAGGATATCTGGCTTTCACCCAGGAGACCCGGGTTCGATTCCCGGCATCGGAGCTTTTTGATTTTTAACGTTTTTAGCTTTTAACATATTTTACTAATCACAATCATGGGACACACCGAAGCTAACTTGAAGTTGAAGCCGTTTGTAAATTCTAATCCTAAGGTTAAACACCCGGTAATTACACTTGAGAGTTAGCTACCAACTCCAAACTTATTGAACCTCGACCATATTTGACATAATCTCAATCACACAAGTGTTGAATTGTGAATGTGTAGCTGGTTTCAGCACAAGAAAAGCTGATAATCAGGTTCCTCAGCTCCGACGTTCAAGTAATTGACATCAACAGCGGTTGCTCCCAAATCATCTGGTGCAGAAGGATAAGACAGAAAATTTCAATAGATCATTAAAATCTTGTATGTATATAATCCATGTGATCTACAATGAAGGAAATACAGGATGAGGTGAGATGAGACAAGGCTCAGTCAGAGTTATTCAAACCTTCGTATATTGTTCTCACAAACTTAACATAGTTAGGGATGAGATCTCGGTATATCATTCCATCTGGATGCGCATCAAGCACCACAAGTACACCTATGGATCAATCAAAGAAAAACCTAAAGTTCAGATGAAACATAACACAAGACAACGTTCTGAAATCAACAAGAGTACTCTTGTATGCGTTTGAATCAAAATAGTGATACCTGGAGCAAGCCAACCTGGAGCAGATTTGCTGGGTAATGGAGCAAGCCAGAGGATATTTCTCAAGTTCATTTCATCACCGTACTTCACATCAGATCCTAACAGAAAGGAGATACAACCTTACTACTAAAGAACGATAGAGGAATTTCCGAGACCATTTTCTCTGTTGCAAGAGATTGCAAGAATAGTCTAGTCACACGTGACAAGATCACAGATTACCTCTCTGGCAATACCCCATGTTGTACGGAAACAATTTCTTGTCAAAGGCTGGATACTCTTTAGCATGAAACCTACCATTTTGTTTTCATCAGCAAACGATACTGATCAACAACACTCGCTAAAAATCTACTTCAAATACTCTATAAATTTCTTCCAACAGTCATCATTTATGTTTAACCTTTCTATAAATTGATTTGGCAACAACGGTCTCATACACAGAACATGACCCTAGTGTATATTGGGAAGACAAGGGAGGGACTTACAATATTCCAAGGCGTCCAGAATCTGAGGCGAGGAAGAGATGGCCATGGAACAAATCATATCGAGTCAAGGAAACATTCAGTCCGACGCTAGGACCCCTAGATTCAATTAGATGAAACAAGAACTCGAAATATGAGTTCGCTTCCTGTTCATTGCAATCACCAATCAGATCATGATACCATTTTCTCTGACTCAGAGAAACACAAATAACGTTAAAAAAGACATAGCTTTTACCTCTGCTATGAAGTGACGGCCATATGGAGTTCTTGTGAGCTGACATTTCCGTTTCTTTGATCCTTCGACATCAGGAACCTACACGAAACCGAATTTAAACAATTCAAACACTTTCTGATGAACATTAGCCAAATTAAGCGTTAATCTCTGACGAACCGGGATCATTTTGGGATCGAGGGATCGCTGAATTGCGCCGGGATCGCCACCGGAGTCAACAGCGAGACGAGCGAGCTCGAGAACCGGCTCAGGTGGCCACCAGACGAGAGAATTGTCCTCTTCGAACTTGCTCCGCTTCTCGACGGCGTCGATTTTCCCTGAACAGAGTCCGGTCCGGAGCGAGCATCGTCCCAATTCCGGTCCAGATTCATCCGGTTTGAAGGGGACGAGGAATCTGAGACACGACCGGATTTCTCGAGACACGGTGGGGTTAAGGGTCGACGCGGCGGAGGGTGGTCCTAGAACAGAGAGCAGATCACCGGCGGTGGCTTTCGGAAGCGACGACGGAGAATGGGAAGCGGTGAGCTTGAAGGAAGAAGCTGCTGCGAGGGAGAAGGAGATGAAAATGGTGAAACGAAGATGCGTATACGAATTCACCATCGTCGCGTCCTCCTCCCACTGATGCGTATACGAAATTACGAATGATCTTCATCTTCTTCCACTTATGGAAGTTTGAAGAAGAGTAGAAGATACGGAGAGCAGGTGGAACCGAAAAATCATTTTTTTTTACGGCCCCATAAATGACGTGGCTTTGAAAGCCATATAATAATTGGATCTTCTTCATTAAAAATTGCATTTTTCAACCTGAGAGCTTCATTAATGACGCGGCTCCGGCCAATTTACCGATTACTTTTCTGATCAAATACAACTTTAGTGAATTACTGGATTACAGAGGCAGTAGGTTCATCTCCGTGAACACTATAGTTCACTTGTTAAAATTTAACTTTTTAATTAATTTTAGGTAAAAATTAATTAGTCCCTCTCATATCTGAACGTTCTGTGTATTGACTTTGTAATCTCTACCTGAAAGTAATAATAAAGATTAAAAAAAAGCAGGCACTCTCGTATCAACAAAAATGTTGCTGGAGGTTTTGAAGACGATTTCATTTTGAAGAAATCTAAGTTACAACGATATATATGTAGAAACGGAGAGTAAATGTGACCTGGTCAGTCTTTTAATTTATAAAAGATAAATTTTTAGCTAATCAACGGTTTATATAATCAAATGTTGGGTGTTAGGCTGTGTTGGACTTGGCCCCATGATTACTAGATAAACCAACATGCTGCCAACAACCAAATAAAAAAACGATTTGATTCTGCCTTTGTTTTCAATCTCTATATATACATTTTTGCTTTCTCTTCCTCTTTTCCTTTTTTGGATCGATAACATTGTCAAATCTTTCTTTCAGAAAACGGCTTTTCCGACTGTGATCGATTACTCGGTTACACATTCACCAAGTTGGCTAAGCGCCTAAACTAGTCCATCAAACTTCGAAATAACTTTGTAACAAATACTGTGCCACAGTTTCTGAAGCATTGATTAAGTCACATTGATCCATTATGCTCACATATATATATATGATTCTGGAAAGCAAAGAAAGTGCTGATCTTCTTAAACAAACAAGGTCCAAAGTATTTGTCCTAGTATTAACCAACGAACACATCTCGATCATTTCCCACACATATAAACAAATTACTATCAAACGAAGAGCAGAAAGAAGCATATGTATGTATAGTATAGTAACAGGATTTAATTTATTTAACAATCAAACCAACATCTCCGTGAATGAAATTAAGTATTAAAAAAAAAAATCCCAACGAAAAACGAACAAAGTAAACGAGCACAAATAAGACAAACACAAGAAATTCAAAATTCAACGCTTGCACCTCGTAATTGTGCTGCAACCGCGTCGGTAAGGATTAGCCTGAGCACCACGTTTGCAGTTGTAGTAAGATGCGCCGCGTCGGGAACAAGGAACATTGTTCTTCCTTATCGCACCGTAGCTTATATACTTCTTCGACGCTAAAATGCGCTTGCTGATCTCAGAATCGAACTCGAACTCTTCTTCTTCGGCTATACAGTCCGCGATTGATCCTTTGCAGCTAGCATAGGATCCTGCTCGGGCGACTAACCCCAACACGTCTTCGTAGCCGCCGGCTTCAGCGGTCGCGATAACGGTCACGAGAATCGCGATGACCGCGTAGATCATAGGAACGTTCACCATTTCTCTTTACAAAAAAACTTCTGATCGAGTCAGAGGCTTCCAGCTTCTCTTTTTTAGTGTTTGAAGACGACAAGCTCAGCGTTGGTCGTTAGCCTCTTTATAACTCAAGGAAGTTTTTTTGGAATGGACAACATGTCGGTTATATTTACGGAAACACCATTGCTTTTGTCATTAGACTCATTACACGTATAATTTCTTTATTTTCTTAGTTATAATGTTATGCTTGTAGCCTTGCATATGTTGTTATAATAGTATCAAAGTGGAAGGGGAAACAAATTAACATAAATTACTGTATAGAAGCCTTGTATTATTATTCACAGGTTAGCATTTTAACAGATATTTGGTCGGCGTCCTCTCATATTTTATTTTAGAGTTGAATCAAACTAAAGACGTGTAGCTCACTCCTCCTAAAAACCACCACCACTTACATAACAACAAGATCATCGCAAGGGTTGACAAGTTATATTTATATACCAAAACAAGCAAAGTAAACGATGCTATAAGCAAAATAAGATCGTTGCGAGTAAATATTATACGTATGCAAAAATGAATAAATACTCATAGCGTCTCCACCTTTCTATGTGCTTACAAACATGCATTTTTTATCAGTGCATTTTCAATCGACACTATCATTATAAATGTACCATATATAGTACTATTAAAAACGTCATAATTAATACTTTATGCTGGTGAATCCGACTTCAAAACATCATATACAAATGTACCATTACCATATATAGTACTATATTATGTTGGTGAATCCGACTTAGAAACATCATATTTTGATTGATTAGTTAGGCATCCACACGATTGTATGTCATCTTGCTGATTAAACAAAAAGTTTAGCTGGTTGGTACGTTGTGTGGTTCGTACACATTGATTTGGTATATTGCATCATGAAACTTTATAATACTAGTGTGCGACAAAATAAGAGTCATTTTAATTTACCCAAAAAGAAACAATATAAGATAGTTTAGATTTTTGACCAGAAAGTGAATGAAATAAAACAAATTAATCATAAAGCAAAGCAATTTATATTCTTGGTCCTGTAAAACGGTAAAAGACACCGGCAATAAGATTACCAAAGATATGAAGAATCTTGTTTGTCCACCATTCTTAAAAAAGTGGGAGAAAGGAACAAACATTTTGTTTTTGGTCAAAGGAACAAACTTTTAAATATTTAGAACAGACAGGTTTTCAGTGGAGAATCAGAATAGGGTTTTCTACTACTTGAAATGAGAAAATACAGTAAAAATATAATCGTTATTGGCTCCATGATACAATGCAAAACTGCCCAAAGTTCCAAACGATTTCTTAAACTTTGGAGTTAGAAAAATGGGCCTTAATGGGCCAAGAGGTAACAGAATTTTATTTCAAACCCGATTAAAAACTTAGGGTTTTTTCGCAAGTATAAACGCTGTGGCTTCTCGCTCTCGCCGTTCTCTCTTCCGTTGCCGCACTTGCTTTGCTTCTCCTCAGGTAAACACCAAACACACTCTGCTTCATCGTTCTGATTTTGTTTCAGCTGCCATTGTAATTTCGATTGCGATCTGGTTAGTTGTAAGGAAAAATGGGCTCATATCTTTTTTAGAAAACTTTTCGATTTGTATTTTACATACCTTTGATTTTATTTTTTTTAAATTGTCGATTTTTGCTGTTAGTCTGTTTATATTTAACAGGAATATAGCCAATGCTTAGTTTGTAGTGAATCTGGCAAATACTAGAGCTCTGGCTCACTAGAAATACCTTAAGATGTTCAATTGTAGGTTTTGCTCTCAGTTTTGCCATTTTTTGTCGCTGCAGTATTGCTTTTAATTTCTTCTTCCTCGCTTGTTAGAGTTTCAATCGCCGGTGCTAATTTGTATCTCTAGTTATTGACTTCTCTACAATCTCGATCTAATTTGAATGTTCTCTTGTTCTTCTTGAATAATTCAGTAATTTTCAGGACCAACTAATGCTAATAAACAGATTGTCATGTTGATTTCTCTTCCAATCATTACGATCTCAGACTCTTGCACTGTGTCCTGATTCGTAAATTGTTGTACTTGTTCTGCTTTTTGCAGTCATTTGGATTTAGATTCGTCTACTCTTCAAGCTAATCATGCAGAACGAAGAGGGTGTTATTACAGAGCTCTACATTCCCAGGAAATGGTAATACAACATTTCTTATTTTTGGTCTCTGTTATCATTTGATTTGTAATCTCTCAATTGACAAATTGGTTATTGTTTGTTTGAGTGATGTGGCAGCTCTGCTACAAACCGGTTGATCACATCAAAGGATCATGCCTCTGTGCAGCTCAACGTTGGTCATTTAGACGCTGATGGCATCTACACCGGATACTCCTCCACCTTTGCTCTCTGCGGTTTCGTTCGTGCCCAGGTTTGTGCCACAACTTATCTTATATACCTCTAGATGCTTCCTATTCCAAAGCTGTTGATTTGTCGAGAATGTTGTTTTTTATCAGATTTAGAATGTCTTTAGGAGATAAAAAAACTTGACATCTTGAGCAAACACTTTAACTGTTTAAATAATGAACAATTGCAGGGAGACGCAGACAGTGGCATCGACAGGCTATGGCAGAAGAAGAAGGTCGAAGCCAAACAGCACTAAGAAAGAGCCTTTATACCTATTTTTTTGGCGGGGACTTCTGAATTCTGTTATTTTCCTTAAGAAAAGATTATCGAACATACTGAAGTAATGATGTTTGCTCGACTCTTGGTTTTTTAATGATCTTGTTCTAATTTCTCCTCTTTAGTGTTTTTATCTCCAATCTGTCGAACCTTTCTCCTTCCCAAGTTTTAAGATTTCGAGATAAATTTTAACAAACCTACTCTCCCATTTTTCGAAATTGAACATAAATAATTTTGCTAAACTTATATTGAACCATTGAAACTCTGAACAATAGTATTTCTTTTCACATTTCACATGTTGTCCTCATCTTTTTCTCTTTCACTTTCAATTTACAAAGTGTATGAGATATATGATTCTAATTCAATTTTGAGAAAATTGCCAATTTACCCCAAAAAAGGTCTTTCTTGTCTCACTACACTTTTCCATTTCATTTTTGTCCTAATACATTTTTTTGTGAAATTTGGACAGTTTTAACCTTCAAATTGAAATGATGAAGTGAATTGAGAAAATCAGCTATTTTCGATTTTTTTGCAATTAAAACATAAAAGAAAAATAAAACTAAAAATAGAATAATAAAACAAAATAAAATCGACAGAAACTCTCCACGACCTAAACTCGACTTTTCTCGCTCACTACGCCGAAGAAAATCGCTCCTCCTAAAATCGAATCCAAAATCTCGCCGCCGCTCATCGCCATTCGTCGTCCTTGCTCTCTTCTTGACGAACGTTTCCTTCGGACCGAATTCCGCCGAATCGAAGATCTTGCAGTCACTCGCCGCCGCTCGTCCTTGCCGCCGCTCGTCTAAGGAAACAAAGATTTGAAAAATATTTTTTTGCAATATTCTCTCGATTTTTGCAGATGATGAACTCTACACAATGTAGAACTAACCTATTTAGTAGAACATCCTGTGAAAACACGAATACTACGGATTGTAGAAGTCTTCTTTTTAGTAGATCCTAGTTCTACGCCTTGCAGAAAAACATGAAATATGTAGTACACGAAAACTATGACTGGTAGATAGCAGTGTTTACCGTAGAATTTGAATCTACGAGTAGTAGCGGATGGTGTATTCGTAGAATATTTTTGGAGCGAATTCTACAAAATGGTAGAGTGTATTGTATATGGTAGATATCGAAGTCTAATCCGGAAGATGAATGAAGAAATTGTAGATATCATATCCTACGACGGTTAGACTTGCGAATAACTTGTAGAAAGCGTATTCTGCTTTGATATTTTACTTTGTAGAACCAAAACTTCAAAGAATTTTTTAACCATCCAAAACATTTTTAAAAATATTCAAATATTTTACACATTCTTTAGATCATTTATAGGACTTTTAGAAATTGTGTTCACTTAAAAAAATATTCATTATCATGTTTAAACAATATTGAAGGGCAATTATGGAAAAAAATGGCCAAAGTCAAAAAAAGAGTAATAGACAAGAAAGACCTTTTTTGGGGTACTTTGCCAATTTCCCCTTAAATTTTGAATAAGGAAAAATACAATTTTTTGTATTAAACTAAAACATATAAGGCCAGTCGAACAATACGATTCCTTGAGGAGACTAATACATATTCTTCGTCATCAAATATGCTTTCTGAAAGCATCTGAAAAACCCGCAAAAGCCATCCTTCTCTTCAAATTTATCTTTCTTTCCCGGTTATTCTTATTCCCTTTCAGCTAAAAAAACTCGCTTTTTTAAATTATCATCTCCGAAAAAGATTTATTCTTCTCTAATAAGTCCAAATATTCTCCTCAATGTTATTCTAAAACTTGCACTCAGAAAATGATATTCGAAAATAGTACCTCACCATGTCGCTTTCGTTTCCGTATCTTATTATTAGCTTACTGGTTTTAATCCATAACATACTAAGTGACAGAATAATACTGTATGTTTTCTACAAATTTTGATTAACAAACAATTTTTGTACCATCGTATTTCAGGTTTAAACCATGGTAATATATTGTTGGCATAGTGGAAATTCTCAGATCTGTACTGTAATATCAGAATTCTTATCTGGGACAGGAGATTTACATAGTACTGTATGCCATTACTGTGAAATTTCATTGTGGCGAATGTCTTCTTATTCAAGGTATATATAATTAATTTAATGTAATTACCGGATTGTCTTCGGTAGCTGTTTATGAAAATGCCCCTCTTGTACACATCATTCGGCATTTTACAAGATGCCCCAATTATGTAATTTGATTCTAAGAACTTAAACCCAATTGGCCAATCACATAACGCCACAAGCGTTTGGATTGCCTTCGCTGAGTGCTTCAAAAGAATCTGACGGCTGAGATCTATACGAATAAAATTCGGGCGGTGGAGATTCATAGCCAGTGTCCACGTACTCGTAAGAATAATACGACGTTGGACGAGGAGGAGGTGCCGCGTAATACGACGCCGTCTCATTTCCACCGTTACCCGGCCCGTGCGCCGTGTTGTAGCTGACCGTATAGGACGGCGCCGTTTGAGGCTGCACGTGATAATACGTTGGAGGAGGCGGTCCGTACATTTGATGCGGATGATGACGTGGAGAACCGTGAGCCATCGGATACGGATGCTGCTGCTGATGATCTGGTGGAGCTGATGAGTATATCACAGTCTCTGGTGGTCCATCGTTCTGCGGCGGACCACCACCACCTCCTCCTTCCATCACCACCGTCGTGCTCCCTAAGCTCTTCTTCTTCTTTTTCTTTTTCTTCTTCTTCTTCGGTGCTCCATTACCTGTCGGAGGTTGAGGTTGACCGTTGATGAAAGTCACAACTTGTTTAACCTGATCACAACCTCCTCCTCCTCCTCCGCCGCCGCCGCCACCACCAATGCATGCACCACCGTCCATACCGCCGCCATTGTTGTTTTCGTCGTCCTCATCATCGCCACTGCTCTCGTCGTCTTCGTTTTTAGGTTTCCTTGGTTTGTTCTCTCTCTGGTAATTACAATCGTTGTTGTTGTCCATTGACGTTGGCCATAGCTCCGCGTGTCTACCGGCTTTCATGATCTTCTTGATCAGAATCTCCGGCTCGACGTTTCCAATCACCGTTACTTTCTGTTGCTTCACATCGATATTCGTTGTATACACACCTAAATCATATATTTTAGTAATGATTGATTATAAGGAAAAAAAAGAAGAAGAAAATGTCTCTCAACGTCTACGAAGAATCTATAAAGAATGAACACACGTGAAGAGCTTATATTTTACCATCGATTTTGCTCAATATTTTCTTGATTTTCCTCTTGCATCCTTCGCAATGGATAGAAACTCTCAAAACCCATGTCTGCAAACAACAACGTTAAAGAAGAAATATTTCTTAAGAGAAAAATTAAAAGGGTGACAATTATATGTAAATGAACTTACGGTGTATCTGAGAGGTTCAGGGTATTCTTCGAAAACATGTCTCTCTTCTTGTCTTGTCTCTGTTTTGATCTCTGTTCCGATCTGTGTTCCTAAGTCCATTCGAGAGAAAGAGGAAGAAACGGAGGGAGAGGGAATAGATGCAACTTCGTGTGTATTATAGAAACGAAGTCATCGCTTCTAGCCTTTCTATAACTTTTTGGGATTCCTTTAGCCGATAATATTCTCCATTATCATTTAAAGTTGTTGTTTTTTCTACAAAATATTATATTTTTTCATTAAACTATTTTTGAAGATACTTTTTTCATAAATCATACCAAAATCTTTCACTCTGTTTTTTTCTATTGCAAATGGGTTTTGACATAGGGTGAGAAGATATACTTTTAAGTTTATATAGATACCAAAAGATATTTTAAATTACTTGAATAATTATATTATTATAACAATCTAGTAAAAGGGAAACACTGCCAAAAGCCAAACTCTTCTTTACAGTAGGAACTTTGAAGTCTTGTAATCTATTCTTGGTTCAATGATGTAATCCATTGATGTGTGTTGAACATTCATAATGAAGATGTAATACAATATATGTTTGTAGAGATGCATAAAAATAGCTCTTAAGTAGGAAGACTCTGCAGTAGTCATCTCAAAATTTATCGATGTGATTCGGTCATAGTCGCCGATAATTAATAAATATGGCTTGATACTAACTTCATAACGAATTTTGGCTGCCGAATGTTTTCTCAAATGAGAAAAAAATGGGCAGTGTTAGATGGTTTCACCACTGATACGTATTGCATGAGGAGTTTAGGAGGAGGACACTACTACTAAGGGTGCAGATGAATGAGAGGAAATGAGGAACTAACACAAATTAACGAATTTGGTTTTGCAAACAAACGTTTCCATGCTGTATATTACAAAAAAAAAACTTGAGTGGAATAACGTAGTATGCAAAATCTTCCTTCAGAACTACGTTTCCAAATTTTGTTTTTCACCACACTATTTTCTAATAAAAGGACTAGCATTTTAGTGAGTAGACAAAAAAATATTCTTCTAAAATGTATAACCAGCCTATGATAGTTTATGGCCAAAACGACGTCATTCCGAGGCAAGTGAGCGGCAAAATTGGATGCACTTTTGTCTTTCCTGAAATTGCCAATGCTGATGATTGATTTCTCACAGTGATTAATTTTGGCGCCTAGGGTTCTTAATTGCGATCTCCAACCATCTTCTCGCTTGCGGGTTTCCCAGAAAATCATTCGTTCAAGGTCAGTGATTAAGCTCGAAAGGTCTGTGTGTTTGGCGTGAAATCGGTGGCGGAACATTGTTAGTTAATTCGAAAATTTTGATTAGGGGTTGGAGTTCCCAAATTGGAATTATCCAGTAGTTATGCATAATGCGTCATTGCGTCAGTAGAATTAACGTAGTTGTATGATCCTCTGACTACTGTCTCAGAAGCCTATCCATATAAAGGTCTGTCCTTTATTTGCCCAAACAGTTTTAAATTCGATGGAGAAACTAGCTTCGTCGTCTAATGAAGTTGTGACGAAGCTTGTTGAAATGGGTTTTGAAAAGTTGGATGCTTTAGAGGCTGTGAAAGCTGTAGGTGAGTCATGTGATGACGCTGTGGAGTATATTCTCAAGGGACATCACAGGACCGGTGGTTTTAAGCCGGCTAGTTCACTGTGCCCTGCAAAGAATAATAAGACCATTGGCAAAAGACGAGCTTTGCCATCTTCGTTTTCTTCGGATTCAATGCGACAATCGAGTTTGCTTGACCATTTTAAATCCATGAACCAGAACAAGAAAGTAGGAGATAGCTTTGGGACCGCAGTAGTGGATTCTCAGTTGCCTGATCCTTCAGAAGAGATGATAAAGTCTTTTGCTCCAGTGTTTTCTGAAGAAAAGTTCACAAATGGTTGCTCAGAGGCTTCATCATCAACGTGGGAGAGAAGAGTTAACTCTATACTACAGAACCGGTTTGGTATTTCATCACTGAAAAGTTTCCAAAGGGAAGCTTTGTCAATGTGGGTGGCTCACCAAGACTGTCTTGTTTTGGCTGCAACAGGATCTGGTAGATTCTTATTTAGTTCTTTGATGCCTTCTACGTTTTGACATTGAGTCAAATACCATACTAATTGGGGTTTCTGTGTCTTTACCATGCAGGGAAATCTCTTTGCTTTCAGATTCCAGCATTGTTGACTGGAAAGGTTGTTGTGGTAATTTCACCTTTGATAAGCCTGATGCATGATCAGTGCCTGAAGCTATCAAGTCACAGAGTCTCTGCTTGTTTTCTTGGGTCAGGCCAACTCGATAATCGCATAGAAGAGAAAGCAATGCAGGGAATGTATCAGATCATATATGTTTGCCCTGAGACAGTCGTTAGGTACACATCACAACTTTCTAAGATTTCTCTTAAATGCATTTATTTACATTCTTTTGTTCTTGCCTTCTTGGTTAAGAAAAATACTAAAATCTACTGTTGCAGACTGATTAAGCCACTCCAGAAGCTCGCCAAGACTCGTGGAATTGCTCTTTTTGCAATAGATGAAGCTCATTGTGTATCAAAGTGGGGGCATGATTTTCGTCCTCACTACAGGTACGATTTTGAGAGAAAAAACTGCAATTGTTATCTCCCGCAAGTGCTTTGTGTTATCTTCTTTTCTAAACAAATCTCCTTTCTGTTGTATCTTTAGGAAATTATCTGTGTTGCGGGAAAAATTCTGTGCTAGCAATTTGGATTTCTTGGAATATGATGTGCCGATAATGGCATTGACTGCAACAGCCACAGATCACGTACGAGAAGATATTCTTGAGTCACTTCACCTCTCAAAGGATACAAAAACTGTGCTTACTTCATTTTTCAGGCCAAATCTGCAATTCTCAGTGAGTTTCAAGCGCATATTCAATTTCACTTACATTTATGGAACTCTTTTTGCATCCGTAAACTTTATCATGAGATTAGCATATTAATCTGTAACTTTATACTTCGTGCTGATGTGTGAATCATGAGATGTAAAGCTAAAGTTATTATTTGTCTGTTCAGGTTAAACATAGTCGAACCAAGTTTGCATCTTCATATGCGAAGGACTTCCAAAACTTAGTTGACTTATACTCTGATACGAGAAAGGCTACCGGGAAAAAGCTAGCAGTGATCTCAAGAGAGTCAGAGGAGCAGACTGATTTTTGTTATCACGATGCTGAAAACATTCACGAGACAGATTACGATGATGATGAAGAGGATCCAGAAGACTCTTTGGCAAAGAAAAACAGTTCAAATGGGGAAAAAATGTCGGAAGAGTATCTGGAAGATGAAACAGACATCTTCCAGAGTTTTGATGATTGGGATGGTATGCTCCTTCTTCATATTTGTTTGGAAACAGATAGTGATTTGAAACTGTTTATAAAGATTTCATAACTTTGATTAGAAAATTGGTGACTGCATGTAACTTAATATTTCAGTTGCTTGTGGCGAGTTCTGTGCAACGTCTCCTTGTGAAATCCTGGATATACCTGTCCCTTCCGAAAAGCAGACACCTGATGATTCTGGACACAAACATAGTCTCCGGCAAAAGGATCTTGAAGGACCGACAATCATTTACGTTCCTACAAGGAAAGAGAGTGTCAACATTGCAAAATATCTCTGTGGTGTTGGACTGAAGGCTGCAGCTTATAATGCATCGGTATGGGCTGAAAAATTTCTTGCTTTTTGTTAACCTGGTATCAAATCACTATAAATCAAGCAGTTGTGGCTGTTTTAACAGTTTATCATATTTTCCACAGTTGCCAAAAAAAAAACTCAGACAAGTTCACCAGGAATTTCATGAAGATAAGCTGCACGTATTTACATACAACCTTTTATGTTCGATCCTGTTATCGACTTCTCTGTTACCAGTCCTTTTTGTCTGACTAATCTGTAGAAGATCATTAATCATGTTACTCATCTATAGGTTGTTGTTGCCACAATTGCATTTGGAATGGGAATTGACAAGAAAAATGTCCGGAAAATCATCCATTATGGTTGGCCACAGGTGTCTCAAAGTTCTTGATAAGATTTTTATATATTTATCATTACAATCTCTGAGAATTATGTGCTATGCAAATTCCTTGTTCTCTCTCCTACATCTCATTAAAAGAAACGAAACTGCAGAGTTTGGAAGCATACTACCAAGAAGCAGGTAGAGCTGGAAGAGATGGTGAATTGGCTGAGTGCGGTAAGCTAATTATTGGTTTTTCTTTTGGCAGTGTACATTTTCCTCTTGTTTGACATGGTTGATGTAAGTAATAATCTCGGATTTACAGTACTCTATGCTGATCTATCGAGAGTACCAACGCTTTTGCCAAGCCGTAGGAGCAAAGAACAGACAGAGCAAGCATACAAAATGCTATCGGACTGTTTCAGGTCTGCGTACTAGTCAAATACCTCCGAGTGCATGTATCACTTTTCGTTCTGTATAGTTATACATTAATTCTTCTTTTCTTATGCAGATACGGAATGAACACTTCACAATGTCGAGTGAAAATACTCGTGGAGTACTTTGGGGAGGATTTTAGCTCCAAAAAGTGTAACTTGTAAGTCCTATCCTTCTTTCTAAAAACCATTAAGTTGAAATATCAAACTGTCGTAATAAAACCTTTCCAATCTATGAAACAGATGTGATGTTTGCACTGAAGGACCTCCGGAGCAAGTAAATGTACGAGAGGAAGCTAATCTTTTGTTTCAAGCAATCGCTGCTTTTCATGTAAATCTTTTGAGCAATCCCATAATTTCATTTGCTCATTTTGTATGAGTGATAGTATACAATCAAACATAGTTTCTTCTATTCTCTCTGGCTCTAACGCTGCTAGTATATTAGTTGCAGGTAGAGAATAGCTCTGAGTACGCATCATCATATGAAGATTATGGACTCGGCAACACCAAACAGAAGACATTCTCACACAAGCCGAATCTTCTCTTCTTCATCAGTAGAGTCAAGGAACATGTAATCTTCTTCATAATTTAACAAATCACATAGTACATTATATTCTTGGATGATATTCATGTGATGATGCATTTGGTTTTGATGCAGTCCCCAAAGTTCATGGAAACAGATCGTCTTTGGTGGAAAGGTCTTGCCCGTATCATGGAAGCTAAAGGATACATCAAACAGATCGATAGCAAGGTAAAGTACAATACGAATGCAACAGTCACATATTCAGTTTCTTAAATTATTGAAAACCTGTTGCTGGTCTTGTGTTGCATGCAGGCTCGTCGAGTTGAGATCACGTTTATAGAACCAACAGAGAAAGGGAAGAAGCAACTTGGTTTCCAAGACGATACGCCGCTCTATGTATATCCAGAAGCCGACATGCTGGTTTCGTTGGAACAACAGAGAACATACAGTGGCTTCTCTGACTGGGGAAAAGGATGGGCGGATCCTGAGATCCGACGACAGCGTTTAGAGACAATGAAACGTCCAAGAGAAAGGAAACCCCGAAGAGAACGATCACGACAACAACGTCCTTTCAAGTTACGAAAGAAAGTTCCATAGAGAAGCAAAGAATATCTTAACCCTCTCAAGTAATGAATCCAGAATATATATATTCAATATTCTTTATCGCTCTCTATCTTTTAACCAAAACCATTCCCATTAATGGATCTTTATGGAAGCATAATAACATTTCTATCTTCAGTTGCTGTTTCGGGATCGATCTTCGTTGCTCTCAGTCCTATCTTGAGGCAGAGACGTCGAGCCATCGAGAAGCTGAGACTAGTGAACGAGGCTTTGGTTACTGCGGAAGAGAATGTGGCGAGGCTTCAAGAACGTCATGATGTGATTCTCAAAGAGATATGTTCTTATTACCTCGTTAACGCTGAGCTCCAAGAATCTTTGGTTTCAGCTCGAGCAGCTATTGATGATGCTTCAGGTTTTGTTATGGAGCTTAGGAGATTACAGTTTAATATTTTAAACTCTCTTTCTTAATCAAGCGTTTTTTTTTGTAATCGAATCATTTGAACGGGCCCAATTATAAATACATAAACTATAGTTTCTGAATTATCTAAATAATATCTTTGTTGTTAAAAAATAAAATAAAGAAGAAGATAAAGCTTGATTATCATATCGTGCGTGGGGGATGAATCTAACGGCTGAGGATAGTTGAGACTTGAGTGTCAAAATCCTCCCTCCTTTGCGGCTCCCACGTGTAGTACGTAAATTCGACGACTCATCGTGTCACAGTGACCGTTGGATTAAGAACCAACGAGAAACAATCTGAGCGGATAACGTCATTGAAACTCGGATTGCCAGCGTGGCAGTACATGGGGTTTATATACACACACATTGTTGAGTCCTTCATTTCCGCAAATCGCAAAACGTCACCAACCGAAAAAGGGGAAAAACACAAATAGAGCTTTGCTTTTTAGATCCGTTTGTTAAGAAGAATCATCATGGAGTCGTCACCAGCAGCATCAGCGAAGCCAGCGAGAGGTGCCGGAGGAAGACGTGGAGGTGATCGGAAGAAGAGTGTTTCCAAGTCCGCTAAGGCTGGTCTTCAGTTTCCCGTCGGCCGTATCGCTCGTTACTTGAAGAAAGGACGGTATGCTCTTAGGTACGGCTCCGGTGCTCCCGTTTACCTCGCCGCTGTTCTCGAGTACCTCGCCGCTGAGGTAAATTCTAGATCTCATTCTCTACACGCTTCTGATTTTGATCTCCGGATGTGCATTTTGTGATTGGTTTAGAGAAATGGTTCTTAGGAAATGGAATTAGGGTTTGTGCTAGGAAACAATCGATTTTATTGTCTAAATCTATCGCAATGTTTCTGAGACTTGGTATTGATAAATGGAATTCAGATTTATTCTATGGATCTTCTTAAATTCGAGATTCCATTTCCGTTTGGATTATGATCTAACGAATCTACTCTCTCTCTATATTTCGTCGGTGTCAGGTTCTGGAGCTCGCAGGAAACGCAGCGAGGGACAACAAGAAGAACAGGATAAACCCTAGGCATCTGTGCCTGGCGATTAGGAACGACGAGGAATTGGGGAAATTGCTTCACGGAGTCACCATCGCTAGCGGAGGAGTTCTTCCAAACATCAACCCGATTCTTCTTCCTAAGAAAGCTGCTGCCTCTTCCCAAGCTGAGAAAGCTTCGCCTGCTACCAAATCCCCCAAGAAGGCTTAAAAGCTTGTTCTGAAGAAAAATCAATGTTTTTAGGCTGTTGCTTTTGAAGAACATCTTGTTTTCTCTTGTTGTTTTAGGGATTGTGTAGGGTCTCTCTTTTTTGGTTTGTCTATGAAACCAGATGATGAAGATTATGGTTTTAAACGCCATTTTGTAATGAAATAACTAATTTCTGGGTCTGTTCTCAGTTTTTCAGCCTAATCAAGCTCAATAATTTTCTAGATTTCTTGCTTTCATCGTCATCGATTCCATGAAAATAAGAGATTGGTGTTCTGGAGAAGGATGATGATTGATGCTAATTAAATGTTAGGTTAGAAGTGAGTTCTAATATCTAAATTCGGAAAAAGTCGATCCATTAATGACAACAAATCAGGTTGTAATAAACCGTATCATGTTAGCTAAATTGTGCAATTTATTATGTTCGTCCAATTTGGGCTTTATCTGGGCCCTAAATTGAGAGATCCATTAAAATTGCACTTGAGAGTGTGTCTCTACCCGATTCTGGAAATCTATGGAGGTTTTGAGTGACATTGGGGTTTAGCGAGATCAAAGTGATTCAGTCTAGGATTTTGCGATGATGAATTTTCTGGTTAAGTTTTTCTCCCCGATTATGATGAACGACTCATTGATTAAGCAAATCCCATAACTCCGTTGTTGTTTTTCTGGGCAGAGAAGAGCCGTCTTATCTTCAAAGCGAAGCTCGCTTATTCGCATTGTAGCTGTTGCTGCTACCACTACTTCCGGAGTTGTATATGCTAAAACCAACACCGATGCAGGTAATCTAAGCTCTAACATCATTTTCGAATTTTTTTTTTAGTTAAGAATTTTGTTTCCGTACTTTCTTTGGCGTAATGGTAAATGTGATCTTATCGCTTATGTATTATAGGAACGAGAGTATCGGTGGCTATTCCAGAATATGTTCGGGAATCTCTCTCATTACCTTGGCAGATTTCACAGGGACTGATTCATCGCCCAGATCAAAGCTTTTGTGGTTCGTGATAAAATCTGATATCTGTTTATGTAGTTTCAGATAATCTGGAGTTGCAAAATCTAAATTCTGTTAGTTCTTGATATATGCAGGAAATTTTGCCGCGTTTTCTGCAAGAGTCAGTCCAAAATCAGAAGCACCTGCAAATGAAGATAAGAGAGCTCAAGCTGAAGACTCGGATAGTCCGAAAGCAAGTAGCGGGTACTTGGGGAGAGATACAATTGCCAATGCGGCTGCAAGAATAGGACCAGCAGTTGTCAATCTCTCGGTTCCTCAGGGTTGGTTTGTTTTTCTTCTGATCACATTTACTCGGTTATGCTTTGGTTGTAGAATTCAATTCACAGGGAGTGGTTTGGTGATCTTTGGGATTTCTGAATAGGTTTCTTTGGGATTGCTACGGGGAAGAGTATTGGTTCTGGAACAATCATTGATGCTGATGGCACGATATTGACTTGTGCTCACGTTGTAGTCGATTTTCAGAACATTCGTCAATCTTCTAAAGGGAGGGTAAGTTCAAAAGCATGTAGGATTGTTAATGAGTTAGAGTGTATGGTCTCTTTACCCTCAAAAAGTTAATGTCAAACCTCTTATGTTCACTTGATACCATATTGCCAAGGATCTTAAAAAAATGAAGTTCCGTTTGAGGAACACATACCATATTTCCAATATATTGTGAATGAATTAGAGTGTATAGTCTCTTCAGGAAGTTAATAAATGTCATACTATGTTTGTTTGTTAATAAAATATTGGCAAATGATGTTAAAATGACTTTTGGTTTTGAGGAATACATAGTTAACTAATGGAGCTATAGTAAACTGGGATTAAAGCAGATGATAAGATTGGGTTCTTTCAATAACTGGATGGACTCTGTTTAGGAAACATATCTGTGTAGTGAAACATATGTGAAGTTTAGATTTTTTTGAATTATAGGTCGATGTGACATTACAAGATGGTAGGACGTTTGAAGGTGTGGTGGTGAACGCTGATTTACAGTCAGACATTGCATTGGTGAAGATAAAGTCAAAGACGCCATTGCCAACAGCTAAACTTGGTTTTTCGAGTAAGCTTCGTCCAGGGGACTGGGTAATAGCTGTTGGTTGTCCTCTTTCTCTTCAAAACACAGTCACCGCTGGCATTGTTAGGTAAATAAACACAAGTGCCTTCAAACAAATACTGTTTTTCATTTGTTAAGTTCGTATAGTCCCAATTTTTTTGATATATTGCTGTTTCTCGGTGCTAGTTGTGTTGATCGCAAAAGCAGTGATTTGGGTCTAGGAGGCACACGTAGAGAATATCTCCAATCGGACTGCGCTATCAATGCTGTAAAACACATCTTTCTTAAACTATTGACTGAGATCTTGTTGTTACCAATTGTCTTTCATATCTTTCATTTCTCTATCATTGTGCTTAATTATGTGGCAGGGGAACTCTGGTGGGCCTCTTGTGAATTTGGATGGAGAAGTGGTTGGTGTTAACATCATGAAAGTCTTAGCTGCAGATGGGCTCGGGTTCTCTGTGCCAATCGACTCGGTCTCCAAAATCATCCAGCATTTCAAGAAGAGTGGGTATGTTTGTATACTCTCAATACCTTTTCATTAGCTTTTGTTGTTGAGAGGAAGACTGATGTAAAAAAGCTATTGTTGCAGTAGAGTTATTCGTCCATGGCTTGGGCTGAAAATGATCGAACTCAATAAAATGATCATTGCTCAGCTAAAAGAGCGAGACCCAAAGTTTCCTGATGTGGACAAAGGCATTCTTGTCCCTACGGTGAGTACCACATCCATCAAGAAGGTCCATAGTGGATTATATAATGCTAGTTGTATCAAATTTTGCATAATTCACCGTTATATTTGCAGGTGATTCCGGGATCGCCGGCTGATCGAGCTGGATTCAAACCAGGTGATGTTGTTGTGAGATTTGATGGGAAGCCGGTCGAGACCATCAAAGAGGCATGTATCATCATCTCTCTCTCACACTCTCTTCATCTTCTTCATCTTAGAAATTAACGTGTACGAATGAAGTTTGATTGCAGATAATAGAGATAATAGACGATAGAGTTGGGAAGCGGATGCAAGCAGTGGTGGAAAGATCAAATAAAGAAAGAGTCACACTAGAAGTTATTCCTGAGGAGGCTAATCCTGACATGTGAGACTTCAAATCAAACTTGAGATGTATTACTTAAGCTGCAGTTGATTTTGTTTTCTCTTTTACAACGGAGGTAATTGAAACCTAAGTCCATGTCATTCAGGAGAAAAATCCATTTCATGTAACGTTAACCAAATAGTTAACGTTGATTGGCCTTTTTTTTATTAAATAGTTTGGTCGCTATTTTGTGTTTGAGATGTGAGATAAATTTGGCGGTTTCACAAGGACCAGCGTTTCCTATTTGTGTACTGGAAGTAAAAAACCAGAGAAGCTAATTACTGTACTGTTTTTCATAAAACAATTAAAAAAGACGACAGGGGAAGTATCTGTTGGAGTTGCAAAAGTACTTTACAAATAAAAAGGTAAAACTGAAATGTCTGGTACCAAATCGAACTTGGTGCAATTGGTTAAGGACATGTCCTCGTCAATTTGAGCACCAGTGTTCGAGACAACTTTGGTACCCCTCTCTATCTCTCTCTCTCTCTCTCTCTCTATATGTTTCCTTAAGATGACGACATCGTCGTTTGGATAAAGTGAGGTAATATAAATTACCTTTTTTTCAATTTTTTTTTTAAAAGAATAAAAGAAATTTCAAGCAAAGAACTGTAATAAACTGGTATTTTGCTTTTAAGTTTTAGCACGCACACAAAACGCGAGTGGATCAGACATTAGTACATGACTAAGAAAACTATGATGTACTTGTATATACCATGAACAATAATATTCAAATATGAATTCGAAGCTGGTGATCAAGTAATGGCTAACGATTTTCAAAACTACCGGTAATAAATATTGTCTACTTTTGATTATTTTAGATGTGAAATATTATTGCTAAGACATAATCAATTTGATTATTTGCAAATAATCGAACTATTTTTGTGTAGATTTAAAACTTTACTTGCTCATATATATATAGCTTTTTATTAAAAGTCCGAAGCTACAATTTTCCCAACATCTTTAACAATAAAAAAAACAATTTTCTCGAATCCAAAACAAACAATTAAACACGTAGAGAATCAATTTGATTTCTTATAGAAGTATTTTATTATTGTAAAGTACGTATTAAATTTTAAGCCCTTCATATAGCAAATCAACAAGAACATCCATTTCATGTTTCTTGAGCGAGAAGCCAACCTCCACACCACCATTCCCATCTCTACTCTCCATCATTGAAAACACTTCTCCTTGATCGATCGACACAACCACCACTCTCTCCGGTCTTTCCCACCCGAAATCCAACCCGTATACCCCAAACCGGCGAGTGGGAGGTAGTGAGAGAGGGTTGACGAGAGAGAGGATTTGAGTGTGGGGAAGATGACTGAGTCGAAGAAAGAGCGGGTTGCGTCGGTGAGTTGGTAGAAGATGACTAGTTGAACCGGGGGGCTTTTGTACCACACAAGGTCGAAAAAAGTGAGCGGGAGAGTGAATGACTCGGACGAGTCAGTGGTTGAAGGTGTGACTCGTGACACCTCGATGACGTGAAGCGAAGAATCCATTTTCTTCGGTAGTCTCGTGGTGGTGAGCTACTCAAATGGTTACGACTTCAAAGCTGGTCCTGTTTGAGTAATTATAATGCAAGATGACCAATAATTGTAATGCCCATAAATATTGAAGTTACGACTTCAAAGCTGGTTATGTAAAGCTGGTCCCATAACTTAAAAACTAAAAACACGGGAACTAAAAAAAGGAGAGAGTGGGAGAGGGATCCATTAAGAATTGTATAATACATGACCGAAACAAACTAAAATATCTAACATACAAATATATCACCAAAACCATACTTAAAACAACATTTTTTTATCTCAACGGGCTTTGTTTAGTCACAATGGATGGTAAGGAACGTAGCCCAACAAGCCCGTGACGTTAGCCACAACGTCATTGCATTTTGACAAGAGGTTGAGCATCTGGTGAGAGATGTCTCCCGCACCAACAACCGCCGGGCTCGGGCCACGGAAGTTTCTGGAAGGTGGTGGCATTGGTGGTTCCACATGGTCCACTGTTTTAACGGGTTTTGTGTATTGTGGTGGGAGAGGAAGAATTGGAGGCAATGTTGAAGGAGGAAGCTGTTGATGATGAACAACGTTTTGAAACTTCTTACTAACAAATTCCATTGCAACAGATGATGATGAAGAAGAAGATCCACTGTTTCTACTCAACGTTGGGGTGAGTTTTGCCTCGGCGGTTGCTTTACTTGTGTTATCTTCACCTCCTAACATGAATTTGACTCTTGCGGTTCCGCGACTACTGCTTGGGTCATCAGCGGATTTCTTCAAGCAAGATTTCAGGTTGATGTTTGGCGGTGGTAGGATTGGTTGGTGAAGTGGCGGTGCTTGGTCTAGCCACTGGCTCTGTGGTTCATCATCTTCCTTTGCGTTTTCTGGTTCCTGAGGCTCGGCTTTAGGAGCATCCACGTCACGAAGAAAGTACCTTACGTTCACGTTTCCAAAGAGAGAGCTATTTCCTGATGCATATCGAAAAGCCGTCTGTGCATCGGCTTTATACAGAAAGACAACACGGCAGGTCGAGGATTTCCAGAAAACTCTAATGGCGGATTGATCCAACAGCCCGAAGCGACCAAACCTCGCCTTTAGCAATGCAGAAGAAGGGAGAGATGTGCCTGGTGGGAACTTCATGACCAGCATTGTTGGCTCAACTACCTTCACTGACGGAGCCGTTTTCTTCCCGGTTTGAGCTTTGGCGGGTTTAGCTTGAACTGCACCACTGCTTTGCTCTCTTGCTGGTTTTAAACCATCCTTTGCTTCTCGTTTGATCTTCTTCTCAGAAGGTGTTGGTTTCAACTGAATAGTTTTCTTCAGCTTCTTAGGTGATGGGATTTCGTCCTGACGATCAGAAGAGAGACGTTTTTTCCCAGCTTTTGATGGGCCTTCGGTTCTGTTGACAGTCTTGACCGGTTTTGAGGGTTTTGTGTCTCTGGCATATTCAGCAGTAGCATCAGATGAAGATACGGCCAAACTTTTCTGGTAATTAAGTGAACGGAAACGGAGAAAGAACCTCCTAGCAGCTCCAAAAGAAGCAACTGATGAACCATGGAAAGGGTCCAGAGAGAGATCTTGCAGATGACTCAACAGCTGCGGCACATCAGCTTCCATATACGAGTGTAAATGTGCTGAACCAAGCTGGGACAATTTCTTGGCTCCAGCTTCCCCAGAAGACAAAAGCTTTCTCTTTTCTGGATGGTCAGAGTTAACCTCTATCTTCTTCTTCTTCTTCTTTTTCGGCTCTAAAGAAGGATTTTCAGGGCCTATTTCGCTTGACGATCGTTTAGTAGCTTTGCCTTTCTTGATTACAGACCCTGTGGAACTTTTCCCCTCAGAGGCTGAGGTATGAGAACCTCGAGGAGACTCAAGCAGGGGCTTGGGAGAGCTTCCAGCTGATCCAAGATCTGCTCCAGTCTCTTGTTTAAGACTCGCCACAGCTTCAGATTTCACATGCTCTGGAAATACAACAGTTTGTTCTTCCATTTTCACCTTTGATTCATCATCAGCTAAACCCTTTTCTTCATCACGAGAGAGCTTTGGTACAGAACATTCTTTACCAGGACTAGCTGCACTTGAAGAGGTGAAATCCATGCTGACAATCCCAGACTCCTCATCTTTCATTGGAGTTTGAAGCGTTGGATCTCTTCTCTGCAGCACAAAATCCCCATCCGTAGATCCTCCAACGCCTGTGCTAGAACTTGCTTCAACTTGGCCAAATTGAACAGTCGTATCACCTGCTTCATCTCTTCGCTTGAGAAGATACTTGTCTTGTTTTTTCGAATCCTTAACCTTTGCGGTCTTTTTAGAGCTCTTCGAGTCACTTAGAGTTTCTGCTATGACCAGCGGGCCACTCAAGGGAGCTGGAAACACGAGAAATTAGAAAAGCACATCAACCGCCAAAACAATAAACAACGAAGCAAACAAGGTAAACATATGAAGCAAAGTTAATGTAACGTATTCAACCTAGTTATACTATCTCACACCTCTGTAATACTATTGCCTATAACATGATTTCCGAAAAGTCACAATACCTCGAGGAGGTGCTCTATTATGAGGTTCATTTGCACTCGCTAGAGTGCGCACAGATTTCGTCCCAAAGGCCTGACCATATGTTTCATCAAACTCCTCGAACACAGCCTTGCGGAAAGAAGAAACCACTGCTTTCTTCTTCAAGAAATCTAGACTGTTGGAATCACACTCTTGAGGTGCTAAAGCCAATTCCTTCACAAACGAGAGAGTCTCAACAGGTGAAAACCCATCCCTAGATTTCTGAATCTGCTCAGTAGAGTAAACGGACTGAAGCTCGTAATCCGGCACATCAACAGCAAAGTAATCTTCAACATTCGTAGGCCTAAAGTTAAAAGGATTCCTACATTTACAAGTCAAGCCAAGAGCTGATCTTCTACTCGCTTCATCAGTGGCTTCCTCCACAGCTCTTACAAAGTGCTTCGAGACAGTCTGCTGTGACTTCTCTGCCAAATGAGGCTCAAAGGGAATAAGCTCAGCAGGATCAAACCAGCCGTAACTACTATCCCCGAAAAATGCAACAAGAACATGGTCCATCCTCCTCATGCGACGAACGGAGGGAGACGCAAAAGCTTCATTGAATATATGACCAGGCCACCAAGGATGAGACTTTACCTTTCCCCAAACCAAATCGCCCACTTCGAACCCATAGCTCAATGCCCTCGAAACTCCAGAACCATCCCCCATTTTCTCGCTTGCAACGTAATCATCAAACTCCGATAAGAGAGATTTGTAATCCGAAGCCGCATGTTTCTCCAAATCTCCTCGCTTTTCTTCCTTCGAATCAATCTCATCAGCTTCGGAGCCAAGCTCACTAGATTGATTATCATCGGAGACATCTTCTTTAAGCTCAGGACTGTCATCATCAGACCTCTCAATCTGGCTTTCAGTAACATCCTCCCTTTTGACCTCGGGAAAACTAGGTTTCGTTTCACTTATATCATCATCTTCCCCACTGCCTTCGCACGCAACGAGATCAGCGTTATCCGATCTCTCACTCCCAGAAACCCTAGCACCGCAATCGCCATCGCCATCGACATTAGTAACCGTCGAATCGAGCTCCATAGGTGAGGAACCTGCAGCATCGTCAATGACTTGCGAACTCCCCTGAGCATCGACTGTCGAATCAAGATCAGCATCACCGGAAACCGTAGGACTCACCTCGGGATCCTCAATCGAATCCGTTTGTTGGGCAATCTCAGCATCCTCGTCCATAACGGCGCCGGAGTATAAGAAATTACAATCGAGAAAACCCTAGGAACTCTAGCAATCTTGCGAGATTGTCCGTCTCGGTTCTGGAGGAGGAAATGAAAGAGACGGATTGATTATTCAAAAAAAAAATTCGAGAGAAAGCTTCATCCAAACAATAAAATAAAAAAAAATGCAATGGACGGAAAATCTAACGATTATTGAATTGCCACATCATAAGACGGGAGTTACGTCATATTGTCCACTGTCCTGAAATAATAAATTTAGAATTAATTACAACCCACTCAAATTAAGGCTACTAAATCTGTGTTATTTCGTTTCCTTTTTCTTATATGGGATTTCGATAATTTATATAATACTCATCTTTTTCAGCGATAAATGTGTTAGATTTTCATTAATCTTTGTCAAGTTCATTATAGTTTAAGAAGAAAACAAACTCATAAGTCACGCAACATACAACACACAACTTCATTATAGCGGTACCCAATTTTTAAACTTGTTACATTCATACAGATCGCTGTTACTGCACCTGCAAGCATCAAATGGCTGTATTTACAAAGTTTAAAATGTGAAAAAGACATGTACTTCATCACAACTAGTGTCTTCTGAACTTTTAGACATGTAAAAAAACATTAGCCAATGCAATAGTAACAGAACTAAACACAAACCAGCATCACAATTAGAATCATCAATGGCACTAATAAAATTCTCAGAAATACAATAAACCAGTTCTCCCCAATGTGGAGTTCACTTATTTCTATAACCATTGGCAAATTGGCACAGTTCCATAATTTACAGAAAACAAATTACAAGTCTGACACTAAACCTTGAAAAGTACTATAACAAAGTCACCTGAGTCTTGTTTGTATATACAGAGAAGGTGAATCAACTTTCTCAAGCTTCTAACAGATCAGCCAGACAACCATCTTCCAAGGCAACACGTTTCAGATCAACGATAAACTGATCTCGAAGAAACCCGAAACCAAAAGTCCCGTTCTCGTACAACCACACCCGCCCAGCCAGATCGTAACTAGAGTACATGTACAGGATTCCAGACACAACCTCTTCACGACCTTCTCCGAGGAGAGGAGTGACATGAATCCGACCATCCAATATCATCTCTTCCTCAGCCGAAAACGGACATCCGACGAACTCGTGATTCCTCGTCCAAAACACAGGAGAAGTGTGCCGCGAGAGTGACAAGTCCTCCACTTTTTTGCATATAATGCCTCCAACTTCATCATACTTCACCAGATACAACTCCATGTTCCTTCCCTCACTGTATCCCTGCCCATTTCATGAAACCATTACAAAAAGATTGTTCTTTTCAAAGCTTTCTCAATCTCAAGACAATATCAATGATTAAACTTTAAGAAGTTGGAGAGAGCAAAGACCTTCCATAAGCCTTGTAACGGTTTAGTAACCGTAGGCGAGAAATCAGAAACCTTGATGAAATGTTCAGGTTCCCATTTGATCCTCGCTTGCCTCTCCTTCTCCTTCTTCCTTTGTCTCCTTCTATCACTCCCCGGGCTCGTCGTCTTATTCGCCAACTGAGTATACATTTCCGAGACAACAAAGCTCGGCGGCGATGTCGTCGCATCCTCGCTTTCATCGGAGCTAGATCCTTTAGCAACCGGGCTCTTCTGCTGCTCCTCTCGTGAAAACCGATTCTCTTCCACCATGATATGACCGTTCCCCATGAAATTTACATCCACAGGGACGAGATTGCTTCTCGAAAAATCGTCAATTTCGTTACTGGATCTTCGATTCCCGTCGAGATCGAGGAAATTCTCGGATCGTCCTTCCGGCGAAATCCCCATCTCGAGAAACGGCGTCTTTCGCACCTGATACGTGTCGTCCTTGGTGGCTAAAACTCTAGATCCCAAGACGAAAGAGGAACCCCACTCGAAGAAAACCAGCGGCGGCGATGAATCGGCGGGATTGACTCGGCCGCAGAGTCGCCAGAATCCGATTAGATTCTCTAGTCCGATGAGCGTCTTGTAGAGAAGCTTGTACGTGATTGCGCCGTTTCCCCATTTCTGGATCTGCGTCTTCTTGCCCCATCTCCGATCGCACATGCCGTGCCAGATTTTCCCGTCTTCGCGGCACAGCGAGGCGTAGCGTTTCGACGTGCAGGCGAAGCTGGAGATCTCCGGCGGGGAGAGGAAGGATAAGATTCGGAGCTGGAGATCTTCAGGGATATCGCACAAGGGTAATGCCATTTTCGTCGTAGATTGATATCTTCTTTCTCGGGGAAAAATATTGAGAAATGATTTGAGAGTTAACGAAGCTTGAGGATGAAAAAGGAGAGATTTTTAAGATAAATGAGGTAAATTGGAATTGTGGAATTTTCGAAAGTTTTAGATTCTTGGACAAGAGAATATCCTGGTCAACTACATTTAAGTTTGGTCATAAGTCGCAACATAAGAGATTTATGCCTGAAAATACTCTGGATATTTATTTGGAAGTAATTTAAATCGTTTTGACGTTTTGTTGAGCTAAAAAGAAAACGATTATGCCCTATATTCATATAGATGGGTGTAATTACTACCACAAATCAAATGTCTCGTATTTATTAAGTTTAAAAAGTGAAAAGGACACAACTCATTCTCAATTCTCATTACAAAAACCCACTGTATAGTGTAGACCATATTTTCAAGAAGAACCATCAACCATGCATGTCTGAGAAAGGGAACAAAAAAGATCTCTTTATATTTCTCTCTTTTTCTTTGTAACCGTAAATACTGATATAGAGTAAGAAGAAGCAACAAAATAAAAAAAATTAGTTTTGAATGGTGAATCAAATTATGTTTTCGGCGGAGGTGCGAGCCAGCCCCAGACGCCACCGGAGCTCTGACGTTTGGCATTCATGGCCGCTTGTTCAGACACAACGGCTCTTTGACGGTGCAGGAGTTCGAGTTCCTTTTGAAGTGTTTCCATCGTCTGAAGCTTTTGTCTTAGCTCTGCAACTTCAACCTGCGGGCCACTTACACCGAGTTTTCTTAGGATCACAGATAAATTGGGAAAGAAAGTGACTTTTCGTGGTAACGGGTTACCTCTAGTTTGAAACATCTTGATTGTTCCACTGCAAGTTGGCTTCGCACAGATTGAAGTTCCTAAATGTCAAATAAAAAAAATGTTGAATTGACAAAAGAATCTCGAAGAAACTCTCACTGTCTTTGGTTATTAGTCGCTTCACGGTTTATTGAAACTTTCCAAATGCTAAAATGCTTGACTGAATAAGAACCAATTTGCTAAAAACCAACTGCATGATTGTTTGCTGCTGGCTTTTGTTCTGGCAAGGATCCATGAACGCAATAGTATTGTTACCTTGTATAACTCTGTATTTCTCGTCTCCGTCTCTGCTAACTCTTCCTTTAGTTGGAGAGTTTGTATCTTCTCCTTGCTAAGTGACGCCTCCAGTTCTTCTTTCTCGGATTTAAGGGTTGTGATAATGTGTTCGCTTTTACCTCCAACCTGGGGATTTAGTATCCGAGATTCCAAGGAAAGAATTGTCAATGCTCTTCATGTTTTACGTGATTATCTACTCTACTTTGTTATTCAGACAGTTCAAGGAGGGAAAAATCTGACGGGAAGATACCTTTGATCCAAGAGGGTTAACATTATCCATGACAATTTCCCGTACTTTGCTTTCTTGGCTCACTGCGATCTCAGACTCTATGTCTCTGGTTGTGGCGTTATTAACAGCAGAAACACTGTATGGCGCTGGAGAAGCTTCCATAATCTTTGATTTCAAGCTTGATTTGTGGCTTGGTTTAAGAACATTCACCTGATTTGCAAAAAAAAAAAGACTTAGTAACCGAATTAAAGACTAAAATCAGGACCAAATGTATCTATAGGTACCTCGTTGTTGTAACTCCCATTGTATCCACCAAAAGCAACGATGACGTCTTCGCCATTGTATGAGCTCACAACTAAACTCAATCCCTGTCATCAAAGAAACATTTGGTACTTAGCTCAGAAAGAGTGCAAAAAGAAATAATGAGTACGGTATTGTAAGATCGAAGTTTCATGTTTCAGAAATAACGAGTGGGAGACTTATATGGAAAAAAAATCATTTGTGACTGTTTTTTTAACTACCTCACTAGCGAGAGGTACGCGTCCTTGGACTGAAGTGAGCACTGACCACGCAAGAGTTGACATATTCAATACAAAAGTCTCAGATGCCCCTGCGGTAAAGTTACCAGGAAGCATCACAATTAATCACACTGTTCAAAACAAAAAGTGAAGCAACTATCAAGTTTCCAGTGATGTAACATAAACAGCAACACATGCAGGGATCAAAAAGCAGGAACGATAAAGAGATTTTCCAAGGATAGCGCAGAAACATACCGCTCGTGTTGTCTCCACCACCAACAATAAACCAGTTCTCGCCAATCGTCACACCAGCGTGTCCAGCACGTGGAGTTGGTGCTTCACCTTGTTGTGTATGTTTTGACCACTCCTCCTATAATACGTAAAGAAATGTCAAGAGGCCGACAAAGAGCGTTGCTGAAACAAAAAAAGAAGCTAAACATACAGTTTGTAGATCAAGGACGTGTAGATCATCAAAACAAGTTGCATTTGATCCTCCGCCAAAGATTAGAAGGTAACGCTCAGCATGCACTGCAGCAGCATGATCAGACCTTGGAGATGGTGGAGAACCCCTGCAAGTTGACAGCAGTTTAACCTCGCAGTGATCTTTCATTGACAACTAAGATATGAAAGTGATAGTTGGCAGCTTTATAGAATTTCCTTCATTTTAAACGGAGCTGACTTCTTCAAAAGAGAGAATAAAATGCAGAAACGTAATAAGATCTTACACGACATCTATCTCATCCCAGGTCATCGTTTCTAGATCAAGCATATGCACATCGTTAAGAAGCAACTTATTTGCATCCTGGCCGCCAAATATCACCAAGCTTTTTCCCACAAGGGTCGCTGACTGGCCTCCACGCGAAAGCTGCAAGCAAGAGAGAGTGATAAACATAGTCTGAAATTAAGCAGCCAAACTACAAACTCAGTTTCCAATATTAGAAAGGAGATTAATAAATTGGATTCAGATGCATTAACACCTGAAAATACTACGAAGGACGGAAGAGAGCATGTACAAAAGTTTTTACTTGTTTACCAGACTGGGAAATTTCCCATATAAAGATTAGACAAATTGGGAGAAAAGACAATTTACCGGTGGCTTCCCCTTTGTCTTTAAGATTGACCATGTACAGGTATGCAGATCAAAGACCTTCACTGTGACGAGAAAACAGAAGAAAAACTGATACAAAAGATTTGGTATGCTCCAGAAAATAACTACGACAGACATAAATTCCTACCTGGCATAAATTCTGAGGAATCCTTTGTATGACCACCAACAGACAGAAGCATGTTGTTCCATGGTATCTACTTAACAAACAAAGAAGGCCAGTGAGAATAATGTACTGTTACATTAATTTCTCCTATAAACTAATAGAATGTGGATTTCATGAGAGTGTTGTATCATCATCAGTGAGATCCAAAGAAGAAAAACCAAAACAAAAAGCAAGTTGAAATACTAACCAAAGAATGACCAGCACAGTGAGTTAGTATTGCTGGAGATGATGTTTCCTGTGATTCAGCCACAACCTTGGTTTTAACTCTTGACCAAGTCCAGTTTTTCAAATCCAGAACCTGTATTTGAAACACCATTCACAGAAGACATGTTTCGAACTGTTAGCAGGAGTGTCAAGAGAAAATAATGGGAGAAAATTCTCGTAGGTGGGCAAAACTGAAACCAAATACTTCGATTAGATCAGTCAATGTTGTCCGAAGAATACTATAAGTGGCTTACATGAAGATCACCTAGATAACGCCCGTTGTGGTTTCCACCATACATATACATCTTATCTTGAATAACGGCTGCTCCATGCTGAAACAAATACATACTAAACAAGAATTAGAAAAGAGAGAAGATACACAACAAGATCCTTTTCTTTCATGTTCCACAAGAGTTAGATTCACTATTACCTCATACCGAGCTTTTGGTGGAGGACCTGACGTTAGTAGTGCAGTCCACTGGTTATACACAGAAACAGTATTTGGGATTTCCAAAACTACATCTTTATCTTGGGTTTCCGTCAAGCGCCTATCTTCAGTAAAAGTCGTCTTTGTCTCACCCAATGAAGCTTCGTTCTCAACACTACGCTCGTCCTTTGTGCTCTGCGACCGAGAATCAAGTTACTAAATGAGTAAGATCTTCTCTTTATCAATGAGGCATTAGTATTTGCTAGCAATACATACACAAACTGAAACTTAATCCTACGTATAGGCAATGAAATTTCTAACTTGGGATCCAAAACTCACATTAATTTGGACATCTACAGCAGGCTCTGGAACAGAGTTAGATGCCATTGGATACCAACCGGGATCTTCTTCCTTTTCAGAAGTGAGCAATAGGAAGAAATTAGCCTATGAACCATAAATTAAGAAGAATGAGCATAGACTGACTGCCCTGTTGGGTTTACCTCTAGAATTTTCACAAAGAGACGCATTGCCTCGATGGAAGGCATGGTTCCAAGCCCCTGCCAACTAGTAAACATGTACTTCTCTTAGGAAAGTTCACAAAAAAAAGGAAAGTTCACAAGGACCACGTTCTGAGTTAATTGTTGTAGAAGAATATCCTACGGTAACGAGGTCTGTGACATAGATTTGTCTTTTCATAATGACATTTTCTAAGATGACTTTCCCTTGCGTGCACCAGCAATTTGCATGCACGGTAAAATTAAGTTAGCTGTTCATTTTTTTTCCAATACAAGTTCCACATTACGTACTCTCTAACATCTAACATCTACAATACTTTTTTTTCTATTGCCCTGATTCACGAGACATTTTGATCCTGAAGCTACTTAAAGCTTAAACGTTTGATGAAATCTAAAGGCTCTCCTAATGTAGGATGGCAGATAGTTATTGATCTATAAAGAAGTGAATCTAACCTTTTCCATTTGCTTTGCGCTACTGGATTCCACGCACTAGGTTTTGGTATACTGCAAGGTCCAACTGTAGCCTGTTAACATGTCAAGTAAAAAAAAAAAACCAGTATCACTAAGCCAAGTGACTCGCTAATCAATTTGTAAAAGAAGAAACTTTTCTCTCAGGGAAGATAGCAGTCTCAGCATCATAAATCATGAATATATAGCCTATCACAATTCTCATCTTGACTAAGAATTAATGGATGCGAACAATGCCAAGACCCTGAGATTAATAGCAATGGAGATATAATGTGGGATCATCTCCCAAGTATAGCAGTGTTCTATATCCATGAGCATTCATATTTGTCGTCAATGGTGAAACAATTGTAAACGAGAAACACATTCTCTGAAATCTGATAAACAAGAGCAAACACCTCGACCGCGTATAAAACGAAACCAACCGAACTCAAGCAAATCCAAAATCAGAAATTGTAAATGACGGCAAATTGCACTGGTGAGAATGCTTTAGAAAGTAGAAATCACCAGATCTCGATCAACAACCAAAATTCGAAAACACGAGCTAAGCATTGGAAAATATAAGAAATCGAAATCTGAGGACCTGCTGGTGCAGTGCATAGAGAAGCAAAGCGGTATCATTGGAGAATTTCAAGCTGAGTTGTTTCACCGACGATTCAGATCCGTCGAGGCCGACATAGGATGCGGCGGCGTAGAACCTCTCCGGGTAAGCAAGGCCGGAGCTCGCCCTCACAATATTAGCCATTTTGTTCCTCACAGTTTCCTCACAGATTTGATCGAAAGGGAGGAAGCGAAAGAGGTTCAATTAATTACGTACGAATTGCGTTTATATAGCGGCACCATCAACAACGACATTTTGCTTCCTCCAAAGTACAAATAATATATTGTCCAAATGACAAATTCGATTTGTAACCCGAATTTTTAAACGGTTTATATGCTTAGGAGTGACACTACTGACTGGTACGTTTTTCGCTGGTGGGAATAAAATTATTTGTAATGTTAATGTTAATTACCATTATCATTGCAAATTTGCAAATAAGAATCACTAATCCACACTTATGCTTTCACCTTCGAAATTTGAATTTGTCTGTGGTAGTAACTTTAGTCCAATTTTCGAAATTGTTGATCATGACTCGCCGCTAAACAACCCACTTATACATCAAATGGCATTTTTGTATTTGAAGGTTCTTTGACATCACGGAACTAAACACAAACTTATGGCCAATAGGCCAAATACTGTTGCCGGAGTATTACTTTTTGTCTCTATAACATAAACTTCCAATATACTTGTACGAACAACAACAAGAACAAAATATAAAGAGGATTTTCCCATTCAATAAGATTAAAACTAAACAAGTTCCAAAGAAAGTTAGAACGAGAAACTCAACCTACTGGTGCCCCACCGTTGGGTGTATCATTGGAGCTCCTATGTGACTTGTGCTTCGATCTCTTCTCCCGTTTTTTACTACTGATGAAAATCAATAAGAAAGAGAGGGTCGGTCGATTGAAGAATCAAAAACTATGATATATATATATATATATATATATATATATATATATATATATATATATATATATATAAAGTGGTTAGAAGAATCAAAAGCAGAGAGGTTAACGTACTCGTCATGTGAAGAGCTATGTCCTAGACAAGACTTTAGCTTCCGGTTGATATGCTTCATGTCCTTTTCACTTGGGTACTTGTAGTTCTTTACCTGTAGAAAGAGAGAGCATAGTGTGAAAAAATGGCTTTCTTTTTGGACTTGAAAGTTTCATGGTTATGAGAAGATATGAAAGCTATTGCCTACCAAAGATTCGATGTCATCAAGAAACTTTGTGAGCTCTGAAGCCGTGTGCTCATAGTTAGGTTGAGAAACAATGTTCTCTAGGTACCTGCAGTAAAATGCAGTTTAGTTGAAAATACGAGGCCAAAAGAATAAGATATCATGCAAATAATTGTATCGATGACCATATAATGGCAAAAGGATTAATTACCTATCAAAGTCAACTACTCCAAGAGCTCCATTTGCAATACGCAAAGCAGCCAATGCCAACTGCAAGGGCAAACGTCTAACAATTGAGAAACAATACAACACTCTATGATACTAAAATATCCCAAACCTTTGTGTTCAATCTGATTAAAACAAAGGCTAGGGAGACAAAATAAACTATCACCTGGCCAGGAGGAAAGAGGAGTGGAGCATCTGTGAGCATAACTTTATCAGCTTCTGCTGTAGCCGCTTTAAGCAAATTCTGCAAAAGTAGTTAATGACATTTTTAATAAGACCCTTAAGCATACAGACTTGCAGGTATGACCACAAACCGGTACTAGAATTTCATTGGTCCCAGTTCAGTTACAACTAACAATATCGGAAATATCTGAAAAGAGATCTACCTCCAGTTTTTGGATTTCATCACCTCTAGCTTGAACAAATTCCTAGAGGATGAAAAGATAACATTCAGAATTTTGCTTGCAACGAAGCAGTTTCATATCAAAAGAGGGTCTCATCATTAGAAAGATGTAAACACAGAAAACCAAGTTAACATGAGAACACCAACGGAAGATTTACCTCCATGTCACTGACAAAACCTCCCATTGCACGATATGGGGCATAAACAATCAGATCAAATTCCAAACTCTGCACATAAAGTTAATCTAATATGAACAGAAGAAAAGAGAGAGAAAAGAACATGAGAGATTAATAGACATAGGGAAGTTGGTACAGATTAATAGACTCATAACATACCTGAAGAACAGCCATCTCATACTTGAGAATTATGTGGTGATCTTGTTTAATCCCCTTCCCTATTTCTTCAGCAGATACATGATTCTCCTCTATTTTACAAGATGCATACACACAGGTTAACCTGTTCAATGACAGTTATCAATTAGTCTAAAAAGGCTGTTAGAATATAAAATGCATTCGCTCAGTTTCACTCTCAAAACATATTTTCTTATGGGGAAAAAAGTGGTAAAGCTTGTGACCATTTTTGAGAAATTTAGAAGTACTGTACATTATTTCTTTAGGATGATGTTGCATAACAGACCATTGCAGATAAAATCTTTTAAAGTATTGGAGGGCCGTTGCCTGCAAAAGATTAGAAAACAAAACATGAATTCAGAGCACTAATAAGATTGGAATATTTAATTTTTCGACTTCATCATAAATTTTCCATCAGGAAGAAGAGCAATGCACCTGAATCTTGTGAGGAAAATTAAAGGCACTGCACACTTCTTGGACCTTTGCCTCATAAAATGCTCTCATGAACCGTTCTTCATCAACACTCAAGGGCTTAAGCTTCTTATCAGCTGAAGATATAACATCATTTTAAGCTTTGACCAACAAATGTATAATGGTATGTATGAAGATACTGGACGAACCATACTAAGGAAAGATAAGCCTTACCTTGATCTCCTGCATCAACTTTCTCAGTAGGATATGTCAGTGATCCACTGGCATCTACTTCAACTTGTGTTGTTCCACACTACATTATAAAAACAAGTTAAAACTCTATCCTGAATACAGACTAAAGTTTCATATGAACACTTTTCACACACCTTCTCCAGCATTTGCACTGCCTTCTGGTTCGCAACTTTATACCTCTCTGCCTACAATTACAACAACACAACAGCTTAGTTTCAATACCAATATCTACACAACAGAATCGAAAATACACACGCGAAGGCAAATTCCTATGATGCAATCAAAGCGTAAATAACCCTAAAGATGATAACTTTCTGAAATTTACAAAGCAGAGAGACCAATTGAAATTGGTAGTAGCACAATGGAGATGGAAAGGGAAGCAGGATACCAGTTTCTGGGGAGTGAGAATCCACTTGGCCCGTTGAGTTGATGTCTGGAAATCCGCCATCACTGACTCGCTTTAACAGTTCTAATGATTTCGAAATTCAGAATAGCGAAGTACCAAGTGGATTGTCACCTGTGAAGATGTCGTTGAAATTCTCTCCGATCATGACTAGCCCGACGGCTCCGGTCTCCACTCCGCCATCTCCGTACAAACCAATGACATCTTCACTTTCTCTTCCCAAGATTAGGGTTTCCCTCTTTTCTCAAATTGCTAACTCGCACCTACGCTCACCTCCCAACCCCGATGGGCTCTCTCTCTCTTTCTCATTTGCAGTCAGTCCATTATGGGGCCCAATAAGTAATTTGTTTAACATATACACAGGTTTATGGGTTCATCTTTAATTCGCCGTGTTGTTTCGTTTACTCGCCGGTTCCACTTCTGATGCGTTTTTGGCTTCTCTCCTCCTGCTCCACTTCTGACCTTTAATCTTTTGGCGTTTTGACTATAAAGCCAAGCAGAAGTGAGACTGGTGATCCAAAATTTCTATTTTCTTCTCGATCTAATTTGTCGATAATGTGGTCAGAGCTAGCGTCTCTCTCAAATCTTGCCGTTAAATTATCAATCTCGCCACGGCACTGACGAAGATTTCCCGCGAATAAGCAGCAAGTTTGGCCTTCTATCGGGGTCTTTGAATTCCAGTGATATTGACTCCGACTACTTCAATTCTGAGGATGATGTATCGCAGAGAGAGAGAGAGAGACTAAAGATGGTGACTGAGGTCAATCCGAGTCCATGGTAATTGGTTTCTTGTGTTTTCCTCTGGTTTAGCTCATCCTCCATTTGATATTTTAGGGTTCATGCTCCTGATGTGTGTGGAAATTTAACCTTTACTAACACTATAAACGATTGTTCATAAAGTTTTGTGGTTTTAGATTTTAGCTAATTATATGGTTTGTGTTTGAAATTGTCCACAGTTTTCGTCTCTGATTTCTTAATGTCGTTTCACTTGAATGGGTTGAGTTTGAATGATTGTTTTCAGATTCTAGAACCGCCTCATCTTTCACGGTTTGTGTGTGTGAATTTAGTAGATAGTGTTTTGATTTTTGTAGTTAAGCTTATGTTTTGCTGTCGAAATCGGCTTTTAGGTTGTTCCACACATTACAGATGCAATCTTGAAGACGAAAGTGGAAAATCAGTATGCACCATTAATGAGTTTCCTTCTGATTAAGAGTTTTATGGTATACTACCACTTTCTTCCTTTTAAGCATCACTTTCTTCTTTGCAGACTCCGGAAGCACATGCTGCTGCTTGGAATATTCTGAAGGTGAGAGAAAAGTTCTGTGAGTTTTCTACAAAAAGATACATTCTCTGCGGAGAATATAGTCTCATTTTTTTTTTACTTATGCAGAGCGCAGAATGCATTCTGGTTCCTGGTGGTTTTGGAGATCGTGGCGTGAGTGGAATGGTCTTAGCAGCAAAATACGCTAGAGAGAACAAAATCCCTTATCTTGGGATCTGCTTAGGGATGCAAATAGCAGTAATTGAGTTTGCCAGATCACTTGTAATGCTCTTCACTTGTTTACCAGTCTAGTAATTGTGGGGAAGAGTGACCTTTAACACCATCAATCCAAATCACTCAATTGTAGTGTCGTATGTGTCGTATGTGTAATTGTTTGAGATGTTGGCTTATGTGTCGTTCAAAGAGCATATGACTTTGTGTGTGAGCATAAGATTTGATGTATTACTCTCTCCCTTCGAAATGAATATTACTTGTATAACTTTTATTTTTGTGCGTCTATATTTGAGTACTTTCAAACAGTAGAAAATTAATTTCTCAGTCTTTTATTCTAAGATCGTGAAATCGAAACTTCTTTAAACTATAAACCTAAAACATATTAGTAAATTTAAAGTTTTAAAATATCATAGGTGATATATATGATTCTCATTTCTCATTTCACTACATTAATTATACATAAATTTCACAAACACAATATAAAAAAAAATGTAATAAGAATTACAAAATAAATAAAATCTGTGCATGTCTGAAATATAAGTTTAAGGGCAAGCATTGTGAGATTATGTCATATTATTCTAATGTTTAAATAACATTTTTCAGTAAAAAAATAATGAAAGTTTGAAGATCGAAAGGAAAATAAATGATAGTTCAAAGGAAAATAATAATAAGTAAGTATTTATAAAATCTATTTAAAAATTTGTATGTAAAATTTTATTCAATTGTTTATATTTAGAAATATGTGATAACATTATATGTAAATGATAGAATTATAGCGGATAAAAATCAAGTACAAATAATTGATGTATCAGAAAATAATATTGAAATTTGAAACTATATTTATAGTTCTAGGATCATGTAATAATGCGGAAAATAGCCGATAGTTAAAATCATTACATTTTAAATTTTCAAAATAAATTTATATATATGAAACACAGTTCATCATTTCTCAAATCTTAAAACAACATATTTGATTTGAATATTATTTCTATGTTCCTTAAATTATTTGATTTGAATAGAGTTTAAAAAGGATAACTATATAAACATAGAATAAATGTAATAATTCTAAAATTTGAATTTATAATTATTAAATAATTTGTAATATACATTACCCGTGCATTGCGCGGGCCAAGCCCTAGTATGTTTAAAGCAAAAATAAGAGAGAATCTCTTCTTAGTTCTTACAGCCATATCTCTCTCCGTTGGTCGTTTTTCTTTTCTAAACCGAGCCTGGCCAGCAGCAACTCTTTTAAAGACGTACCGACGGTACCGTATGTTTGGACCCAAATTACCATACTTTAATTGCGACTCCAATTTAATCTGTGAAAATAATTAGAGACCTCGTGACTAATTATGAACACAGTTACACACATGTATAATCCATTTCGTAATTGTATTTTTTCTTTCCCCAAAATTCCGGTTTAGTACTATTACCAAAGATAATAATATATATTTGAAAAATAAAACTTGAAGCCTTGCTACTTTTACTCCACTACAATTACTGTTTATCTTCTGAACCCTTTTGGTACAGTAAATTAAGGCTGGTAACTATAAATTTGTCCGAACATGTGTCTGAATTGTTATAATCGTATTAGTACTTACCCTCTGTCAGAAACATAATTACAGTTTTAGATTTTTCTCATAAGTCGATGTCAAAATTACAATTTTAACCCCGTTTCGGACAACTAATAAACACACCGCAACAACGTTTTTGGACATTTCCAATCAATAAAGTCGAGTGTGGGTCCATGACAAAAGCTAACTCAGACCAAAGGCATCAGACATGAAAGGAACAGAGGTGTTAAACAAAATGGCGATCCCGAACTGGGAAGTCACAGGATTCGTCGAGTACATAAGCTCAGGACACAAACAAGGAGACATGCTCCTCGTCGTCCCCGCCGGAAAATTCGCTGTCAGGCTCGGAAACGAAGCATCGATCAAGCAGAGACTTAAAGTTGTGAAAGGAATGTATTACTCGCTCACTTTCAGCGCCGCGAGGACTTGCGCTCAGGACGAGCGGCTCAACATCTCCGTCGCACCTGACTCCGGCGTGATTCCGGTGCAGACGGTGTACAGTAGCAGCGGGTGGGATCTATACGCTTGGGCGTTTCAGGCGGAGAGTGAGGTCGCGGATATAGTGATTCATAATCCAGGCGAGGAAGAGGATCCAGCTTGTGGACCACTCATTGATGGTATTGCCATGAGATCTCTTTACCCTCCCCGACCAACCAACAGTAAGTATTAATTACTCTGTTTTTATACATTCTTAAGCATGTCATGTTATGTAACATTATTGACATGTTTTATAAATTTTTGTGTGTATGATTTGAAAGAGAACATTTTGAAAAACGGAGGATTTGAAGAAGGTCCACTAGTATTACCTGGCGCGACCACCGGAGTTTTGATCCCACCGTTCATAGAAGACGACCACTTTCCGTTACCAGGTTGGATGGTGGAGTCTCTCAAAGCCGTCAAATACGTAGACACGGAACATTTCTCAGTCCCACAGGGTCGTCGAGCCATTGAGCTAGTGGCGGGGAAAGAGAGCGCCATCGCTCAAGTGGCTCGGACCGTCATTGGGAAGACTTACGTCTTGTCTTTCGCGGTTGGAGATGCTAACAACGCTTGCAAAGGGTCAATGGTGGTCGAGGCTTTTGCAGGAAAAGATACGCTTAAGGTACCTTACGAGTCTCGTGGCACCGGAGGGTTTAAACGGGCGTCGATCCGGTTTGTGGCGGTTTCGACACGGACTAGAGTTATGTTTTACAGCACTTTCTATGCCATGAGAAGTGATGATTTCTCGTCTTTGTGTGGACCTGTGATCGACGACGTCAAGCTTATAAGGGTTCGTAAGCGGTAGAAGAAATGAAATCGTATTTACAAGATATCAAAAGTGTGAGGCTCTATCTTTAAAATTTGTCTTTGCTGTGTTTTGATTTTTCTTCAAAAGAGATGCAGTGGAAGAAGAGAGAGGTAGGGTTTTTATATATGCAAAAATGGGCCTTGCTTATATGTACTATTTTCTTGTATGAGAAGGCAAATGAAACGTTGCCGTTTACTTATGTATCTAGGCCTTTTACATTTTATGGAGAGTTCTTTAGAAACTTCAAGAACCAAAGTGCTAACAAAACCACCAATCTTTTGTCACCTTAAACTAAATGACCGCAACTATTTGTAAAAAGATGCAATTCGAGTCTTTGTTCTCTAAACACAACAAATGCTAATGGATTAACTTTCCAAAATGATAAATTCTATTGGAGATCAAATTTCACCAAACCGAAAGAAGAAGATACTCAAATTTAGAATGAAAGTTGGTTGAAACTTAAGTTGGTACTAGCAAAGGGTCACATTAGGATTACAATAATAAGTTGGTCAAACTCAATCATTAACTTAACCTCAAACTCATATAGGAAGGAGACTACTAGAGAGGACTCATCATTTCCCGACGAAATGCAGCCGGACAGCAGTAACCACATCACCTGAGCGTTCAAGCTCACACACAACAGTGTCTCCCTGTTGCAGCTTGTGCGTTCGACAAATGGCACCCCAGCCAGTGAAACAAGGATAACCGGTATAGACCTTATTCAAGGCGGTCTCCTCTGTTCCGTTGGGAAGATGGTAGTTTATGGCGGAATCGACGGGACCAAACTTCAAGCCATACTCCTTGATAACCGGTTGCCTCACATACTACTTGCACAAACATTGGAAAACAGAGAAGAAGATAAAGTCTTTAGCTTTAAAGGCAACAGACCAAAACTCAAAACTTCATAAGTAGAATCAGTAACTGATGTTATTTACCAGAACGTCATTCTTTTTTCCCACCGTTTTCACAAAGTAAGCGTTTTTGGGATTAAGGAGGTATTGCTCATGGCTTTTGACATTACCACAACCCTGGCTCACTCGGCTACTCATTCCTCCGTTTGCTGAAAGTTTCCACCAAAACAAGAACAAGATGAGTCAAAACTTTGTAATGAGTCATCAAGATGGTTTCTTTAGATTCTGAATAGCCTTACCAGAGGCAGATGCAGAGGTAGAAGCAGTGGCAGTTTTTGTTTCCTGGGGCTTAGGATGAAGCGGTTCAGTTTCAGGCTCAACTTCAGGAGGTGCTTCCATGAGCTCTTTCTCACCATTCTTAATAATTTGCACTTGAAAATACATTGTTTCTTCGTGTGTGAAGATCAATACATCGTTGGGAGCTAAACGGTTGTCATCCACAAACTCATTCCAGTTTTCTTCATCAATAAACAGACCATTCTTTTCTCGCTGGACCCAAAGTAGCCATTCGTTTTCCCAACGAACACTAAACACCACTTTGTGCTCTAAAGCCCCTGGCATGCTTCTCTCAAACTCTTCCGGAATAATCCTCTTCATAAAACCAAGAAAGCAGAACATTTAACAAGAAAGATGAGAGTAATAGCTATAACTTTTCAATTAGCAAAACACGAGCTTTAAAGCTTGATTTCAAGGTCAAGAAATGGTGAAAAAGGACTAAAACCAAAACTAGCAGAAACATGATGACCTTGAAATCAAGCTTGACCTTGGAGAATAGTTTTGTGAAAAAGGTCAAGAAATGGTGAAAAAGCCCTCAACACAGCAGTAATGATCGATGCAACTTGGAGAATAGTTTTGTTAATATGTTCTTTTGTTTGTTTGTTTCTATATATGCAGAATGGAATAAAACTAACTTACAATCATGAATATGAAACACATAGTATAATTTTATCAAGGACAAAATTAGAAGAAGCAATAGAATTCGAGACGGATAGATCATTTTTTCTAGGTATGAGAATTCCAACTCTTGAGATTTTATTCTCCTCGGGGTTGCTTATTTGCCTGCAGTAACATGTCATGTGTTGGGTGAAATAAAGTCAACCTTCCTTGCAGTAATTATTCTTTTACTGAACATATGTCATGAAAGTGATGTATCTAAGCTAATTTTCTCATCCACTTTTTCGTTAAGCCGAATGCATAAATTTATATGCATAGACGAGTTGATAAAAGCTAAAATGTAATCCCGAGAGCTGCTCAAGTATTAGAAAAGTTATAGATCATCAAATGGCTTTGGAATGTAGTTTTTTTTTTTTTCTATTTCATGACTTTATCTATAGATTCTTCGTGACAAAAAAAAAATCTATAGATTCTAGCTCCTAAACTTTGAAAATGATTACTAATTAGTCGCAAACAGAGCAAAAACTTAAAATTTGGTTTAAAATGGTCAAAGATCTTTTTAACAATGATGTCCAAGAAAGAATGAGACAGTGGCATTTATTACCCGATCCACCATCAAATTTTTCTCCTTCGAGTAGAAAGTTAGAGAAAACAACAAAGAAGCTGAGAAGAGCCCAACATTCGATTTGGATTATACAGAGCGACACAAAGTCTTTGTCGAATTTTGTTTCAAAATAACAGCGATCATATATACACAACAGTAATAAGTAATCTCTAGAAGAATGTAAAAAGCCTCAAGACTCAACAACAATAAAGATACAATGGTTAAGACAATAATTTCTATATTACAACTCTCTTAAGGCAGTGTATCAGCCACTCAAGTTCATTAGCTTGATATGATCCAAAACGAGAGAGAGAGCAAAGACATTGCAGCATTGACACATAACCTAAGCTTCATGAGGCTCTAACATCTCAATTTCTGAATACGGTCTCCACAAATCAACATAGCTACTCAATTCCCTAACCGGTAGCCTCTCCTTCCACGCATCAAGATCCGGTAGATCACCGGTTAACGCCACAGAGCTATCATTCCCATTCCCAAGCGTTAGCACAAAGAGCTTATCACCAAAAACACTGCTCATCGCTTTCAACGTCTCCTCCATAACCAAATCTCCATCTCTCTCAGAATCCTCAGCTTCCACACATCTTCCTCCAACATTCACCATAATCCTCCCTCTCTTCCTCAACCTACTTTTCAAACTCTCCCACACTTTTGGATCTTGGAGCTCTTTGATCACACTCCCTTTACTAAACAAATCCACTAAAATACCCGAGAACCCGGTTCTAACGCTAGCGCTCAATGCGTCCCCAATGTTGATAAAAATCCTACCTTTATGATCCATTTCGAGCTTAGAGAGACCGAAGAACTCTCTACCGACGTCGATCACAGAAGGGTCGATTTCCCATCCGTGGATTGTGATCTCGGGCGGGTAAAGCTCGAGGATCAATCGGGCGGTTGACCCGGCTCCGAATCCGAGAACGCCGATGGGTCCGGGAGGGATAGTCGGAGGCAGGGTAGCGAAAACGTCGAAGTAACAATCGGTTAAGGTTTTGAGAAGGAAGGAGATGCTGTGAATGTTACCGGGATTGTCGAGGAGGAGGAGGCGAGAGCCGGCGAGTGGGTGGTCGGCTTTCCGGGAGATGTCGATGACTCTGATGTAATTGTGGCGGGATTTGAATTTGGCGATGGTTTTGACTTCGGTGGCTGGGATTCCTTCGTCGTCGTTGGAAGTTCTGTTGCGGCGAGAGCGGGTGTTTGATCGGCGGAGAAAGATTGGGTTTTGGACGGAGATTGAGTGTTGAAGGAGGAGAGAGGGTAGGGAACTGGCGAGAAATGTGAAGCGGTGGTGGGAGAAATTGGAGAGAAACAAGCTCCTTGGCCATTGCTGTTCTTAGTTAAGAACCACGATGGCCATTTTTCCAAATTTTGATGAATTTGTGTGTTGATGATTTCATGCTTCAATGGTTTAATTTTGGGTGGTTTATGTCAATTTCTAAAGTTTCTACCGTAACAGTAACAACTCTGAAGTAGGAGAGAAAAGAGATTAGATTAAATAATTCCTATGAAACAGTTAGAGTGCCATATGGGTGTAAGTGGACGGTAACATACACTATCCACATGGATACGTTGGTGAACATACCTTGGAATGGATGGTATCGAAAAGTACAGAATCTTAAACCCGATGGATCTTTGTGATTTACAGAGGAGTACAAGTGACAAAGATGGAGCCGGCGGTAGTCTGTAGAAAAAATCAGAGGCGTCTCATCTCAGTATTACTACGGCGGAGAATTGCCGTAAGTCGGTCAGGAAGAACGTTAAACGGATTTAATTGTAACCAATTCGAATTAGGATGCACATCCATATGGATGTAATAATATGGATAGTCTAGTGTTGAAAAGAGATGAGATCCAGAGACCAAAGTACTAAGATGCATATATGAAATAGTTTTGAAGCTAAAAGCATCTTAGCATTTTTTTCTTTTTTTTCAACATATTCTGCTTGTAACTAAGAGATGAGATCCAGAGACCAAAGTACTTGTTCCTTGTGTCTTAAATCTCAATCTGGTACTGAAACAACACCAAAAAATCATCCACTGATGTTGGATTCTGTAGCTACAAGATGTTACAAGCAAAAACTTTCACAGTTTCCTTTTAGAGCTGTTAAGTCATTTCTCCATAACCCTTTTAAGTACTCTTACCACAAACACCACTCTTTATATCAGTATTAGTAAATGAAATCATGTTTGGTTACATTCACTGGTTACCACAAACACCACTCTTTATGGCTGAAACTTGTGCTGCTGCCGATGTGCTGCTGCCTTGATTTGGGATGACACTTGTTCCAGCGTTATGTTTGGGAAAGACTTAACCAGCATTCCATGCACAATATAACCATTAAAACAGTCTAGGTTCCAGCTCCGCTTTTATGTTGTTGAAACGTTCCATTAACGGTTGGGTCCAGACACCACCAAGACCAGCTGCTTCAGCGTCTGCTTGACCACCATCTACAGCTGCTGCTTCAGCCTCAGCAAGATTCTCCTCAGCGTTACCAAGTGAAGTTTCAGAATCAGAGCTTGAGATAAGGATACTCTGGAATGAACAAACAAAAACAATTATGTGATAAGAAATTCAGGGAGTTTCTAGATAAAAGAAGATAGGGAAGAGGCAAATATGTCAAGAAATAGTTGGTAAGAGGAAAACAAGTGAGATTTTTCGAAAATTATGGCAAGGAAACGCTCTCTGATGACCAATGAAAATGGAACTGGAAGACAAAAGGAAATGTTCTTAACTGGAGTAGGTGTTTTCTGATCAATCAGCTTCCACGATAATTCATCTGCAAGTGAAGGCCAATATGCGGATAGCCTCTTGCGTACCTAAACCCACAGAAACAGATGAGCTCTGTCAACTAGTAACATAGGCGCTATAGAACATTTGATTGTGAAATGTGAAAGTTAGAAGATAGGTTGATATAGAGCCATACCGCTTGTATGACACGCCATGAAGACTCAAATGGATATGCTTCAGAAGAACCTTGAATTGCTTTGTCTTCAAGCAAAGTTTGGACGCAAGCGAGAGAAGATTTTGCAATTGAGTCAAGGTTGTAACCTCCCTCTAACGCCATCGCAATCTTTCCTTGTGCAAAATCCATCAGCTGAGAGAAGAGAACATTGGTCAAACATATTAAATGAGGTCAAATCCAGGTGTAGATTATGTAGCTAAACGAAGCAGTAGTTCACTTTAACACCAACCTTCTTTAACATGACAGAATATCCATATGGTGTGACTCGACAACCCCCAAGCGGATCACGAATAGCTGTTCAGAAGAAATTGAAAAGATTACATAACTCTGCATGTGACATATCTTTGAAAAAAAAAATGCTTGAACCATATTTACCTGCATCAAAACCAGCTGACAACAAAATAATATCCGGATTAAATTCCTTCGCCACAGGAATCAAGATATGGTCCCATGCAGCAAGATAATCTGCATCTCCACATCTTCCATGCTCCCATGGAACGTTTATGTTGAAACCTTCACCTGTACCTTCCCCAACCATGCTATAGTATCCATCATCACCAGCTGGATAGAAACCTCCATACTCGTGCCTAGCCACAAAAATGCATTTTCGAGTCACTTTCCAAGCATCAAAACAGAAGTAAACAGAGGTCACAGATACATACCTATGAACAGAGAAAAATAGTACACGAGGATCTTTCCAGAACATCTTCTGTGTACCATTTCCATGATGAACATCCCAATCAACGATCAGAATTTTCTTGATACCTAGATCCGGCTGCATTTAAGAGAACCAAACGAATTAAGGAACAGACACACCAAAGGAATGTGACAAAAAAAATTGAAAGTCAAAAGAAGTACTTACTCTTTCGTTTAGTAAATAACTAGCAGCAACTGCTACATTGTTGAATAAACAAAATCCCATGGCTTCATCTGCCTCAGCATGGTGCCCTGGAGGCCTGACAATAGCAAAGCCACTATCTAACTCTCCTTCTGCAACTTTCTCTGCCACCTGTTAAGTTTGCAAATTTTTAGTTATCGCCACCGTTCTCTATCCTAATATGTGAAAGAGACAAGTGCATCTAGTAATTACCTCTACAACAGATCCAGCTGCAAGATATGCGGCTTCAGATGAGCCTCCGTTAAGGTATATTGAATTTAACTGTGAAGCAATCCTGTTTCTCCGATAATCTTTCTGCTTTGTGCTTAAACTCTTGACTAACTTAACATGTTCCTTCGTGTGAACCAATTGTAGATGCTTATCTTCTGCTTTCCTACCACCAAGAACCACACACCTGCAAAAGGAAAGACCAAATTTGACCGTTCATTGAATGCCATTACAGCAGAATCCAACAACCAATCTTGATGGATACGCTCATGAAAGACTAGATTCTACCTTCCTAACACTAAATGGGATGTCACATTACTACTCTACATGACAGTCTTATAAATGAAATCAAATAAAAATGGGGGGAAAAAACAAATAAATCCAACGACTTCACACAAGACACACTAACACCTATATAGAACAGAACTGAGCAGCAAGCAAATCTTTTGATTCTATGTAATATACAATTCAGATTCATAAAACATTAATGTCGTCATGCCAAACAAGGACAACAAATTGAGACCCTTTCTCAGCTAAGAGGACCAGAAAACCCAATTTCATTAAATTTCAGCAACAATCTCTCCATTTTCTAGGGCTAACTGTCGCCAGAGAAACAACAACAAAACAAGAGTAGAGTACGAACCTTTGAGAGACTCCGGCGAGCTCAAGCTTATTCCAGATAGCTTTGATGCGATCGGGACACTCTGGATGATCCTTGCCGTCAGGTGTGTGGTGTTTGCACATGGCCTCATCGTAAGCAAGACCAACCTTTCGTTGGCTTTTCCCGCCGACTTTGCCATCATCATCTCCTTTATTGTTTCCGGAGGATTCTCCGGTCGTTGCCAATCTCCGGTCGTTGCCAGCTGCTGCTTGAACTTCTTCAGCACCAATATCAATATTCTCCTCAGCGTTACCAAGAAGAATTTGAAGCTCCAAAAATTCATAGTGGGTTTGAGATATCTAGTTCTTGAAGCATCTCCTTGGCTTTCTTCTTGGCGAGCTCCAACTTTGCAATAGCTTTAAGTCTCTCTTGCTTCATGACAGAAAGGGATTTCTTCAGTTTCGATGAGCTGAGAAGAAGCCCCTAAACCCTAAACCCTAAACCCGATCTCTTTATCAAGTTCCAGAATCTCATTGGTGAGGACTTTTATAACACTCCTCATCACTGCATACCAAAACCACAACCATACCAAAACCACAACCACGAAGACAAATTATTATCATAGCTGTTTAAGATCCAGACAGATTGCTGCGCTAGGGAGTTTAACGAAGAGATATACATCAGAGTTCAAAAATTCAGAGTTCACGAAGAATAACATAGAGATAAACAAGACGACGGTATCATGAACATAAACCCATAATAGAAACAAATTTCGGTATAATTTATCATCAAACTAATCTTCCAAAGCAAAATACTAACCTGAATTTGATATTTGACAGCGGAGAGAGGAGCAGATCGTAAGATTAGGCGAAGCAACCTATGATCGGGAAATATGACAAAGCGATGAGAGATTTGGCCGGAGACGAGAGACAGCTACAGATCTAAGATTTGCTTGAGAAAGGGGAAAAGATTTGCTTGAGAAAAGGGGAAAAGTTTTTCTTTTTGTTGGGCCTAAAAACTAGTGGGCTATAGCTAAACTAGTGGCCTTTTACATTTTCCCATAACTTTTGTATGTAGTCCCAAACAACTAATTGCTTATGTTCGACTTTCTAGTTTTTTCCTTCTCTAAGTCGACAAAACCCAATTAAGATATGTAACATGCATGATTCACCAAACATATGATGACCCTATCTGTTCTATAAAAACGAACAATTCAGTCATATTAACGAATGATCTAATTGATAAAACTTTGCCAAATACGAGTTCATTTCACGCGTGTATTAAAAAGTTTTTTTTTTTGGTACGAGTGTATTAAAAAGTTTTGTTCATGCATTTGGATTAATCTTTCAGAACCAGGAGTATACTATGGAGCTTGAAACTTGGAAGGACAGCCACACTACTCACACGTGCCAAAACAGTAACAAAGAAACAAAATCAGCTATATTGCAACTTAAACGAAACAGTTTTTGTTAGAGCTTCCCACTCCACATGATTTGCCTCATTACTTGACTGGCCAATACAATTAAAGTATTAAACCACGTTTCAAAGAATCACTTAATAAGAAAACTATGTTAGACAAGTCAAGTTAATAAAGTTACAGAATAGTGTTATCATTACTTCAAAGGTGTATATATCAATCAACAACACAAATTTGACTGTGACATGTATGTAAGTCAGTACGACGTTTTCCCGATTCTCATGTTGTTGTTTTTCTGGACAAATTTTGACCAAAATTTAAGTTAGTTTCTGGAATTTATAAGAAACTCGAATATATACCGACGGAAAAAGCATAAGCTGGTTAATTGTTAGGGTTAAAAATGATTAATTATTGCTAGAACTGTAAACGATTTTTACAAAAATCTCACTTAGTTCATTTATCAATGTTCGATCGATGTGTCGCAACTGGCATAATGTTTGTTGGTCTAAAACGATCTAAAAACATACGTTATTGTCTATGATTTGGTTTCTTGGCATACACTGATTTCTACTAATTATTATCCTTGCGATTGATAATGACGCTCATAGATAACTGTAGCATTCCATGTAAAATATGTGGGATAATATAGACAAAACTTTGGAGATAATTACTGAAACTGATGCATGGAAGCAACCCCGCTCATTATAAACTAAATCCAAATTATGCAAGGATCAATAGTTGATAGAGTTCTATACAATACAAACTTTATTACGTGAATCTAGTAATCTGCATAAAATACGACACTTTAAAAGGCATCAAATAGTCATGGCTGAATAACTACATGAACATAATTATCTGCTATGCTAATTATGACCAATCGACGAGAAAATACTTGTATGGATTCGTAATTTAAAACCAATTAGTAATGAGCGGGGTTGCTAATAGGGTGTTTTATAAATAATCCCAAATATTACCTACCGATAATTTTTTCCTTTCTTTCCCTCACAACAATAATAAATATGCTTGGTTTGGATTTTGGAAGACCTTGTTTGACTTTGACCAATATAGTAGAAACACGCAGATCGCACACGTGCTATGGTTTCACGTCGTTTCTGTCTTCTCGCAAACGGCTTTACCTTAAGGAGGACCACAGCAAGGCACTTTAGACGTCATGTTTGTGTTATCAAGAAACTAAAAACGGCACGAAAATTTTCTCTGGCTCTGCAAATTAAACGCTGCAAATATATAGCGTATTACTATTTTTCTACCCGTTTAGTTATGGCTCGATTAAATTTACCAAAGCAATACTAATGTATATATGAATTATTTTCAGCCATTTTGTATACGAGCTGTGCCATCATTCTTAGATAATGTATGTAGAGTGTATATCAGTATATATATGTATAGTATATAACTGTATACACGCGAGTATGGAATAAAGGAAGAAACAAATCAAATGATACGTTTATTTTTGAGGCCTTAAAGCCCGAATTGGCCCAAGAAAGAGCCAAGTCAAAGAATTCTCTCGGAGAGAGCAAAACTGAGGGAAAACAAAAGCTACAGAATCGATCAATGGTAACTATCGAGAAGCTGTTCAGTTATTAACTAACTAAACTAACCTTAACTGTACTATCCAAACAGTTAACTTTGATATCTTCAACATCAACATCCTTTTAATTCAGATGAAGATGACTGGTTGGTTAATAATAAAAAGGACTCCTCATGTTCTTACAAGAGCCATGATTTGAGTCTTAATCCATCCCATGCAAGTCTGAATCTCTCTGTAGATCGGCATGTTCTGGGGACACCGTGGCTGCAAGTTACTCACTGCCGTCTCCATCAGCTGAGCCACGTCTGCTGGTGGGTACTGCTTCTCTGTGCACATCTTACAAGAAGAAAACAAAACAAAAAGAAGCTCAAAATCAAAAACCTTGAATTCTTGATTTAGTTTAGACTTTTCGTTAGTGCAAGTCCAAGAAAAATTCCACTTTTAGTTTACCTGAATCATGAGCCAAGTTGCAACACAAGAGGTGATAAGCTCTGAAGGCATTTGCGTTTCGTCTCTTCCTGATCCGATGAATCCGTTCGCCATCTGCTCTGCTGTGTTTGACGGAGATCGGCTTTGATGATGATCCAAGCTGCCATTGGATTGGTCTTGATGTTCGCTAATTGAGTCTAAAGCTTGTTGGACCATCTTCCCTGCGTCTTCTCCATCCTTCACCGAAGATGCAGCCTACAACCAGACAGTACAATCAATTTTAACAATTGTATGACTTTGAGTACTCTAAATTCTCTAGATACAGTCGGCGTTCAGAAAACGCAAACATATATTATAACTACCTTCATAGCTGCATCGACCATTGCTTGGGCTATTGACTTTGAACCACTGACAATTCTAAGCATTTCTGGCTCCATTTCCTGAAAAGCATAATTATGACAGGAGAATTAAAACAATTTTCTCTGGCTATTGATCTACTTTCGTCGGCGGAAAACTAAACATAAGATAACTCTATACTTCAAACAGTACCTGTGCATCTGAAGTATGCTGCAGCATCCGAGGTCGTTGAATTTCAGCTCTTCTTGCTTTGCCAATGTTTGTGTTATGTAACTGATCAGTAGTGACTGGCCTGTCTTTATCATCCTGTAGAGACTTACTGAGTTATGCATAGGGTTTACCAAAAATGTAAAACAGACCAGTCAAACGTCATTGTGTTTACCTGTTTCACAGGAGGTTTAATGGAAGAGTCGATATTTTCAAGCACGGAAGGAGGGAACAGAACAGATGCATCAGAGTTTAAGCGTCTGTTAAACTGTGCTTCTTTGCTTATTGACAAGCAGTTATCAATTTGCCTCCTCAGACCCTCTGGCATGTATTCCAATGGATTTAAAGGCATGCAATCAATGTCCTGTTAAAAAAAAAAAGTGGACAAGATTGGGATCATATTATCTACAAAAATGAAAGGAGAGAATTGTGTCAACGGAATTGATATAGTTTGCGATTTTACCATAACTACGTCAACGCCCAATTCATCAAACAGAATGGTGCACTTGTTATGATCAACAGCAAGAATCTTGCCATCACAAATTTCCCTTGTTTTAGGATGGATGGCAATGACTCTATTCCCCACTGATAAAGGCCTGGCCAAATCTGTTGGAAGCCCTTCCTTTGCACCTGCACGAAGCTCTGTATAATGCTTTCTCACAGATTCACGATATTGTTTGAGTTTATCCCGCTCTTCCTGTAGGAATCTCTCAGAAAATCTCCGAGGTCTACCAAGAGAACTGAAAACAAAATACAGAATGAACAACCTTTTCGAATCTTTACATGTATTCTGAGCCCATTTTAGAGGAACTAACAAACCTTTTAATGACGCTCCATTCAAGACGAGTAAGTCTTGGAACGTGACCGAGCCCCACATGATTTAGATAATCAATGAACTCCATCTTTGCAAACCAGGGATAGTCAATAGCGCTGTAGAACCATTCAAATTTGCACCTTCGACGAACCAATGGACATGACAGACAAGTCGAAACCTTCTCCTGTAAATGGAATAAGCAAATCAATGACCAGAATTTGGATGCGTATAAGAGAAAATGAAGTTAGAGACTCTACTTTTAATGATTTATGTTCTGAATTTTTTTCATCATTGTGTGGCTTGTCCTGAGTGGTTTCAGAAGATTTAGCTCTTTCTTGTAAACTCTTCTTCAAACCTATCTTACGCCTGTTTGGAGGTTTCTGCGGCAAATTCGCTGGACCTAAATCTGAAACTTGTGTAGCTGTCACTATTACATCCGGTTCAGTTCTTATCTTATCATTAGTTGAAGGAAATTCTGCCGAGGTCTTGACAGTTTTCGGCTGTTTTGCTGGACCTTGACCAGCACGTCTTGCTTTGACCAGAGTCTTCAAATTATCATCTTCACCCAACTCCTGCAATGCAGTAAACGAAACTCATGAGAGGAAGCAACACAACAAAAAATGACTTAAGCATAAGCTTCTTTGATGGAAAGACTTTGTCAAGGATCCTGCAATTGCACTGTGGACTAACAACTACAGATCAGAGAGTAAGATTTGCAGATACCTTTTCATACAGAGATTTGTTCTGAATAGAATCTCTTGTAAATTGAATGTAATTTGCATATAGCTAAGTGATGCAGAGATGAACAAAAAGATAATTAGGAAATCAAAGAGAAAACTGTCTTGCCAACCTTTGGTTTACGTTTTCTTTTTGAGGTGCTAAGCTCTCCTACGGAAACAGCATTACAATCTATGGATTCCTGCGCAGGCTTTGGTTTTCTACTATCAGCAGCTGAAATTTCATGTAAGAGACTATCTTCTGGTCCTGCTTGTTTTGCTTTTTCTCTGTGATGCCTTGTGGATACGGTTTCAAGAGTCTTAGATTTCTCATCCATGTTGTTAGCTATTCTCTCTTCTTTCAACTGTGCAGATGATTCTGGATCCAACACAAAACATTAGAAATAAATAAAGAGATGCAGACTCATGTATAAGGTAAAAAGTGAAAGCTGCAGATCTTTATTAAAGCTGAATATAAAACCATTAGATGCTCACCTGATTCCATCAAACGAGCCGGAGACAGTGAAGCTGACATTTCAGCCAATGCACGCAGAGCATCTAATTCATCTACACAGGAAGAGACAAGGGATAAGTTTCAGAGTCCGATATATTAACACTCGCAAAAGACTAAGGCCCCTAGCTTAATAAGACAATGTGGTATAGACAAGTAATAAATTACTCACTATGATAAAACTATGAAAAGGGACTATTATTGGACCTTTGAATTTTTCCCACGTTAATTTATGATTGGATTTTACCTTCGTAAAGAAGTTTCTTGTTTCTTTCTTTGGGGCTATCTAGTGAATATTTACCTCCTGAGGCTTCAACATATACAGTTCCTTTCTGAGATTTAGTTCTGAGTCTCTCATTGGCCCTGCATGCTTCTCCGCTGTCATCAGAATCGTTTCCTTCTGCTTCTTCACATCTTACACTTTTCCCCTTCTTGGAAACCTCCAAGGTACCATCTCTATCAGGAGCTCCGTTTTTATGCCTCCTATCTCGGCTTATTCCCATCCCATTCTCAAACATATAGCTATCACGCTGCTTGGATTGAGCTTCCTTTGCTTTTGACTGGCAAAAGCAATAAAGTAGAAATGTGTTTTCAGTGAATTAAGACAACACTTTAAAGATATGATGATAACCTTCAGTTTCTAAAGCTATGAAAATACCAGTTTTCCAACCGGCGTGCTGTCATTGAGTTCTGTTCTCCTATATGGAGACCCTCCTCCCCTTCTCGATTTCAATGCTACAACATGTGCATATTCGTCATCATCATCGGCATCAAGCTGTTTCTTGGATCTTTTATTTGGTGGAGTATAACCTTCTCTATCATCCATCCTGCGAGGACTTGGTACAAGAAACCGAGGTGTACGCTTCCCAGTGGCACGCCGCTCCTTTCCTACATAATATATATATTCATTTACATGTATCTGTTAAGCTGCCACATAATTCCACAAGAACGGAAAATAATTTGCGGGAAATAGTTATTGTACCATAGACTTTGGTCAGTTTCAAAAATGGGAGGCATCCTTCTGCTGATGCAATTGGATGTGGTGGAATAACTTCTTCCTGAGAACCACTGGGCGGAGCTTTAGCACGTTTTCGCTTCTGATATTTCCTCGGTACTACAGTAGCTTCGGGTCCTTCTTCTTCTTCACTTTCGCTCCCCTCCTACAAAAATTACCATATAAGCATGTACCAAATGGACCACACAACTTTACTAAACAGACAATCTGACACCCAACCAATTAGCCACATCCTTCCCTTGTTTCCACGAATACATAAAACTAAATTTTTACTACATTAATAACTTTAAAAGTGTTCCAGCCGTAATCAAATAAACTACTCACAATGACACTGTAATGATCAGTCATCATTGCAATGAGGCCAGCCACAGACGCAGTTCCTTCGGGCAGGGACAAATATGCCTGGAAAGACGTTCAAAAGTTAGAATGAAGCATAGGCAAAAACATTTCCATCTCGATACTAACAAAAAACTGAAAAGTGAGATATTCTTAGTACTCATACCCGATTCATATAGAAAAGGGCTTCCACCATGTCAACAGACCGGTTATTCCTCACTGCAGCAGCTACCTAAGCAGTTTCAAGGGGAAAAATTAAGTCTTAATCAATCGTATAAAGCTTCAGAAAGTAGTCACATAAGACCATATCGTGCAATGCAGTTTACCTTTTTCCAGTCTCCACCATGCTTCCGATAGGAATCATAGAAACGCTCAAGCTCTCCTCTGGTCCACTGAGGTCCCAACTTGTCAGTCAATTTCTTCTTCTGTGATGAGAAAAACTGTAGTCAACAAAACAATTTACGAGCAGCATCTGATTCAGATTAGCAAAAGAGCACTGAAAGAGGATCCAGTCAAAGGAAAAACTGAATCTCTCTCATATTCCCTGTTCCTAGCAGAGGATAACAAAGAGCATCCAAGTGATTATTCCAAATAAGATTGGTCAAAAACGAAGACTTACTCGTTGCTTGGTTTTGCTTGAGTGACTTATTTCTGGAGAGGCTTCATTGGTGAAGCGCTTGTTCACACTCTTCGACTTCTTACTGGGCGCCATTATGCTAATTTTTCTGCCCAGAGATTACGAAAGTTTGAATAGTTAGAAAAATAAGGAAACCGAGATACGAAATTAAAATGATAAGAAATTTTTTGCTGTCTTCACAAAATCCCAGATTCAATTTCCCCATAGGAAGATCAGTAAATCGATTGCGAATTAGAAAGACAACAACTTTGTTTACAAATCTTCAGTAATTATCAGCATCAATAGAGAAAACAAAAAAATCACGAAAAAATCTGAATCGGAATCAGCTTCGGGAATTCAAAAGTACAGAGAGGAAGAAGACCCAGATTCAGATACCAATACTCATTTCGACGAGACCAAAAATCCAGATGCAATTGGATGAAATCACAAGTTCGTAGCCAAGTTTCCGAGAATTGGATTTTTGAAAGAAGGAAAGAAAAAAAATCATTCTTCGAAATCGAAAATCGCACCGCCGAACCAGAAAACATCGATGATAAAGCAAACTTCACCGCAAATCCGAAACCAATTGCCCAAAAGGCTTTCCCAAAAATAAAATCCGATAGAGTGAAGTTCAGAAGAATCCCAATTAGCTCTGTTAAAACCCTTTAAAAACCCTAAATCAGAACCGATCCACTCACCAATTACGCAGCTCAAAGACAATCGGCGCCGAAGCAGATAGAAAGGGACTCTGGGGAGGGGAGAGCTCGAAAATCCTCCTCCGGAAAAGAGAGATCGGTGAGGAATTTCGAAAAGAGGTTTTAAAGAGAGAGAGAAAGAGAAAAGGATTTAGATGAAATAAAGAGAGAGATAGAAAGAGAAGGAGAGAGGCGTTGCCGCGAAACTTGAATAAGAGGACGACTTGAGACTTGAGAGCCAATAGGCGTTCCGTTTTTTGTCACTCTGTATATCAAAATCTTGCGATCCGATACGCACACGTGGCTTCTCTGTATATGCACCGTTCGATATTTTGAGTTTCATTTAGGGTTTGTAGTAACGGCAACAGAGGATTATATTTGAAAATACCCAAATTACATAAGAATTTTTGTTTAAAATACAGTTCTCATATGTACATATATTTTGTCTAATCACTACAACAATTTCTTCGAATTGGAGATACGAAAAAATAATAATAAGCATAACTAAATTAGCTAGAAGATTTAGTAGAATAGAAAATGTCAAATATTTTAATTTAAGTATAATAAAAAATAACGGATTATATTTGTTTTCTTGATCAAACAACTGACAAACTATATACTAAAAATTTTAAACAAATGAAGAAATTACTAAATATTGGCACAAGTAAGAGAAGACCATTTTTTTATAGTCAAATATTCCCATTAAATTGTAATAAAAGATAAGAACTATATTGTATGAAACAATTTATATATTTGCAGAAAAGAGATAGGACCAAACTTTTGTTTGATAGTCAAATATTTTCATTCAATTACAAAATATAAAAAAGAAGAAAAAAACTACCAAATGAATGTAATATAAGTATTTCATTTGAATATCTTGGTAATGAAATAAATACATTAGTAGTTATTACAATAAACATTCAATTGAAAAAAAAGTTGAAATGGATTTTTATTACAATAAACTGACAAATGAAATGGATTGGAAGTTGAAAAATTTAACAGTCATCTCCATTTCAGGATTATAACCATGCTCTGTCCCTTTTATTTTGATAGTACAAATTACAGCATAAATCTGTATAATTTCTTAAAAATCAACCTCCAATCACATCGTCTAAAGTTCAATGATTGCCCTCATAATACAACAAACATTTTCAAGTAATGTATATATATCATCACATTTTAGAGGGAATAGGGTCCCAGGCTGCGATTTCTGCATACATGTTGGATATTGCATCTGCAAAGTAAGCTTTTGCTTGAGGTCTCTTTATCTGTTTACAAATTAAAACGAGTCAATTAGAGATTCCAAGGTTAAAAAAGTGACAAAGCTCATTACTGTTTCAAGTACTTGACACTGTTGTGTTACCTTGAATGTTGGTGTCAGAAGTCCATTCTCTAAGGTGAATGGTTCTGCCACTAAAGTCACAGCCTTTGCAAACTCAAATCCTCTCAGCTGTAAAAAAGCACAAATCATATATTTTTTTTTAGTTAATCGTATGGATGGAAGTGAGATTATTCAGACAGGTTTTGTTATTAACCTTAGCTTCTCTTCCAACGTTGTCCATCTCGGACAGAACAGCCTTACGCACTCTTGCATCGTTACAAAGCTCTCCGATATGCTCATACTACAATCATCAAGAAAAGATAACAACAAATTTAGAATTTGCTTTAGCTGTAAAAACATGTCATTGAGTTAGACGTGATAATACCTTGATGCCTTGCGATGCAGCCCAATCTTTCATAACATCTGGATCTACTGAAACTACAGCAACCAGATGGGAATTGAAGCTATCACCTACAATAGACATCCTGACTCGGTTGAGAAACAGCACGAGTGAAGAAGCATGTATATATGTGATGTTGGTAGAGAACAGAGTCTTTTTTGCTTACCGTGAATGAAACACTGGGCAACAAATTTACACTTGGCATAAACATTTTCGATTTTCTCTGGTGCTATATATTCCCCTTGCGCCAACTTAAATATGTTTTTCTTCCTGTCATGAACATTGACGTTTTAACACACATTTTCAGTTCTTTCTTTTAATAAAGAAATACCAAACAGAGAGAAGAAAAAAGATCAAGATTGTTTTTAACCTGTCAATGATCTTGAGCCGACCACCGGGTAACCACAGCCCGATATCTCCGGTGTGAAGCCAGCCATCCACATCAATCATTTCTCTCCTGCTCAGCTTAAATGTCTCAAGACCCATTTCTGGTTATATATGCATATTATAAGAGTAACTAGAAAATGTGTTACGTTTGTTCTTCATCTTTGTAGTAGCCTTTGAAGACGATTGGCCCTCTAACACAGATTTCACCACGTGGGTATGGTTGATCTTCTGATGTGTAATTCATTTCAGGAACGTCCACAAGTTTTACCTCTGAAAAAAATAACATTTTCAAAAACAAAAACATTGGATTCAAAGATCTTGCCAAGAATCACAAACATTGGATTATAGCACAATTGCTTACCACACGCTGGATTAGGGGATCCGACGTGGCCAGATACAGTGTCACCTTCGTCCATAGCGCTTATGACACAGGAAGTCTCGGTCATACCATACCCTTCACGCACCGAACATCCAAAGCATCTGTACACCATGTTGTAGAAGAGTTTCAGATTCTTAGAGATCAGTGAGAGTGGAATCAAGGAAGAAAAGTTGAAAAAAGAAAACTTACACTCTCAAGAAATCCATGACATCGGGTGACAATGGAGAAGCACCAGACCCCATGAAGCGAACACGTCCACCAAGCTTGTCTTTTATTTTGTTGAACACCAGTCTGTCCCAAAATGGAGACGGAATCCGACCTAAAGAAACCACACATGATATATTTCACAAGAAAAATGAAGAAAGCTTTGACACAGGTTTGATTCACTTTTAACTTGTTTCAATTAGCAGACGATACCATTCATGATCGCTTGCTTCTTTGCGTTAAACGCAACTTGGAAAAGCCTTCTTTTCACAGGTCCGGATGCTTTTACAGCATTTGTAATTCTGTGTGGATTACAATTAGCACATATAATAATTGACACAGTAATAGTAGCAATTTGAATTATATGGGAAGCATAAGAGTGATTTAATACCCATCATATATTCGATTGTATAAGCGAGGGACACTACAGAACACTGTTGGCCTTAACACAGCCAAATCATCTATCAGTTTGAGATGATCCTGTCAAAGAAACATGTATAAAATTAGTCTGATTCTGTACCAAAAATTTATCTCATATGTCACAAGATTTGAGCATGCATTGCATTACCCCCTGATAGAAACCGATAGCAGCAACACCATACACACCCATAATCTGGTTTGCACGTTCATATATGTGTGCCAAAGGAAGATATGATATGTAACTAAAAACAGAAGACAACTGAGTTCAAGATTTTTCCATTATAAGAAAATATTTAACTATAGAAAATCACTTCTGAAGGGGAAATGCTCACATATCATCAGGTAAAAAGTCATTATCCGTTGCGGAACCGGCGACATTTGCGATCAAGTTTCCATGAGTTAGCATAACACCCTTGGAAACAAAAGAAGATATAAAAAAAACAATTACGTAGTGAAGTATTTAGCTTCAAAGTGATAAATGCAACCAGAAGAAGACGAAAAACACATCAAACTACAGAAACAGGAAACAACTCACCTTTGGTGTTCCTGTGGTTCCACTTGTGTAGCATATGGTTGCAATGTCTTCAGGCTTTGGAGGGATGAAGGGATGTAAGCTAGTGCGACCCTACAAGATAGGTCAGTAGCAACATGAGAATTGGAATAACAATAATATAGATATTCATTAGGCAAATGACCATTGTGGAAGCCTTACCTGACTCATTAGCTTTTGGTATGATACAATTTTAACTCCAGATCCTGCAGGAAGTGATGGCAAATGCTCGTCCGCTCCTCCCACCACCTTATCACAATGCAAAAACAGAAAAGATGTGTAAGTGAAAGATACACTCCAGCTTACAATGAAATCACAAATTTGAGAAGTACAACATACCACAACAAGACGAATGGATGGGATTTCCGATAGGAAACTTAGCAACTGCAAAAAGAAAAAGAAAATCATGCTTAAAGAAGACAGAACTGCTGCAATTTAGGTCTGCACATTCACAAACCAAAACACACTTACAGTATTCAAGGTTTCAGGTACACAAAATATAGCCTGAATAGTAGCATGGTTCACAGCAAACTTAACAGCGTCTGGACCTGCGTAACCAGAAAGATCATATTAAGAAGAGACTAAGGAAGGCTTGCAAAACCCAAAAATGAAAGAGAATTTTTTTTCAAATTTAGATGGGTTTACCAAGTGTGTCGTATAAAGGAACAGAGATAAATGAGTATGCTGCGCAAGCATGATCCACAACCATCCACTCTGGTCTGTTGATAAAATAGAGTCCAATGCAAGCTCCCTGTTCCATTAAAAATGAAGACTTTTTTCATATTACACAAGTTTTTATATAGAACAACATTCAAAGAACATTGGCTGAGAGAGAAGAAAACTTGCTTGGTCAATTCCGTGAAACAAAAGTCCTGAACCTATTGCTTCTCGTGCAGAAGCTGTTTCCGCATATGTCATCCATGTGTACCTTCAACAAACACATCACAGCAAGAAATTTCATCACATCTCAAAAACCTAGTCAAATCTCTAATGCAAATTAAAAGATTTTTTTTTTGTTAACTCACTCTCCAATGGTTCCATCAGGCCGAACACGTGTACCAAGATACTTGTTATCAGGAAATGATTCAACAGCATGTCTGATTCCAGGAAAAAAAAAAAAAAAACAGAGTAATTCCAGCATTAGATCAAATCATTGAACAAAGCTCATCAAAGAAGTAATCGAGAGCTTACAGAAAGTTGTCATGTAAAGTCCCGATTTCAGGATGATCCTTGAATCTGCTAACGAGCTTCGTTGGCGACCTTGCAGATCTGGCACACGGCATAAAAAACATAACTTGTACCATAACAATCACAATCACATACATACAATTGTTGAAAACCAAACGTAACTATATCTCAAAAGTAAAGAAAGCAGAGTTTTTTTTACCTGTAAACGTTCCATTTCCCAGTGTCAAGCTTTTCTGGAAGCACAACACTGTAGCCATCCTCTAGAGAAAATTGAAAAGTAACTGAAGCTCAAACACAGAGAAATCAAGTGGTAAATGCAAACATGGAGCACTAAGAGATAATTCACTATTAAGATGCTCACCGGGAAAAGCGGAAGCGGTGGAGTTGAGGAAGAGAGAGGTTGGAACGTTGGACGGAGAAGAATCGAGGTGAGATTGAACGATTTCGAGACGACGTTGTACCGGCGAAGTAAATTCCATCGTTGATTTTTTTTGTATATTGTGAAATGAAACCACCGATTGATTGCTCTCTCACAGCATAAATAACATACTCTATATGAAAAGTTAACCAAGTTCAGTGTGACATCTCACATCTACAGATAAGATGAAATCATTTCATAAGGTAAATCAAATACAGCGTATAATTTCTATATACAATGATTCTCATATATTGCTTACCTCAGGAAGGTGGCATTAACAAATCAGGCACGCTTTTCCATGTGGATAATTTACCGCTCTCAAAATTATTGGTTGGTCCCTATAGATATAAGTATGGGTGAATTGTGGAATAAATTATTCCACGCACAGAAGAAACACAAATCTTTACGATTTGAGTAGTTATGTATCCTATCATATTGATGTAGTAGCATAAATATAAAAATATACAGCGTACCGTTCGGTTACAATTTATAATCACAGACATGTGAACAAACAATATTACACTGCGGAGAAGAAGTCATTTTCACAGTTCACATGGCTTTCATGAACCTGTTAATGGATGAGAAAATTCCAGCAGCTTTACTCAAAAAAGATGGCTCTTCATCTGATGTCTCTTCTACGTTCCCATATATTATCTGCAGGAAGCAAACATTAATTCACAACTCAAATGCAGCGAAACAATTCTTTTCATTATGTAAGAAACAATTCAAACCAAATCCAGTATTAACCTCAAGATCCTCAGCATCAGGACGACCAATGAGTTCTTTGGCAAGTAGATACCGGCCTGGTCTCTCTTTATCATCATAGAAGACCTTCCACTTACTACAAATTCAATCAGGACAAAAGATGATCAGCTTGTGTTCGTCAAAACCGCATCTACATGGACTTAAATCAGTTTGAGAAAAAAAAGTCAAAGTCTTAGTCTTACCCAGGGTAACACCTGAAAACAGCACCAGCAGCAAGAGGTCTCATGGAGTAAACCGTTGTAAAAGAACTACAAGATCCAAAATGGTCAAGTAATAAAAACAGTTTTATTGATGAACCTTGTCAAGACTCATTGAGGATTTTGCCATTTACCTTAAGAAGTAACGCCTTAGTTTCCTCACGTTAAACCCAACACCAACTTCCTCACTTATAAGACGAGGGTTCCACATAACGAGAGGCCTTGGCTTGAAACATCACAAAAGAAATGTTTTTTTCTTCATGTTAGAACACAAAAAAGGTTCTTAATTGGTAAAGTCAAAACTAAGATTTTTGACAGATTTATTAGTTACCGGGTCATCAGCAAGCCCTTTTGCAATTTTCTCAACATACTCCAGCATTTGGTAATCAGGAACAACCATGACAATGATCTCATCTTCTTTCTCCACTGGCTTCCGGTCACTTAAGCTGCATCAAAACGAAGGAACATGATTGCAAACTTACATATATTAAGCTCTCAAGATGAGAAGCAAACACTTACCTAGCAAATCCAAAAGTTGCATCTTTCCACTTATATTTTAGCAATGCAGCAGCTCCAGCATCTGGAAATACGGCTTTAACTCTCTGACAACCAACATTTCAAAAGTTACTAAGCATCCATTAACTGAATCATGTAAAGTAAGTTTCTTTCGGAAACTGTTAACGCACCTCACAACCTGTTTCTTTAATGAGTGTCTCTATGAATACACGAGAAAGCTCCCAAAGTTCAGCTTGTGCACCTTCATCGTCTAAGAACTGCAGCTGAGGGATTAAGAGCTCCACCTGCAAGATTTCACAAGTCAAAACAGAGCTAGCGAATGAATGAAGCTGATTCTGAATTATGGATTTATTTCACTAAGCGCGTACGATAGCTCTTGTTCCTCCCGAGTTCACGAACGAGGCACCTGCTTCACCTGACTGCCTCACAGCTCCCACCAAATCATTCGGCAAACAGCTGAGAAAATTCATAACAAAATCTGTGAATAGTATTCTCTTTCAATCTACAGAGTTAATTCTCAGTCACACATTTGCAAAAAGACTTCATTTTTAACCATATCCCTTATCATTTCAACAGACCCACTGAGGAAATTGATCAAATTTGATTCAAATTCAACAATCACAAAAAGCAGAAGACAACTCAAATCCCAGAACAGAAAGTGTAATCGAACAAATGAGTACAAATTACTGAACTTATCGTCTTCTTCATCTTCTACAGGTTGGTCTTGAGCTTCTAATGGTAGTTCCTGTGAAGCAGAGGAAGTAGAAGATGACGTGGTCTGTTCAAGAGGAGACTCGCCCTGAAATTTCTCGAATTTGACACATGTTCTTAGTCTGGAAGTGAGGGAAGCAGAAAAGCCGCAAGAGAGAGAACGCGGGAAGATTTGGGTGGTGGAGAATGAACGACTGTTGAGATAGCCATGGAAACAGCTTGGTGCTGGAGAATAAGCCATGGCCCAGGTTTTTGGCAATCCCTGATGATCGAAAATCAATGAAATTAGAGAAGATTTTTGTTCAACAGTTGGAACACAGGGGCATTTATGCAAAATTAGCGTATTCGGGGTTTTTACATAACGTAACTAGAAGTTTAGGGGGTTTTCTTAATTTGTTAAAACTTTTATCCTTTACTATAATAATGATTCGGTATAAATTTGTTCCGGTTTACTGTTATAATCATTTCTTCAAATCTAATCAGCAGTTTGGCTTCTTTAACCGGATTGCCCTCTCAATTTTATTTCTCTCCATCTCAGACAAGTTTGATAACACACAAGAACAATCAAATATCCTAGTCAAGATTTTGTAGATGAGGCAATCTAGTAATATCCCTCCAAAGGTGAAAGGTACTCTCATTAGAAACTTGTGTCACAAGAGAGATTCGAGAAGAATTTGGATATACAAGGAATGTATTAGTTGAGAAGAAAGAAACAATTAAAATTACCTGCTTAACGACAGATTATAGAGAGATGGCTTCACCTAGTACTTACACATGATAAGTGGTTTTAGGCTCTGTGAGTTAGGAGTTTGGACCACAAGTGTTACGAAACCAGTAAAGTTATAGATACGTCAAGCGGGTCCAACGTTTCTCTAGCCCCAACATGATCAAGAATCACCAACCTGAAACAGGATTTACGGCTTAAAAAATAAGGAATGCCTGTGTATTAACCTTATCCTTGGATGACACGGTAGCTGTATTAGCCCTAACAAAATTTGTTTCACAAGTCAAAGATGAATGCATAAATTCTCAAAAGCTTCTGCTTTCCTCGGATTCATAGACTAACTCTGATATTCTGTTTCCACTCCTTACCGCCTCATATAACTTCTTATCTTCAAGAGGTTGCCTACCAATATTTTATTTTAGGACTTGTGTTCTAGTAACTTGTCAGAGTTGTATGTTATGTCAGTCCACAAACAACTTTCTGTGTTTTGTTATGTTTTAATGAAATTCCACATACTGTATATGTTAAAAAAAAAAGATAGAAACCTCTCAGCTTCATTCTTTTATTTTATTTGCCCCCTCTTTTGTGTCGTCGTCAGTGTGTAGATTATTCGGTCAACAGATAGAAGCAATAAACCCTAAATCCCCAAATCGTAAGAAATGAAGCGCGCATCCGTCGTTGTTGCCAAGGTAAGAAGACCAACAATTTCTAGTTCTGCTGATTTGTTTGTTTCTTTCTTTCTTCTTCTTAATTTCTCGCTGAGAGTAACGATCGAAACAATAAACATGGCAGAGAAGGGCTTCATCTGGGACGCGCAACTGCTCCACCCTGAGTGAGAGAAGGGGATGTAGGCTCTTTACTTTGATATTTATTGCTCTATATATTGGTGTGTGTGTGTGTGTGATGATCGATGATGATGATGATGATTGTTGTTATTTGGTGTGTGTGCAGATGTGCGCACACCTGCTTTCACTTTGAGGTCCCTTGTTGCGAAAGGGGCATTGGCGTGTTTGGGATGGAAGATTGGTAGGGCTTTCATTGTTTAGATTTTTTTTTTCTTTTCTTGTTCTAAGAATTTAGTGATGAACCCTTTTTGTTCTGCTGGTCTTCTCTTTCAGGTATCTGGTTAGCCAGCCTCCGATTCGATTCAGGATGGGAGGAAGCTGTACAGCGTCATGTGACAGTGGAAAACGTAATAAGCAAAGATGATCCTTTTTTTTGGTTTCTTAGTTTTCCTGTTCCCTTTTAAAGGATATAAAACAGCAAACCAAAATTAAATTTGATTTCAGAATATGCGTATGGAGAAAGAACGTCTGGAAGCCTCCCGAATCCAGCTGCGAGAGTACATGGAGAAATGTGGTGCGGCACGGACAAGGAAGAAGAAGGAATAAAAAAAGCTTTTAATTGAGTTTGTGTTTCAAAGATGTTCATCTTTTATGTTCAACCAACGTTCTTCGTTTCTGTTTCAGATGCAAGATCCTCTACCCTTCTCTGACAATGACGTCCTTGTCCGTCCAATACACTATCACAAGGACAAGCGATCTGGTGAGGATTACATCAAGCTGGAAGAGGAGAAGAAGAAGATGGAGACGAAGACTTCTAAACCTCGGGTCAAGCCTACTGCAGCGTCTACAGCAGCATCTACATCAGAGTCTTTCATCACGATTGATCAGGGCTCTGTTCGCATCCCAACTCCACCAGTGCAACCAGCAGCAGCTGTTCAGGCTCTTCAGGACATTGTCTTCACCCTTCAGACTTTCACTGACACAGTTCAGGGCCTCATCGCCAATCTGCAAGGTAAGGTGTCTTTCTGCACAGTCTCTTTCAATCTGATTATTCATCTTGTGTTTTTAACTTGTGTGTGCTCACAAGCAGGGGGAGAGGAGCAGGAGGAACCAGGGAACAAAAACTAGGATCTAAGCTAGAATTGTGGGGGACCAAGCCTTTTGTGTTCTGTTTGCTCTATTTTTTAGTTTTCGATCTTGAATCCTGGGGGAGTTGAGACAAGCGAAAGTAAGAAAATAAGTCAAGTGGAAAGCGAAAGCGTGTTTTGACCAGTGTCAAGCGAAAGTAAGAAAATAAGTCAAGTGGTAAATGCAAACATGGTGACTAAAGTAAAAGCTAATTCAGGTACACTGGAAAAAGCATAGGTTGTCAATAGGAGAAGCTGCTGATGATATTACTAGATTGCGTGATCAAATGGAAGATAGTATCGCCAGAGAGTGTTTTTTGAATCTTGGCGCATTCCCTCAAGATTCCTCTTGATTTTCTCATCAACATGTGGGCTGAGATAGATGATCCGGACAAGGCAGATGCTTTTGCCATTGCTGTTGATTTGTCAGACGAGAAACAAATAATGATGGCAAAGCTGTGGTATCAAGATCTTCTTGCTTAATTATTACACACTTTCCAAGTGTTTGTTTGAGTCTATTTCAAACTCTCAGCTGTTCAAATTAGGCTCTGGAATAGCGGCCTGGAAGTAACTGACTAGTCTTGAGTCGGTTAGAAAACAGCACAAGGGCTTTTGGCAGATTTTGGAAGGTTTAAATATTCTCTCGCCTTACTCATTTAGTGAAGAAGAGTTTCTTGTTCCGAAACCTTATCAGTCTCATACTAGCCATAGCCTTTGATCCTGGAGATTTATCTGGGTTAATAGCATAGACGAATAACATCTTAAGTAGAAGAAATATTGCAATGATTACAAGTGAAACGAGATACTCGGACCTAACTAGACCACCTTGTTTTTCATGATTAGATTTAATATCATTTAATTCACCCTAAAACAAGCCATGGTTTGCTCATAGATGCACCTGCTTCAGCGATGGATGTCATAGTTTTCCATAAAGCAGTTCCATAAGTCCGTATATATAAGATATTTTACATCATCAGAGAAATATACATCAATCCCTGACAATTCCAGTGCAATATCTTCATGGTTGTTCAAGGGTAAACAGAGTTGTCGGTTTGTTGAACTAGTGTCTTCTGTTAGATGATTCTCTATAACTAGCTTCTGTTAGAGCAGCTAATCCATTTTTGACTGTCTCATATGGATTGATAATCGATTCCATCTGTCAACAACCACACAATCCATCCTTTGTATGTATCAGGAGCGTTTTCGCAGATGATGTTGAGCAGCAAAGTAAAAATTGACCGCTCCAGTTTTTTAAAAAAGCTAGCCAGATTTTTTTTTCAGAGATTGATTTGGGAAAAGAAAACCTGGAAATTTTTGATAGATCAAAGTCGACTATCAAACCCCTAGAACAGGGATAACAAAACAACAAGCTTAAATGTCCAGAAAAGAAAAAACATGAAATAGCAGCAGCACATAATTGTCTCGGTTCATCTTCACTTGTCCAAGGCTTGTGAAGCCCGCTTCATCAGCTGAAATTAACACCAACAACAAGGAATGGGCTGATCAATAAAATCTCCATACATATACATCAATTCTGCTGATCATGGATTTTTGTAAAGCAAACTCTAAAGTCACATTTGTACAGATGCAGCAAAACAAGTTACTATAGCATCTGCATGTTACAAACACGACCAATCATTACCTCTGCATTCACAGGTTCTAGGTCTCGTAAATAACGGTCTTTTGCCGACTGAAGCTCCTCTTTTCCTCTACGAATGCGCTCATCCCAATCGTTCTTCTCCTTAATTACTGCAACAGTGAGTGTTTCTTCCATGAGATCTCTCGATTACCTTTATTGTTGCTCAAAAAAGAAATTCAAATGAGACACATACAACAGCTAACGTATGCCAACGCAGAGGAGGGGATTAATACTAGGCCAACACTAGTCGCATACTTCCTATGCACCTCTTCTACCAACACACGTTTCGTGCTCGACCAGATCCATTTCCCTAGCTGCAATTTTCGCAAAATCAATACAAGACCCTATATAACAAGAGAATAATACTCAAATATCTAAAACTTGAAATAATCGTTTCGACTTTCGATTACTTTGCCAACAGAAGGGGATCCTGGAGGCGGCATCGCCATCTTAGTTAGGCTTCAACAATCAATATCCGGTTCCTAACTTTCTCTACTATTTCACCTGACGCGCTAATTCAATTCCCGGTTTAGTGCAATTACAATAACCCCGACCCGATAAATTTCTGTTTGCTGTATGACTGTATGAGCCCTAAGCTGAAGACTCTAGGTCTTATTATAGCCCTAACAAACTTTGTTTCACAAGTCAAAAGATTAATGCATAAACTCTCAAAAGCTACTGCTTTCCTCGGATTCATAGACTCACTCTAATATATATGGTTCCATTCCCACTCTAATATATGTTATCTTGTCTTTTACTCTATCTTCAAGAGGTTACCTACTAATATTTGTATCATTGTTATGTTTTAATGAAATTCCACATGTTAAAAAAATAAAAAGATATAAACCTCTAAGCAGCTTCATTCTGTTATTTTATGATCCCCCTCTTTTGCGTGTGTCGTCGTGATCATTGTGTAGATTATTCGGTCAAGAGATAGAAGCAAGAAACCCTAAATCCCCCAAATCGTTGGAAATGATGCGCGCATCCGTCATTGTTGTCAAGGTAAGAAGACCTACAGTTTCTAATTCTGCTGACTCTCGTTTGTTTCTTTCTTCTTCTTAATTTCTCACTGAGAGTAACGATCGAAACAAACGTGGCAGAGAACGGCTTCATATGGGTCGCGCAACTGCTCCTCCCTGAGAGATAGAGGGAAAGGTATATAGTCTCTTTACTTGATATTTATTGCTCGATGGGTGTGTGTGTGTGTGTGTGTGTGTGTGTGTGAGTGATGATGATGATGAATGTTGTTATGTGGTGTGTCTATGTGTGTAGATGTGAGGAATCCTCATTTCACACCTCTGAGGTCCTTTCTTGTCAAAGTGACATTGGGGTATTTGGGATACAAGACTGGTAGGGCTTCATTGGTTTTCTCATAAGATTTGTGTTGCTGTTTTCAGTGATTTAACCCTTTGTTATGGTTCTCTCATCAGGTACCGCGTTACACTCCCTCCCACTCGATTCAAAAAAGGAGGAACTTGTAAAACGTATACAAGCCTCCACAAATGTAATGAAATATCGCCTTTTTTTCTTGTTTTCGCTTTGTTTCTTAATTTTTCTATTCCTTTTTTAAAAGATATAAACAGCAAAACAAAAATTGATTTCAGGACCACCGTATGGAGAAACAACGTGTGGAAGCTTCCCGAATCTGGTTGCGTAAGGATTGGCAAGACATGAAGAAACTTCTGGATGCGGCACTGAGAAGGAAGAAGACGGAATAGATAGCTTTAAATTCAACGTTTAAACCTGATCCAAACACAAAAGTTGTGCGTTAAGTGTCCATCACTATGTCATGACTTGGGCGTGGTAGTTGTAAGCTTAATGTTTGATGTTTTTCAAGAATACTTGTTTTAGCGAATACACATATTTCATAAATAAACCTTTTAGGGCTTTGTGGAAATGGATATGTTGGTGGTGAAAGGTTTATTTATAGCCCACCTTATCAGTCTCATACTAGCCATAGCCTTTGATCATTTGTCGTTAAATTTTACACGGTATATATTTAATCAAGTTTCTATCTCATTTATTATGGGTTCTTCTTCCTTTGTCGAGTTTCAATAGATCAGTCAAGAAGTGATTTCACCACATGCTTTATGCACGTCAACAAGTGCATCAGACGAAATGGCACATGCACTTAAAGTATTTCGGATCTCTCAGTGTTCTTGGTGGAGAAAGTTTGTACATGACGACAACTTGTGTGAGCCAGCAAACTAGGTGCCTAACGATACAGGACATTTGATTGTTCTTCAAACTTGTATAAAGTTTCGGATTTTGAGTTGGAGAAAGCAAAATTATGGCAGTAAACAAGTCAAATCGGTGAACCACCATCGTCACAATAAATAAGTTTTTTTTATAAGACTTGAAGACACGCCCCTTACATTATTAAATTAAATTAAATGTCTTAAACATGAGAATACAAATAGCTGCAACACACGATTGTCTTGGTTCATCTTCACTTCTCCAAGACTTGTGTAACCAGCTTCGTCATCTGAAACTCCAACAACAAGGAATAAGCTCATGCATGGCTCTTGAATATCTCCATTTCTAAATCTTGATTACATTTATACAAATCAAGCAAAACGAGTTACTAACATCCGCACACACACACACTATAAACACAACCAATCGTTACCTTGCCATGCACAACTTCTAGTTCTCGCAGATAACGTTTTGTTTCCCTCTCACGCTCCACTTCAGCTGTATTTATGCTCTCAATCAACTCGTTCTTCTCCACATATAATGCAACGGTGAGTTTTCCTCTCAAATCACATATCTCGATATTTATTGTTTTTCAAAAAGAATTCAAAAAGACACATACAACACCGAGCGTTTCCGTACGACGTTGAGGCAACTAGTAGTACGCTAGTACTCGGACGCTTGAGAAGCAACTCTTCTCCCCACACACGTTTCATGCCCGACCACATCATTTCCCCTAACCTCGTACAACCCTGCCATTTTCGCAAAACCAATACAAAACCCTAGAATACAAAACGCAAGAGAATATTAATAAAATAATTTTGAATAAATCGTTTCGATTTACTTTAGCAAGAGAGGAGGATCCTAGACTCGGCATCGCCATCTTAGTTAATTTGCAAACCTGAGGTGATCGAAATTCGCTTGGAATTACTGTTGGAACACACTAACACAGGGGTTGTCTATGTTGGTTTAGCATTTTCGGGATTTTTATATAAAGTAACTGGAAGTTTTGCGGTTTTTTCTTAATTTGTTGAAACTTTAATGTCAAAAGCTCTGAGGATCCGTTTTGGTAATCCGGAGACCCGAATCCGGATCCGTATTCTGACGCTCCTCTTGATTGAATGGTCATAATAATATATAGACGTTATAAAGCTAATTCCATCGAACGGCTCTCATTCTTCTAAATTCAAATTCCCCCCATTTTACCTATACTCGTCGCGATCTCTTTCTCTCTCTCTCTCTCTCAATCTTTCTCGCTCACAGTCTCTCTCACAATCTCTCTCAATCTCAATCTCGCTCTCTCTTGCTCCGGATTTCGGATTCTAGTTCTTTGGGTTCCTCAGCAGATCCGCCATGGAAAGAGGTACTCTAATACTCGTTTCTGTCGTCGCACTTCTAACTGTGCTTGCAGATTCAAGATTTCTTAATTGATCTGGGCTTTTGATTAGATTTCTTGTTGGGAAATTGAAACTTTCGCTGATCTTCTGCGGTTTTTTGCCAGATGAACACCCAGAAATGTGCGAAAATGGTGTTATGTCATGTGAATCGAAGGAATTTTCCGCCGACAATCACGATTCCGACGCTGGTAAGGGTGTGCTAAAATTCTCTCGTCGTGAATTGTGTACTGAGTAGAGAAATCACAAGTGAAACTGAGTTTTCTTTCGATTGTGTTTATTCTTCATTGGTAGCTCTGATTGTAGATAAAAACCCTCATTTCTGAGATTCCTGGTTGTTTTAGATTTTCTGTGTGATAAGAATCCGATTAGGTCTTAGCGTTTTTTTTTGGAATTCAGAAGATTGGTTCACATTCAGTTTTTCGATTAATTAGGCTTGTGTCCCTAACTCATCCCATGAATCTCAAACTCAGTCAAAAAGTAAAATGAAAGTTATTCTTTGAGTCTCCTTACTTTGTTAAGTAAACGTACTGAGGAAGAAGTATCATCATTTTACTGATTGCTTCTTTGACTAATTTGATGCATTGCTGATTTTGTTGAAATAGTAGAAGCAAGTGAGGATACTGCTACAAGTGGAAGCCAAGAGGTTTCTCCCGCCAGTGGACCAACACTTCCCATTCTGCAGAAAATTGTTGATTTGAGTAACAAAATCAAGGTATAACACGATTACCACACTTCCTTAGTAGGGAATATAAGTCGGAGGTTGTTTCAAATTGAAGTGAATTATGAATTTTCCATAGATTTTCTTTCACTCCTTTCCTTCTGCTGATGTTTTATGTTCAACTTTATTTCATAGGTCTTGAAGGATGAACATGCGTCGGTATCCAACCAAGTAAAAGAGATCAAGAATTATTCCTTCGTAGAGCCAGAAATGTCAAGGGCTCTCCAGCTTCTAAGTCAGTACCTTATTGTCTTTATACAAAACGTTCTTTCTTTGGTTGTAACTTTGTATCTGATATGCGTCAACGTGTTTGAATCGCAGCTACTGAGCTTGGAACTCTGAAAAAGCAGTACTTGGAAGAGTCATCAGAGAGGAAGCGATTATACAATGAAGTGATCGAACTCAAGGGAAATATCAGGGTCTTTTGCAGATGCAGGCCCTTAAACCAAGCTGAAATAGCAAATGGATGTGCTTCTGTGGTTGAGTTTGATCCATCCCAGGAAAATGACCTCCAAATACTTTCAAACGATTCTTCCAAGAAGCATTTTAAGTTCGACCATCTGTTTAAGGCTGAGGATGGGCAAGGTAAATAGAGGAGTTTAAATATGTAACATTGTATGGATGAACCTTTGCTTTTCGATTGCTACACCAATGAGTCTTCTTATCTGACTTTTCCTTTATATGCAGAGACTGTTTTTGCACAGACGAAGCCTATAGTTACTTCTGTGCTGGATGGATATAATGTCTGCATTTTTGCCTATGGGCAAACTGGAACTGGAAAGACGTTTACCATGGAGGGAACACCAGAGAATAGAGGAGTGAACTATAGGACATTAGAAGAATTGTTTCACTGTTCAGAAAGCAGAAGTCGTCTCATGAAGTTTGAGCTATCTGTTAGCATGTTGGAAGTCTACAATGAGAAGATAAGGGACCTTTTGGTAGAAAATTCAAACCAACCGCCTAAAAAGTAGGTCCTTCATTATGTTGCTTGCTAATAGAATAAAATTGCCTCACAGTTTCTCTCTTTCTTGTTAAGAAAACAAAATAACAGTCTGTGTCTAAATTTTAATGAAGGTTGGAAGTTAAGCAATCAGCAGAAGGAACACAAGAAGTCCCTGGATTAGTCGAAGCACAAGTTTACAATACAGATGAAGTGTGGGATCTGCTCAAGAGAGGATATGGTGTTAGATCTGTGGGATCAACAGCTGCAAACGAGCAAAGCAGCCGCTCTCATTGGTAAGCAAAAAAAAAGGATTTGGATACTAAAATCCTGTAAAACGAGACCTCTTCGTAACAACCAAAGTTTTATTTTTCTGCAGCTTGTTGCGAGTGACAGTGAAGGGAGAAAATTTTATCAATGGTCAGAAAACCAGAAGCCATTTATGGTTGGTGGACTTGGCTGGCAGTGAGCGAGTAGGAAAGGTAGAAGTCGAAGGAGAAAGACTGAAAGAATCTCAGTTTATCAATAAATCTCTATCGGCTCTGGGTGATGTAATATCAGCTCTTGCATCCAAAACAAGCCACATTCCTTACAGGTTTTCCTCTTCTTCCCCTCTGTCAAGACATTTACATATGAACTTTTCTGATTAATGTTCTTGACTCTTTTCTGCAATTCCAGAAACTCAAAGCTTACTCATATGCTGCAAAATTCTCTCGGTAAGTAGTATTTGTCCTATATATTTCGTTTTTTTGCATAAACCATCAGACATGCTGTTTTTCATTCTCCATGGTGTGAACCATTTCATTGTGTGACCTTATACAGGTGGAGACTGCAAAACGTTGATGTTTGTTCAGATCAGCCCGAGTTCCGCCGATGTAGGAGAGACTCTTTGCTCTTTAAACTTCGCAAGTAGAGTCCGCGGGATCGAAAGTGGACCTGCTCGGAAACAGGCGGATGTGTCTGAAGTCCACAAGTTAAAACAAATGGTAACGTGATTCCTCGAACTCCGATTCATCTAAGCTTTAACAACATATCTTAAGCTGATTTTCTTTCTGTTGTTATAACAATCAACAGGCAGAGAAGCTGAAACAGGAGGAGAAAGAAACGAAGAAGCTGCAGGACAGTGTGCAGTCACTGCAGCTACGCCTCGCTGCTAGAGAACACATAAGCAAAGGATTACAAGATAAGGTAAGTTCTCTTTAACTAATGTGGAGTGTTCTCTTCTTCTTGGTTCTTACACTAAACCAAATCATGTTTCAGCTTCGTGATCTGGAATATCAACTTGCAGAAGAAAGGAAAACCAGAATCAAGCAGGAGACACGAGCTCTTGCGACTGCATCATCATCAGCATCAACAACAACAACATCTAGACAGCTGAGAGATGCACTACCGACGATAACAGAGAAAAAGCCGCCTTTGGCTCCCTCAAGAATGCGAATGCCACTCAGAAGGATCACGAACTTCATGCCTCAACAACCATCTCAGGGTCCTTCCAAGAGATTCTCAGATGCGACATACAAAGAGAATAATAATAACAATAACAGCAACAGAAGAGCATCTTCCATGGACCAGCTGATGAAACCAAGAAGAAGCTCCATCGCATTCAGACCAGCTGCTCCTCCATCAGCTGTTGCATCAGGTAACAACAAAACATTGCAGCCGAGAAGGAGAGTCTCTATAGCAACGTTTAGACCAGAACCATCACTACAATCATCTCACATGAACATGACCACTCCATCACGCCCTTCTTCATTTTCCTTCCGTGGTGGTCAACCGAGAAAGACGAGATACTCTAAGCTCTTCTCTCCAGACCAAAATCTGGTGACTCCGAATGCAATGAAAAACAGCAGATTCGTGAAGAGCCCTCTTGGAGGAGGAGGAGGAGGAGGCAGCTCGTGGAAGCCGAGCCATCCAACGGTGGTTGCATTGCAGAAGAAGGCTGTGATTTGGAGTCCGCTTAAGTTCAAGAACAGGAGACCATCCTTCATAGCGATGCGAGCTTCTGGTGCTTCGTCTTCTTCTTCGGCCACCGATATGCTCCGGAGAGAACAATAGTGGCCTTGTTGCTCTGGATCTTTTTATTCACCGTCTTTGTGAAAGTGTTTGTTTCCCATTCAGGTCGTCGTCTGTTGTTAACTCTCTAAAAATAGGATTTCTGTTGCTGTGTTACTTTTCAACTTTAATATTGTTAACATTAAGATCTTTTGTTATGGATTTGATATATGTGATGAAATTAAGATGAAAAAGGTGATCTTACGCTCTTAATCCCCCTGTCGATTTACTTTGAAGGTGAAAAATATAAGAAGAGGCTATTAGAAGTATAAGTAGCCGTTGGGTGTATAAAGGAAGTAGTCCACTTTTCCGTTTAACTTTTGGTTAAATGAAACATTCTCTCTCACAGCTTAAAGCAACGATGTCACCAGCTAGACTCGGTAAGTTTATCAACTGCAGCAAAGTTCAGGAGATCGTTCTCTACATCCAAGATTGGCGTCAAGGCTAGTTTCACCATTAATAAGCCGAAGAAGTATCGGGAAGGTTAATTAAGTGATGATAAGCCGGGTAAAAACAGCATCCAGTTAAGGTTCAAAGAATTCTCGATGGTGAAATTTTGACCAAGAGAAAATATTTTTGGGGAAAGAGTTGGTTGCATGTTATATCAAAATATATCTTGCGTTCGATAGTGCGACATCTTTCTTTAACCCATAAATAAGAAGAGCACACGACTTGAGTATATTTATTTCCGATTTTTCTTTTGGTTTGTGTTGCCGATAATTTTGGAGAACGGAGCAAAAATGAGAACAAGATAACAGATCAAGGAGGCAAAGTTCTTTGGTTATTGAAGAAACTCAACACAATGTTGTCTATTGACTATGGTGTTCTTTTTTTGGTCCCTAAATGTTTGTGTTCCTACAGACTCTTCTTCAACCAATACTTTCAAAGCCCATTTCCTTTAAACTTCTAAAAAAAAACAGTACTCTGCTTAAAACTTGGGAACGATAAACAAACTCAGAACATGAGATTTGCTAATCTTCTTTTCGGGTTCGCAACTGAAGATACTGGATTGTTCATTCTCAACCTTCTCAGGCAGAAGAGCTCTTTCTTGTGGCATACACACGGTATGCAGCCAGCCCCACGACCACAGCAGCAGCTCCAACTGTTAGGCAAATTGAAAAGAAATTATACACAAACGTGAGTCTGAAGCTTTTTGTGTGTTTGTGAGAAAACTTGTGTCAAGATTCAATACTCTAAAGAAGGAAACGTACTTGAAACAGCCATAAGAGAGCGGTTGATAAGTCTGTTGTAATGTTTGCGGCTTTTTCCTGCTTCAGTCTCTGGAATGCTCAGATGAGGATGTTGTGCTGCTGTTAAGATTTTGCGGAACAAGTTGTTGAAATCCCCCAACTTGGAGCTGATGGATACCGGAGGCTCTATTCCCATATCTTGTGTCATCTGCAAAAAGATACGTGTGCATCAGGTGCTTTACAAGTTAAATCGAGCTATGTTAATCGACTCGGAGAACAATAAGAGAACCCTTACCCTGGTGGATTCTTGTATGGAAATTGGGAATGAGTCAAGATCGTCTTTTGCTGAAACCATGAGGCAAGGGACCTCATATCCAGTGGCCTCACCGTGAGTTGCAACTTCTACAAGCAATTCAGTCGCTCTCTTCCATGACAACTCATCAGAACTGTAGAGAGAGAAAATAAATACAAGCCATCAATTGTCTCGTCAAGGCATAACAGACATTTATGCCCAGTGAGCTCAATTGTCACGCACGAAGTACAAGTAGAGAATAAATAGACATCTACAGCAAGAATTATACCTGTCATACACGAAGACAGCTATGTCACATGTAGCCAAGGATTCCTTGGATGAAAATAGCCCTTTAACCCCATCTTCTGGAATTTCCCTCATGACAAGAGTTTTCTTCGCACCCTACACTCGGAGATTAGCAGTTATCAGATTAATGAGCAAATCACATACAGAAACTTAGAGAACCGGATTCCAAAAATGTACAACCATATAGCGTCTTCAATATTTCCCACTCACCCCAGATTCATCGACCATATTTACTGCATAGCGCCCATCAGTAGTTGATCCTTGGTTATCAGCATATGACCTACATCATGGAGAGAAATAACTGTAAGCCAGATGGAGAGGACATTTCTCTGATCTGACAATATGCAAACGTATCCATGCATAACACCATGGAGTGGATTATACCCTCCTCTGTGTGTATTTTAGAAATGCAACAAGTTGTAGTACTAGTTAACATGACAAACCTTCCAAGAAAGCAATTCAGCAATGCAGATTTTCCGGCGTTACTGGGTCCAAAAACAAAGCACTGGAAAACTTTTCTTTCACTTTGTTGCTTTTTGCGATCCAAACGTCTTCTTCTAGTAAGACGAATAGCAGAAGCTGGATCACCCGGGAATCCAATGTAAATCAAATGTTCCACACTCCGGGCCGGTTCTAATAGTGTCATCAGTGACCACTGCAAGGATAGAAATTTAAAGATTAGACAAAATATAAACTTTGGATTGGTTTATTGAACAATTTATAAAATTTGATCTTAATGAGAAATCCACACAATCAACAATGTCAAAGCAAAAATGAAACAATGAAGGATAAGTATATGTATTTGAATGCACAAGAAATGCTTCCTTGTGTTGTTAAGCATGTGAAAGAGGAGAGTATTGATTACCAGTGACAGGAAAGCATCAAAAGATAGTCCTCCGAGGGTAGTTTTCTCTGCAGCATCCTCATAAGGAGCTTCCTTCCAAGGACTGCCATTCACAATTAATGTCGGCATTCAATGAAATGCAGATTACCATAATAAAAATTACAGGATGTTGGCCTTCTGGAACTGGAAAAAGTACCTTTCAGGCGCAGTTGAGAAAAGATCCTCGATCTCTTGAGGTCTCAGGTTATTATCCTGCAAAGTGAAAATTCATTGTAAGAAGTAAGAACTATAACCCTGCAACCTGAGCAATTAATAGAAAAAGAAAAAAAAAGGAAACTTACCCCATCGTCATCAAAAGACATATACATTCCTTTCAGGAATTCGATTGCTACACTTGTCAACTCAACACTCTACACAAATAATAAACACAACCATTAGCTGCGCAATGCTAAGGAAGACAAGTTGATGGGAGCTGTCAGATAACTGTATCCCAGTATTGTAAGCATCCAAAATCTTAATTCTTACGAGATAAAGTTTGATATACAGAATATTCAGGAATAGATGATTGGGAACACTAATAAATACAGTAATTAAGCCACCAAATACCTGATCGGGAGCTCGTTTGAACAATGACGCCGGAAGCAATTCATCAGCGAGTCTTATATCGTTATTATACCCATATTTCCTAAGTACAGTCCATGTTGTCTCGAGTCTTCCTTTCTCGATAAAAAGTGCATGTAAAAACAGGAAGCCAGTCACTGTCAGCCCTCTTTCGTTCACACCTTCTGGCAACTTTTCTTGCACAACCCTCTTAACACCTTCGATTTCAGAAGGCTGCAATGGTGCATGGAAGCACTTGACCTATTTTGAAACAGCTATTAGGTGAGTCACTGGGATAAGGGAATCACAACTTCTTTAAAAAACATGATGTATAGGCCTGAGCCAATTTGATGAAGAAATAGTCAAAAGCACAATAAAACACAAGAAGAGGAAAAAGAAGAACCTGAAAATCATTTAACTCAGCCTCGCTAAGGGCACCATCTCTGTCATGGTCACAGAGTATAAAGATACGCTTCAAGGCCCTTACACACCGGGGCTTCAATGCTTGGGATTCTTGATCGAACAGAGGTCCTGTTGGGTGAAGGACAGTTTTTTGTGCGTAATAGAAAACTTCTTGTGCCTACAAGAAAGCACTTTTTTAGGATGATAGTTCAAACCTAAAATAAATTCTATAATTTCCATCTAAAAATTGTATTTTGACTAGGCATTTCCAATTCATCCCTGATAAAAGTCCACACCAATTACGACAATATCCACTTTCAGGAAAAAATTTCTTGTTAAGAAAATCGCATGAGCTTTTACAAAGATTACATTTTAAGAGGTATAATAGAAGTCATCAAACCTGGAGTTGCTTGAGGGCAGAACACTCGATACAAGTCTCAATCTCCCGAAACTGCTGCATTATTGGTGACATCACTTGTTCGAGGCTGACCTGGTTATTGTCCTCTCTGAAGTCAAGCTTACACCCTGCTACTATAATAGGAACTTTGACCTGTTCAAAAATATCACAAGCAAATCTTAATAAGGAACAGCACAAATTTTAGGTAATAGCAAATCTTTTACACCTTATAAGACTAGGAAAATGATATAATCAAGATTGACATGACCAAAGTGAAAAAAAAGAGAGAGGAAAATCAAACCTCTAATCGCCGAAGCTCTGGAAGCCAGTATGTACTCAAACGTTCGAGAGTCTCAGGTCGATCACATGCATAGGTCAAAACCACTGCATCTGCGTGCTTCAATTCTTCAGCAACAATGTCCCTATCTTCCGGCCTGAACTCACAAGGAAAGAATATTAAAAGATAGTTCAAAAACATCCACAAAGCTGCAACGCTGTGCACAATATGTAACGAAATATACCTCGAGGAAGTGTCAACAATGGTAACGGGTATACCATCAGGGAAGAACTCAAAAGGCAACTTGGTATCAGGAAGAACAGGAGGGACATTGGGAGGGAAAGAATCGGTGGCTGCAGCGACAATCAAGCTGGATTTTCCAGTGCCCTTGTCACCAACCACAACGATTCGTACAGATTTGGGAGCGCCGGGACAATCAACCGTACCAGCTGAGTATCTCGCCATCTGAAACTGCAAAATGGCATCAAATCAAAACTGAAGTCACGCCCAGAAATCGATTGAATACGATGAACCTAACTCTTACTGACTCTTCAAACATCACGCAATTCATATAAGCAGAGGATTCGCAATCGCAATAAGAAGAGAAACTAAAGTACAAACTCAAGAATTGTAGACTACACATCAGGATACGAGAACATAGAGCTTGGAAGAAGAAGGATCTTCAAACATCCACAAGTTGGAGACGAATTAACTAACATCGCAACTAGATTTAGAAATCCCAGATGATACGAGCAACAAGAGAGAACAGGATCGTGAAGAATATGACGAACAACCACTAATCAGAATTCGGAACCAAAGATAACAATAGAAGAGTGCATCAACGAGAAGGAAACTAACCTAAGATCAAAGATTTAGATACAGAAACGAGAAATTACCTCTAACCTAAACTGGAGATTACGAGTGAGAGATAGAGAGAGGAAGAAGATTGAAAACCCTTGGAAAACCCTAGAGTTGGGAGGAATGTGGCGGTGACGATTGCAATGAAGATGGAGAAACAAAAAGAAGAAAAGCTTCGTTTGTTTCTAGTGGTATTTCCGTAATAACCAACCACCACTGTGTTTTACCGCATAAGTTTATTTTGTTTTATCAACACGCATAAAATATTTTTTTCACCACGCATAAATAAGAGAAATAATATTTTCTTTTGAGAAAAGGCTTAAGAGAAATAATATTTTCTCCACGCATAAGTAAACTTTTTCTTTGATTCACCACCACGCATAAATATTTTAGGATAATTTTTTTTTTGGTTAAAAATGCTAACAGGAAGTTTTATTTCAGTACTAGGTTTTTCACCCGCGCAAGCGCGGGTCTGTTTTATAGTTTGATTAATTTTTTTTTATTCATAAATTTTTGTCGTTAGTAGCATGTTCATGATAACTCTTAAACGGTGTTCTTATTTTTCGCCAATTGTTTTTTATTCTTCGATATATTCTTCTTTATTTGTTTTTTTTCTTTGCTTTCTTCATCATTTTTACTCTCTTTTTATGTTTCTTCGTCCTCGTGGTTTCTTATTCCCTTATTTGGTCTGTTTCTTCATCTTTGTTCATCTTTTTTTTTATTTTTTTATTTCATTCTTTGATATTTTTGTCTTTACTTTTTTTATTATGTATTATTCTTTTGTTTCTTCTATGATTAGTTCAGACGGTCGAAGTTGATAGAGTTTTGCAATTTTTTTCCCTAGATTATTCTTTGTGTAATTTTTTCACCATTGTATCCCTTTTAGAAATATTTTTAATGTAATCCTCTTTATGTAAAATAATATTTTCACTATTTGATACACTTAACCAAACTTAAAAATGTAAAGGATTCATAGAAATAAAATAAAGTTAGAAATATACAAATATATATTCACACATATATTGAACAATGTCTAACAATAATTCTATTTATGTGATCATAAAGATATAGTTAAGCATAACTTTCAATTTCATATTCTTTGGTATCATCTTTTTATTTGGTTTCTTGGTTTAGTCTTATATTATATGGGGTTTTTTATTTATATTTTTGTTCTTTGCTATTTTCCGTCTTCGCTTTATTTAGGTTGAATTTCTAGAAGTATGAAATTTATTTGAAGAGAAGTTAATTGACACATCGTTGTGCTTCATTTTCTTTTTTACTCACTCTTGTTTCTATGTTTTTTAATTTTATTTCTTGATTCTCTTCAATTTTTTCTACTTTGATTTTTTTTCTTCTTATTTGGTTTCATATTTATTTTCACTCATCTTCGCTTCTGCTCTTCTTCGTCTTTGCTTTTCTTTATTCCTCTATCTTGTTCTTGTTTAACTTCTGCTCTTCTTCGTCTTTACTCTTCTTTACCCTTTCTTTGTATTCTTGTTTGGTTTTATTTCCTTCTTCACTCTCTCGTTTCTATGTTTTTTAATATTTTTTATTTATTCTTCTTTAATTTCTCCTACTTTGATTTCTTCTTTATTCTTATTTAGTTTTTTTTTTCATTTTCACTCATCTTTGCTTAAATTTTTTTATCTATTCCTCCTATGTGTTTTGTTGTTTTTTTTTTCAAATATTTGGTTCTTGTCTTAGCAATATAACTAATTTACATGACAACTTTTTTTGTTGTAAGTAGAAAATATATTTTTTATTTTTAAAAATATTTAATTACTTGAAAAGAAATTGTGATTACATGAAGGTTTTTATAAAAAGGAAAATAATTACTTATTTTTAGTGATTATCTGGAATGATATTATTGGGCTGTTTAAAATCATATATACGTAATAAATAATTTCTTTATTTCTTATATATTTAAAAATTATAAATTTTTTTAATCATGTATATCTTTATGTAGACCAATCAAATTTAAATAGTAAATTTTATATGATGATATGTAATGATATTATTGGTTATTTTCCAATTAAGAAACTTTCTTGAGATATAAAAAGTTGATTAAATTAATTTTTGAAAATATAATTTATTTCCTATGATGATGTCGACTGATACTATTTGTTATATAAAAGTGGAAACTTTATTAATATTGGAAAACTCATACATGGACCAATAATATTATGTTTTTAAATCCTATTCTTTCCGAACCTTTTCTAAAGCGGTATTCCTCCTTGCCTCTGAATTCATAAATGGGTAGACGCTATCAGAGGCTTATAGCCTCAACTTTAGGAATTGTGATTTTTTTAATTCAAATCATGTTAGATATTGATTGTTGTCATATATCTTAGATTTTTTTTAAAAAACTTATACATATTAATTTAGTTTCTTTTTTTGTTGGTATTAAAAAGAAATATTTTGTAAAATCTTTAATGCAAAACATTTATAATATATTTAGATTAGGAAACTTTCTTGAAAATAAAAAGGAAATTACCAAATTTTATATGATGATGTGGAGTAATATTATTGGTTGTTTAAAATCTGGAAATTTTCCTAATTGTGTAGATGCTTATGTGGACCAATAAAATCAGTTTCCTAAATCTTATGTGGACGCTCTTAGAGGTTTATAGCCTCAACTTTTATATAGTATAGATTTAGAAAAAGTGTTGTTTTTTACCATCTACTTATATTGTATATCTTTTTACAGATAGGTAGGTTCAGTTCTCATATGTGGATTGAGTTATATGACGTGTAGATAAATAAATGCACAATGTATCAAAAAAGAGTAAAAGACTATGAGTGTGTGAACATGGGTCTACCAAATTTTCTTGTATCAAATTTCCATGTAATATGTTGCTCTTTATGAAATTATTCATGGCGTATCATTTACGCTTACATCTTATTATGGAAAACAAGCCCACAAGGAAATAATATATATATATACAGTATATTATCTTGAAAAATGAGAAAATGAGAGGAAAAAAATCAAAATTAGAAAAAAGGAAACGGATTGGGAGAACATGAGTGTTAAAAGTAAAAAAAAAAATGAGAGGCTATCATATAGCTGCCCAACTTTTGGGGGTAAATGTAATGTCTTCTTCTTTTGTGTTAAAATGTATAAAAAATGAATGGTAGTTGCAATTACTGCTATCAGTTAATATAATCGTAAATCAATTGAAAATCATGCTTTTTGCCATGTACATCAGTTTTATTAAGTAACAAACGTGTGTTAGACTTAGGGCCTGACTGGTTTAACCGCTGCGGTTGCGGTTGCGGGTGCGGGAGTTTGCGGAAGCGGGCGGTTGTGATTAGTAGCGTTATTAAGCGGTTTGTACGACTGGCATAACAATTGAAAATGGATGCGTTTGCGGGTTACTTATGACTGGTTCACTTGCGGATGCAATAGCGGTTAAACAATAAATTAATAATATAAACACATTATATAATTATAAAAATATCAAAACTATATTATAATGAAAATTTTAAATTTATGGTTCAACATAATTAAAAATATTATAAAGAATAATATGTGTATAATACTTACGTCTATCTTTTAATTTCTATAATTTAAATAAAAAATGTGATTTTATTTTCAAAATATATATTTAATGTGAAAATTAAATTTATTTACAATTTTATTTATTAGATATATATGTATTAGTATGAAAAGAATATTTATCAGAGAATTTTGATTTGTAGAACTTATAAATATATAAGTATTATATGATTTTAATGAATATTGACTAAAAGTACTAATTTTTTATTTATATTGTGATTTTATTATCCAAATCTTATTTTTTAATAAATATTATTATTTATTTTCGGATTTTATATAAGTTTGTGTTTTTTTTTTTTTTTTATTATCCACCCGCAACCGCCCGCAACCGCAAACGCTTGCGGAAAGGAGCTTTTGATTTTCAGCGATTGAGCGGTACAGAGTGGTATAGAGCGATTCAAAGCGGTTGTCGTGATTGTTATAAACCGCCGAAAACCGCTACGAACCGCAAACGCTGCGTTTGCGGGTGGTAGCGGGAGAACCAATCATGCCCTTAGAACTCCACTCAAGGATTGTAAATGGCGTTTTAAGTTTTACTACTATTTTTGTTTAGTTATCAAAGAAACGGCAAATGATAGAAATCATCTTTCAGTGATATATTTGCGAGTTATTTCAGTATGAATAGGTATGTGATTTTGTCTTGTTGATTTTCTATGACATTGTATCAAATATTAAACATAATGAATCAAAATATGTTTAAGATGGTTGGAGATTTTTAACGTCCTAAATACTGTACACCTAAAATCAACCAAAAACTAGAATGACATAGAATACATCAATATCACTCAAGTCATACATGATAGTTTTGACTATTGACAATGAAACTATGACTATGGATCTAACTCGGTGACTATTGATTGGCTCGAGCTTGTTACACATGAAAACCACGTGGCGCCACTTTGGTATTTGTCGTCAGATTTGTCATTTGACCGACTAACCAAAAAAGAAAGAAAAATGTAAAAGTGATGTCAACGTCGTAAAACAACTCACACGGCTTTGTTTGTTTAAAATCCCAAGACGGAAACACTTTTTGATTATGATCCCATTACCCATACCTTCCTCTTTGCCTCTCTTCTTCGGGTAATCCATTTCTCTCTGCGGCCGATTCGTGAGAAGAAGACGATGGGCGTCGATTTGGAATCCATCTCCGAGGCCACATCCGGAGCCATTGGATCGCTTCTCAGCACAACCATTTTGTACCCTCTTGATACCTGTAAATCCAAGTTCCAGGCCGAGATTCGCGTTCGCGGCCAGCAGAAATACAGGTTTTCTCTTCTTCTTCGTGATGACCTTTCCCCAATCCGAATTTTGATTTGCGTGTGTATATGTCGCTTTGATGAGCTAAGTTCCTGCTGAAATGATCGAAATCGGTTTTGTATACGGTTTTTATCTTTCAAGTTGATCCTTTTTAGATCCTCGTCTGGATCGTGAGGTAGAACAAGCTTAGATTATACAGAATCTGTAGCCCAGAAATTTCACTTCTCTGATTGAGGCGTTTTAATGAGCTCAGGCTTTTGTTGCTGCGTTTGATTTTCTTTGTGAGCAAAAACTCTCAAATAGAATCGAATCTCTCCTTTTTATTTGATTTTGAGTCGACTCGACGCACTTTCATTCTTGTCTCTAAAAGCAAATGATCCGTCTGTGATTGCGTCATAAGAGAATTTTCAAATAAAGGTTGTTTTGTAACATTTTCAGATACCTGTCAGATGTCTTTTGGGAAGCAATCTCATCAGGAAACGTTCTCTCGCTGTATCAAGGCCTAGGGACCAAGAACTTGCAATCCTTCATTTCGTCATTCATCTACTTCTATAGTTATAGCTATTTTAAGAGGTTACATAGTGAAAGAATAGGTTCAAAGTCAATTGGAACAAAGGCTAACCTGCTCATTGCTGCTGCTGCTGGGGTCTGTACCTCTGTCTTGACCCAAGTGCGTTTATTTTTCACTCAGCTCTGCTTAAAACTGCGATATGTTCATCTGTTTTTATGTCTTCGTCTGTTTGTTTTTGGTCAAAAGTTGAGACTTTTTGCTGGAATGTCAAATCCGGGACTTGGTGTTTTATCGTCTCTATGCATAATAACTGTAAGCTCTATGTTTTTGTAGCCTCTAGATACAGCTTCATCAAGGATGCAAACAAGCGAGTTTGGGAAATCAAAAGGGTTGTGGAAGACCTTAACCGATGGTTCGTGGGGAAATGCATTTGACGGCCTTGGGATTTCTCTTTTACTGACCTCGAATCCTGCAATTCAGGTACCATTGTCACTCTAAACCATCAACTTCATATTTACAATCTTAATTTTACAATAATGCGATTAGGCTGAATGATAAGCTTTCTCTTTGCAGTATACAGTGTTTGATCAGCTGAAACAAAACCTCCTTGAGAAAAGAAACGCAAAAGCTAATAAAGACTCTTCCCCTGTAGTCCTCTCTGCCTTTATGGCCTTCTTGTTAGGAGCGGTCTCAAAAAGCGCTGCCACCGTCATCACATATCCAGCAATCAGGTATTAGCTCTCGGTGAATTACTCATTTCATGGGGATGTTCATCGATCCAGACTCTTTTTTGGGGGGTATTGATCTATATAATGAATGCAATGGTTTTTGTAGGTGCAAGGTGATGATTCAAGCAGCAGATGACTCCAAGGATCCCCGAAAAAGAACCAGGAAAACGATTCCAGGGGTCATATATGCTATATGGAAAAAAGAAGGTGCCTTAGGGTTCTTTAAAGGCTTGCAGGCTCAGATCTTAAAGACGGTGCTGAGCTCGGCGTTGCTACTAATGATCAAGGAGAAAATCACTGCAACCACATGGATTCTCATTCTAGCGATAAGAAGAGCTCTGTTTGTCACAAAAGGTAGCTTGAAAAAACCATAGAGATTGCCCTTTCGCAAGTGTCCCAAGGCCAAGCAAGAGCAAGAAGACTTTGGTTTTGGCTGTCTGTATTGAAAGATTTCTACGGAAGCAAGTTATTGTAGTGTTTCTCATTTCAAGAACGATTGATTTTTGGAGTGAAGATCTGATTGTAGGTCGGATAAAGCTTCTTGTTGTCGCCAGATTGATTTTCTCTGGACGTAGAGATTTGTTCTGGTTATTGTGTACTTCTCGGTTTGTTTTCATTCACTTTATAATAAAGCTAGGATCCATGTAGGACCATGGGTTTATACAATGCCAAGTCGAAATGGCTTCATTGCTCTCTTTAGCATCATCAAACACAGAATCTCAAAAACTTTGTATACATAAAATTGTAATCTTATTAATCAAAATTCTTCAAATGTCCACATCGAGGTCATTGGTAGGATCATGTTTTCGTCGCTTGGTTTCAGTGCTTTTAAATGATCTTTTATGCTTAAGGTTAGAAGTTTGAAATCCCCATAAACAAACAATCTTAGATGAGACCAAATCTCGGATCTGTTGATGTGCAATATTTTCTACACATTAATAACATTTTTTTACCAATCTGTAAAATAAAATAAATTATAACTATGCTTTAATTCATTTGATTGCTTCTAAACGAAAAAGAGGATTCGTGTATTTTCAATTTTACCTTCGTTTTCCTCAGAGAGAGAGCTAAACAGCTGCGAGACGGACGTGTGAACGGAAACGAGAACGAAGATGATGACCGGTGGGAGCTACACGAACATCGACCACCAGCAAGTCTCTGGATCTGTACCTGTAAGTTCTAGATCTCTTTCGCTCAGCATGAGAATATATCTTCTGCTTGCACTGATTATGTTGTCACTGGGTCGTCGTCGATTCTCGTTTGTTATCTCATCTGATCAGATCTAGTTTTCATGTTTTTCTCCTATCGAATTGTAGGCCGTTTCAGATCCTGGCCATGTCACCGTCAAATTCACAGGTAACATTGTCGTCTTTTCTGAGATTTTAGGCTGCTTAGTTGAATTAATTGGTGATAGAGCCAAGTAGGAAGAAACAACTCCTCTTGCATTTGGAATCAGCAGCATTGTTTTATGAGTATGTTTGAAGGAAATTTTGAATGTTGTTGTGAGAAAGTGGCATAGGCTTATAAGATAGAAAATCTGTGACTCCTACTTAACACAGAAAGAGAGGGATAAAGATAAGTCTTGGGCAATTGCATACGTATTTGGTTCTGTGATTTGATTGAGCTATACATTTGTATGCAGAATCAAATCTACAAACGTTTCCTCCATCTGCAACTCAAGGGAAGATCTCTGGTGGTACTAATCCCCCTCGAGATGCTGACGGTAATTTATCTTTAAGTTCGCTTTAAGATTCCACAGAGCTTTGCAATTTCATTAGTCAGGAATTCTCTTAGTCGATTGAGAAATGTAGGATGTGTGGCCAGAGCCAGTCTTTGTAATTTTGTATGCCTTATGGCTTATGTTAATAACTCTCGACCGCTGCAGATACATTTTCTAGGCCTGTGAATGGTACGGAAGAACCTCAGTCTGGTGGTTGGCTCCATAAATTCACAGTTGGTGCTTACAAGCCTTACTTCGATGTGGACACCTCAGACGTCGTGGAGAGACTCAAAGAATCGCTCTTTCCTTTCAGAGGAACATTTACAGAAAAGACTGCCAACAACCCTGATCTGTAAGAGTCTCGCCTTTACAGATTTTTGCATCTCTTATTCTAACAAGATTAAATTAAAAACGAATAAGCTGTGTTTACAGGTACGGGCCATTCTGGATATGCACGACGTTGATCTTTGTAGCAGCATCCATAGGAACATTTGTTACATACATAGCACACAAGTTGAAGAAACAAGAATGGAACTACGACATTAATCTGGTGACTTGGTCTGCTGGAGTGTTCTACGGTTACGTAACCGTTGTCCCTCTTGCATTATATGTCGTTCTCAAGTACTTCTCTGCACCATCAGGCTTAGTCCAACTCTTCTGTCTCTACGGATATTCCCTTTTCATCTTTATCCCTGCGCTGGTAAGTTAGTTTACAATTGTCTTTTACTTCCAAAATGAGGCATCGAATGTGAAAAACCTGACTGTGTATTGTTTTTTGACTGTGCAGTGTCTCTCTGTTGTGCCACTAGAGATCTTCAGATGGGTGATTGCGGGTTTAGCTGGATTCATGTCTGCTACATTTGTGGCTTTGAACCTCAAAGCACATATTAACTCTGCAGGAGAGAGATGGTTCTTGATTGTCGTCAGCATTTTTCTTCTGCAGCTCGCGCTTGCTGTCGTGCTAAAGCTATATCTCTTCACTGTCACCGTATAAAAATCATTCCCTCGGAAGACTGAAGCTGTAATTTTTGAAGTGATTAACTAAGGTACAATTTGAAAAATCGGAATCTGTACATCATGAAAGGAAAATGTCGTTTTTATTCTCTGCTTTGCGGATTTTTTAATTTTTGTAAAACTAGTAGAGACTGAATCTGTGTTGCATGATTCTTTCGTTTGTTATCAACATCATGAATATACCTCAAAACATGTAGAGATCGTATCCAAATCTCTGCATCAATTAATTAATTAATTATTAACTATACTATTAAAATATCTGGAACAACGGTTTCTAACGGCTATAATACGATTACTAGGTTAGTATGAGAAAATGGAAATATCGGATCCTTCAACGAAGCACACACTTGCACTCTAAGAAAAAGGAAACTCATAAACTTCTAGAACCCGAACCAAAAAAGGAAATTAAACGTCGAGAACACCTGAACCATAAAGTATATATAAGCAACCCTCGACCATTATTGTGTTCACTATTCATTCTTCACTCTAATCACAATTCTCTTTTTTTGACCCAAAGCGTTTCTCTTCTCTTCTGATCCGAAACCCTAGAAGCTTTTTTTTGCGTAAACAATGGAGAAATCCAAATTGTCTGTGAGAAACCCGACCCGATTCAAGAAATCGTCCGTCTCTTCCACTATTCCCGCTGCCAAAAAGAACCCGAACTTGTCTCTGAGAGAACAGACTCTCCTCAAGAAGGCCTACGAGCTTGCTACTCTATGCGACGTCCAAGTTTGCGTACTCTATTACAGTCGTGACGGAGAGCTCATCAAGACGTGGCCGGAGGATCAATCAAAAGTTAGAGACATGGCGGAGAGATATAGCAGACTAAGCGAGGTAGAAAAACGGAAGAAAAGCATCAATCTTTCTCTGTTCCTAAACAAGAAGATGAACGACGACAGGAAGAAGTCTCTCGAGAAAAACGACAACAAATTCTCGCAGAAAATCTCGGAGATGGAGGATTCCTTGGTCAAACGTCTACAGATGTTTCAAGACAAGCTTCGGCTTCTTCGACTAAACCCTCATGATCATCAGACCGAGATGTGTGCGGTTTCAACGGATCATCATCTATCTCCTTCGCTAATTGTCGATCCTCAGACAGAGCCTTCAACGAATCATCTGATTGCACAGAGTCGCGATGCTTCTTCAAGTTGTTTATCGACCGTGAATTATCCGAGCCGTGATGTTTACTCAACTGATTTATCGGCGTTGAATTGTCCGAGCAACTGCTCGATTCTTCTCTATAACCACGACAACGCTACTTACACTCAATTGTCTTCGGCCTTTGATCAGAGAAGCTGCAACAACTTTCAGATGCAGACTCAATTGTCTTCCGCCTTTGATCAGAGAAGCTGCAACAACTTTCAGATGCAGACACAAAACCCACTTCTTAACTCTGATCAGTTTGCAACATGGAATCAGATTCAGACACCATCTTTTGGAGAGCAGTTTATGTACCCTTCTCCTTCTTGCTGTTAGGTGTCTTGCTCGCTTAAAGACGAGATTTTTCATCACTAGGTCAACATTTTATTATATATCTTGTATTTGCTCTTTGTTATTGTCGAGCCTGTAATTTGTAATTTGTTAGAGAATCAAAACATTCTTGCCTCTTTTTATTTTTCTTGTCTTTCTTTAATCGGAGTTTAAGTTGTACACAACAATCATCAGATAATGGGAATAAAGTAAAACCGGGAAAAGAAATCACAAGTTAAGAAGCTTTAATATGGTTTGATGATAAAGATAAGTAAAACACTTCAATCTTGTCCTACTCTTGTAATTTGTAAAAAAAAGAAAAGAAAACAAAGTAACAGTATGTATCAGAAGAACAAATCAAACATGAAAGGTACGAGTCGGAGGATCTCATTGATATTCGGCAGTCTTGGTGATGAATTCTTCAAGCAAATCCTCAATGCTCTTCAGCTCGTGAGAATGAGCAATGTGCAGAAATTTTTGATAAAGACGTATGTTGATAAAAAGAAAATCAACAAAGCTGTAAGAAATTCGATGACAAATAAAAGGTCCAAATAACACAAATGAAGTCCCCAAAAAACGTTCCACAAAATACAGAAATATCACGTTGAAAATTTTCATCAGTATCATGAAAAACACGAATAACTATATCAATCAAGCTTTAGACTTTTTGCCTTTGGTCTCAGCAACTACGGGTTTAGCCTTGAAGGGCAAAAACTTCTCTCCGCCCATAAACGGCTGCAAAACCTCAGGGATCTCCACACCATCTTCACGCTGGTAGTTCTCGAGAATGCAGCAAATGGTCCTCTCTGTTGCCGTCAGTGTCGAATTCAGCATATGCACATACTGCTTCGTCTGCTCATTGCTCTGCAACAACAACCACAAAAAAGGAATCACACAACATCCAACATATCTGCGCTTATGAGATGACAACGAGCAGAGAGAGATTTACCTTTTTCTGACCGTATCTGATCTCAAGCCTACGAGCTTGGTAGTCTGTACAGTTGGAACAAGACACGAGCTCTCTGTAAGTCCCAGACGCAGGAAACCAAGCTTCCAAGTCATACTTCTTTGCAGCCGCATCGTTCAAAGCTCCAGAGACGATAGACACGATTCGGTAGGGAAGTTTAAGCTGCAGAGGAACCATAGAATCAGCCAATTAGAAAACACTGAACATTCACAAATCACAAGGCTTTCTCAACTATAAAATATCGGAATTACCGCTTGGTAAAAATCTTCAGAGTTCTTCAACATCTCCTCAAGCATTTCCCAAGAATCATTGTCGTTGGGGCTGGTGATGCAAAACTGTTCAACCTTCTCAAACTGGTGAACACGGAAAATGCCAAGTGTGTCTCTTCCATGGGAACCAGCTTCTTTTCTAAAACAGGTCGAGTAACCAGCATATCTGGATCAAACAAACTATCATGTCAATAACTTTTCTCTTTAAAGATACATAAGAGAATCAATCATCTAAACGCTGCGACTAACAATATACCTTATAGGAAGCTCGGTTGGATGGATCCATTCATCTTTATGGTACGCACAAAGGGGCTGTTCAGCAGTTGCAATAAGGTATTTGTCATCTCCTTCACCAGTCACCTGAACAAAACAACAATCTTCTCTGAATCAAAAGCTCAAGACTACCTTTTAAACAGCATAAGTAAACAAATGCTGTGTGACGGTTATAAACCTTGTAAAGCTCTTCGTCGAACTGTGCCAACTGTGCGCACTTGGCCATGACATCCTTCCTCATGAAAAAAGGGGGTTGCAGTCCTGTGAAGCCTCTCTTTTTCAAGAAGGTTAGCGCAAATTGGATAAGAGCTTGGTTAAGGAGCACACCATCTCCTTTTAGGAAAAAGCCTCTTGCTCCAGCAATTTCAGCACCTGAGGTCAAAAACAGCAGTTTAATAGCCACAAAACGGACTCGCCACAAAACGGACTCGGGATGTGACTAAATTGTCAGCGAAAGCTACCTCTCTTGATATCTGCGAGGTCGCATTCTTCAACGAGATCCACATGGTTTTTCAGCTTCTGGCCAGGCGAAGCAACCCGCCTTTCAGCTTCAGCATAAGTTTTAGTCACAAGATTGTTTGCCTGCAAAATGAAAAGACCATACACTGATAAATCTCTCTCCTTTTTGGTCACCACAATGCAGACCAACCTTGAGGGAAGGAGAAATGGAACAAACCTCATCCTTATCAACTAGAACCGAGTCATGGATGAGATTTCCGACTGTCTCCAATTTGGCTTTCAAAGCAGCATAAGCTTCACGAACTTCCTCCTCCTTCTCGGTAGCGTCTTTTTTGTTTTTCTCTGTTTTCTGAATCACCTCAGTCGCATCAGCTTTAGCCTGTTCCAAAGAAATAAACAAGAGAAAAACAAATCCCATTACAATCGGATAAACTTCCATCAATTTCAGTCAAACGAACTACAATCTTTCCCCCAACTATGGCATTCACACTAATAATACGATATCAATGGATCTTAGAGAAGTTTCATCCTATAAACTAACTTAGAAACAAAAATTCGAAGTAAACTAACAATTTTGAGCTTGGCGACTTCCTTGTTGAGCTTGTTGAACTCTTTTCGGAAATTGTCTACTTCAAATTGACCTGTAACACAGAAATTGTGATAAAATAAAGCTCAATTTGAAAGGAGAGAAACGATTGGGAGTATAAGAATCGATGAAAGAGATACTTACGCGCACGCCATTGTTTGTCGAGGTTGATAATCTCATCAACAACATCAACGTCGGCAAATCGCCGGCGCTGAGATTCCCGGATGATCTCCGGATTGTTCCCCTTCTCTTCTCGAAACAGATTGATATCCAACATTTTTGTTGCTCTTCTCTGTGAATCAAAAGCAGAAACAGAAAAGTTAAATCTCACGAGCTCAATAAACTTTTCAGATCAATCAAATGAAGTGGAGCAACAACGTATCAACATCATTTGAAGAGACAGAGAAGCAAAAACGTACTTGGGACTGTGGAGAAGAAGATGCGACTATCAGCGGCGTTGATTTTACAATCTGCAGGGAAGATAAATCTGTCTAGGGCTTTTGTGTTCTTTCTGCAAATTGTTTTTCTTTATTAATGATGATAAATAGCTGACTTATCCCCGAATTGTTTTATAAATCACAGAAAGCCCCCAAAACTTTCAGATTTGTTGCAGAAACCCCTCATGCAGTCACTCCTAGTCGTAAACAATCTATTCCACGTCGTGGCATTACGAAATTACTATATTCAACGAAATTATGAAATCTGATTGCCCATCTTTAAATTTTTCTTCTGGGCTTAGCCCAGCATAAATTTGAGGGCCCAACATTTTCGTCGTCTCTCTTTGAGTTTGTGAGATTCTCGAGAAAGAGAGCGAACCAGACTCGCGATTCCAATGGTGACTCGGTCCTTACCCGCCACTCTGACACTGTGAGTGTGAGCTACTTTTCTCCTTCCTCACGTCCGCAAACATCCAGGTACAATGTACGGTAGGATCCGTTCCATTGGGAAGACGAGTTTCTCCAGCACCGGCGTTGCGAGGCTCGTGTCTTCACTCGCTTCCACGGATACGTCATCGGTAGCAAATCGGATTAGCTTGAAGGAGATAATCAGAAAGAGCGGTCCACGACGCAGCGTCTCCTCCCTGCTTCAGGAACGCGTCGACTCGGGCCACGCCGTCACGTTATCGGAGCTCCGATTGATCTCCAAGCGGCTCATTCGATCCAATCGCTGCGATCTCGCACTCCAGGTTTGAAATTCTCGCTTTTATCAAATTAAGAATTGGTCAATTTGGCTCGGAAGTTAAGATTTGCCAGTCATGTATGTACACAGATGATGGAGTGGATGGAGACTCAAAAAGATGTGCAGCTAAGTGCATATGACCATGCTCTTAGACTGGAGCTAATCATCAAAAACAATGGCTTGAAAGACGCAGAGGAATATTTTGAGCAGCTACAGAGCTCTGCTTCCTCCCTGAAAGTAGCGAAATCAGCTTATCTTCCTCTTCTTCGTGGTTACGTTAAGGAGAAATTGGTGAAGGAAGCTGAGGCTCTCATGGAGAAGTTGAACGGATTGGGGTTTCTTGTCACTCCACACCCATTCAATGAGATGATGAAGCTCTATGAAACCACTCACCAGTATGAGAAAGTAGTTATGGTTATCACGATGATGAAAGGGAACAAGATACCGAGAAATGTTCTCTCGTACAATCTCTGGATGAACGCATGCTCTGAATTATCTGGCGTTGCAGCTACGGAAAGTGTTTACAGGGAAATGGTTGGTGATAAGTGTGTGGAAATTGGCTGGAGCTCGCTGTGTAGTCTGGCTAATGTCTATGTTAAAGGTGGTTTTGATGAGAAGGCTAATTTGGTGCTTGAGAGAGCAGAGAAGACGTTGAACAGAAGCAATAGGCTTGGATATTTCTTCCTCATCACACTCTATGCCGCTTTAGGAAACAAGGAAGGAGTTGTTCGTCTGTGGGAAGCTTCGAAGTCTGTTTGTGGTAGGATTACTTGTGCAAACTACATATGCGTGTTGTCATCTTTGGTGAAAATCGGTGATCTTGCAGAGGCTGAGAGGGTGTTTAGTGAGTGGGAAGAAAATTGCTGTAACTATGATGTTAGAGTGTCCAATGTTCTTTTGGGTGCTTATGCGCGCAATGGACAAATCCGCAAAGCCGAGTCATTGCACAGCCGTGTGTTGGAGAGAGGAGGTAGTCCAAATTTCAAGACTTGGGAGATTTTGATGGAGATGTATGTGAAGTGTCAAAGTATGGAGAAAGCCGTTGATGCTATGCGCAAAGGATTTGAACTCATGAAGCACTGTCATTGGAGACCTTCCCAAAACGTTGTCATGGCGATTGCCGAGTACTTTGAGAAGGAGGAGAAGATTGAGGAAGCAAACACATATGCTAGAGAATTACATCGTCTTGGTCTTACAAGCTTGCCTTTATACAGATTGTTACTTAGAATGCATGAACATGCTCAGAGGCCAGCTTTTCGCATCTATGAAATGATGAAGTTGGACAAAATTCGGATAGATGAGTTTCAAGTGCAAGTGTAAGGATCTTTGTGTCCAACTGAAACATTAACATAAATCTGTCTATGCTTGTTTTCAATCATTTTTGACATGGTAACAAAGCGTTTTTACATTCAACACATAGCTATATAAAAAAATGATTTTTTTCCATTTCTAATTGCCAGCCTTCTTCAAGTAGACGTCAGCAAATATGAATTCCGGTGATATCAAAGGCAAATCTGAGCTCCGTTACCACCAATGGACGCCGTGAAGCACTGAAAACCGCTGGACTCGAGCTCCTCCACAACTTTGTCCACCACCGTCCCTGAAACCGTCATCAAAGGACAAACAAAAATCAAGATTCAAGAACCCCAAATCCACATAAAAAAAGATGATTTGAAAGAAATTTCTGAAAAAGGATACCGGTTGGTAATAGAGTGAGGACGCAGCCGCCACCACCAGCTCCGGTCAGTTTGGAGACAAGTTTGTGCTTGACTGTGGTTCGGATCACAGTCTCGATGGAGCTGTGGCTAACCCCCATTGACTGGAGCAGACCTTGGTTCATCTCCATGAGTTCTTTAATACTCTCTTCTTTCTCTGCAACCGAGATCTCGTCGTTAGACTGAATGATCGAAGCGAGCTCTTTGCTTATCGAGTCCACGGCATTGAACACCGATTTCATCGCATCAGGATGTCTGACCGCTCTCTGTGACACGCCAGAAACCAGAGCTTTGGTGTTCCTCCCGACTCTAGTGTTGGTGACTAGCATTCTTAGAGGCATGTTGGACTGTAACCGAGTTATCTCCCCTGAGCAAAACTTGATCATGTTGCCTGCAAAACAGAAATGGTCATCTCTAACATATAATTGAACAGAGGATTTGGGGTTTTACAGTTAAGAACAAACCATATGCACTGACGGTGTTGTCGATCCCAGAAGGCTTCCCATGGATGATCTTTTCACCTTCAAAAGCCCATTTGTTCAGCAAATCGAGACTGGTTTCATCGAGAGGGGTCCATCCTTCACCGCGAGCTTTGTCTGAACAAGAAGAAGATGCGATGAGAGCAGTTGTGAGAGCTACACAGAAAGCTGCTGATGAACCTAGGCCAGATCCGTATGGAAGCTCCGTGGTAATGACGACCGTAGCCGGATTGAATCTGAAAAAGCGCACAACAATATTCAAGAAATCTGAAAACACTGAAAATCTCTTTGAGCTGAAACTGTTTTGTGCTTCTTTTTATTTACCCTACGATGCTGGTGTATAACCAGAGAAATGTGGAGATTCCAGAAGAGAGCCATATCTTCTCCTGTGGAATATTTTGCTCTTCAACCAAAACCGCAATTGCTTTTAGTGTCTCCGTAGAGCATGAAGTAGGCGTAGAAGGGGGATAAGTTCTTGAATCATTAGGTAATGCTTCTTTTAGTCTGGCTAAGGACCAGGAAAACTCCAAGGAAAGGTCTTTGAGCTCAAGTGTAAGCCTATCATTCTTCTCAGCTGTCAGTAAAAAGGAAAATGTAAATGCTTCAGATTTCTTTCTACATTGGGATAAAAGAGTATAAGCTAACTACATTTACCATCAAAGCTCCGATCTTTTGCATACCAATCTCTAACTGTGAGTTTGATCCAATAATAACAGTTTTGAGTGATCTCAAAGAAAGTAACCTGATTGAAGAGGAAGACGGAGAGTGACGTAAGTGTAGAGATCAATGGCAGCGGCAACAGCTGTGGATCCATGGACAACCGCGTGTTCCCCTGCGAGAATGATCTTCCCAGGAGCTCTCGCTTTCACTTCCATTTTCCTAATCGAACATAGAGTGAAAAGCTTTTGATTTGATTGACACAGGAAACAGACAGATTCACAACAACAAAAGAGTCAAGAAATCCAGATTTTAGCAACTACGAATTCAACACACACTGAGGAGAAAAAGACAACAGCGACATTGTTACAAAATGTGAATCAGATCAAAGGGCAATTGTATAACTGGGATATGATACGGATCTGAATCAAGCTAAAGACCGAAACTTTATAGTTTAAAACGAAAATGTGAATCGGATCAAAGGAGCTCAGATCGAACAGAAGCTAAGAAGTGGGAAAATGAAACTCAAAATTCTTTCTTGACTTCATTTCTTAGCTCACGCAGTAACATTTCAGCAAAAAAACTCAAATCAAATCAAACCTACAGCAGAAATTCAATAGCCAGAAAGAGCGTGTACCTGGAATTGCAGAGAAAAGAACCCTAGAAGATGGAGAATGTCTGTCGGTAGCCAGCCACGCACGAGCAGCACCGTATCTAATTAAACATGTATAAAGAACAAAACCGATCGTGGTTTAACTTTTCCGGTTTTTAAAAATATACGAATCTAAAATTCGACTCAATTTGGCTATGATTCAACCTCAGTTTAAACTTGATTTGTTTGATTACATTCTTAATGTGAGAAATTTTGAAGAAAATGTTCAGTTTGAGTTCGAATTTTGATCAGTCTTTTTATATTCGGTTTCGGTTTGATTTGGTTCTGTATTTTACAAACGTGTATAAGAAGAAGAAGAAGATCGAAGAAGACACACACAATCAAATCCCATACGCATTCAGCAACGGCTATTTCTTTCGTCTCGATTTACACGAGAGAAACAAGAATACAAAAATTGCGCTGGCTGAGTGATGACTCTTCATCTCACATCGCATCTCAACGGTTTTCATTTGCTTAGTCCACAGTACTCGTCATTTTCATCACTTCCTCGAGTCTCTGCGTCGCTACCTTCGATTTCACATCGAACCCACTTCGAAAGTTTGGTTGTTTGTGCAAGGCGAAGGAAGAAAAGAGTCGGGTACCAAAACATTGCGAGGTTCTTCTTAAAGTCTCTGACTTTTCTGCCTCCTAATCTCCAGATTTTACCGGAGCCGTTGGATCTTGTCATTGCTGATTTGGGCGGCGTAGATGGAGGAGGAGGAGGAGGAAGGGGAGGAGGGTTTTGGAGAGGATGGGGAGGATTTGGTGGGTGGAGAAGGAAACGGAACAGAATACCAATTTTGATTTTCGTCTGTGTAATTCTATGGATTTATGGTTTCTGCAAAATCTCTGGGAAAGAGATAAAGAGTGATGAGGTTTTGAAGGCTTTAGGGATTTGCTTGTTTGGTTTCACTATGGTGAGAGATTTGAAGAGAGAGGCTACTAGATATCTGGTCTTTGGGTTCCTCTGTTTCGTTGCTTCTCTGGCTTTTGGATTCAAGAGAGATGGTTTCGTGAAACTGGCTTCAAGAATTAGGTCTCGTTCTTCAGTTCTTCTTAGTAAAAGGAGAAGTCGTAGAAGAGTTTAATAAGAAAGTAAGATCATAGGTTTGTTTCTTGTTATTTCTTTCTCCAAGATTCTGTTGTTTCTGAGATATAAATCCTAACTTTGACGATGAGTGTTTCCAATTTTGTTACTATTGATGATGAGCAAACAGATAATCTCATAAGTTGTTGCCTCGTAAATTCATTCTATAACAATGTCAAGTACACAGATCAGCAATTGAGGCGTCTCAAGTCTAGCAGAAACACCTGAAACATAGCTCTCTTCTTTCCTAGTTTAAAGAACTTTTGTTAACCATAGATGATGATGCAAGAGGTTCTTCATAATCATCTGTATGCATTGGGTAAACGATAGCCAGACATAACTATTTTGTCAGCAAACATCTTGCCAGTCTTGGGCATGACATGCCAGTGCAGTGTCAAGTTGAAGTCTTTCCCTCGGAGGTTGTGTCCCTAGAAAGATCCCATTGACCACAATCAAATACTCTTCTGAAGAAAACACACATGGAAGGATGAATGTTTAAAGAGAATCTGCTTCATGTACCTGATCAATGAAACGGTACTTGTTTGAGATTTGTATCCAGAATTTGGCATGCTCTTTCTCAGGTATTATGGCATCCCATAGAGAGACCTGCGGTAAATGTCAAAGTTCATAGCATCACAGGCATGAAGAAGGCAGGAACACTAAAATTACATAAGTTGTTAGCCTCGACACTGCATGAAGAGCAGTAGTCTTTAAAGCATTTGAAGCAAAGTAGATCTATACCTGATTCAGGGAATTCTTCGAAGTTTTATACTCTGCAGCTACAAAAGCGAATACCTGAAAATATTTTCGTTTGAGTTGGTTTTTTGTTCACCAGATCATACAAAATGAGGTACCAACTACCAACATGACAGTATAACACTGGCAAGACTTCAGGATATATAGCAAAAGAGATGGATTGGTGTACTTTTGAAGGCTATACCTGCTTTGTGTTCCAAGTAAATAAAGACTGCAAGTCTGCTGTTATGTTCAGTGTCAAGCTGACCTAAGAACATGTAAAATGCTAAGCAGTTAGAATATATGCAGCAGGTAAACGGCAGTCTGAAGATTTAATAAAGAAGAATAAAACTACTGATGTATGTACAGTATAAGCTGAATAGTATCAAGTATATACCAATATCACGTCTAGGGAATTTTTAATCAATCTCGACAATCTAAGTTCAATATGACTTTCAAGAGTAAATGTTCAAAGAAACAGTCGCATCCAAACCCCTATGGCCATCAAACTCATGAAACAAAATGGATACTAAGCTTAAGGTGACTCTCAAATCTCAATAAGTCTCATACCAATAAGTACAGAAGTAAGAGGTCATGAAACTCATGACCTTATTCAACCGTCAAGTAAATAGGCAAAAAATCTTAGCTTCCTGCTTTGAAGGAAATCTTCTCTAAAGACAGGCGAGGTAGAAAAAGAATTATAATTTCTTGCAAAAACTAAAGATCGATATGATACGAAACAAATTCCTAAGAGTTTAGTAAACCTGAACTTAAATTTCATAATGGGTACGCTTTGGATAGCTAAAATAGGAGTTAATGATCACATAAGCATCAATTTACCCACCAAGAGTGACTAGAGAGTACACTCCAGCATGTGAGCTCAAACTAGCAACTCATAGAGACACGTAATGAAGAACATACGCTAAGGAGAGGCAAAACAACGAAACCTTACCTCATCATTTCCATGGGGTTGCTTCTGAAACCAATTGATATTCAATATCTGCAACCACAGCCCAAGCAATAACCCAAATAAGAATTCAGGCTCAAAATCAATTCTTAGAATCCATAGAACAAATTTCCAGAATTATCCTTCTATTTCCCAAAAAAAAGCTCAACCTTTATAAATTCCACACCGCGACACCATAATCCAACAAAATTAGGGATCTAATCATCTAAACAACTTGACATATCCCAAAACAAAGCATGCACTGATAGATCAAGGACACACTAAGAGATCTCTGCGTTTAATAAAACGCATACCTGGATCTGAGCAGAGGGAGTTTGGTTACTGAAGTTATCAGAGAAGGACGCAATCGCGCAAATGAAGGCCAGTATCGTGACGGCAAATGTGAGCAGAGCATTCGCTCTGTAACCAAACGAATGCATCCTCTTTAACACTTGTCTATGGGTTTTTCGTCCGCCGGAGGTAGTCTCGATCCGTCTCCGTTCCACAAACCTTTCGCCGGACGGAGGAAGAAGAAGAAGAAGAACGCTTTTGTTTATTTTACTTTCCTTGTTTAGAATTATTAATTCTTCCGTAATTATTTATTTCCTTTATTGATATCGACGCACGCTATAATGTGATTGGCCAAGACACGTAGAACAACACTAGTGTGATAGAACCGGCATTCCGGTTTACAATATTACCGGTTTAGAAAATGATTAATTGGTTAGGTCTCGCATTATCGGTTCAGAAAATGATTGATTGGTTCACGCCTCATCACTCACACCAAAAATCTCAGCACCTGAAACCTTATTTTCCGGGGATAGTAAACAATGATACCATCATCTTACATGTCACGTCATTGTGTAATAAATGTAGGCAACAAACGGTTTTTGTATGTATATGTTTGTTTGCGTTTACGTTTCTTCTTTAGTGTTTTTGATGATTAGTTTTATAATTGCTGTATATTCAATGCCACGGGTTGTGATAATTTACACACTATCTTTCTAGAACACCATTTGACTAATGGGCTAATGGCATCTTCCTACGTCGCTGTTCGAATTGTTGAACAAGTAAATTAACCTTTGGATCCGTATTCCGTATAAAGGCGATTCAGGCGACCTAGTCGTGGTCGTTCATTTTATTGTCAACGGTCGTGGTCTATCTAGATGTGCATAATGAAGTTGCCATGTTTTATACTTTATCTTTTCAAACTATAGTTTTGGGATCTCGTA